CCGCCAGAAGAGCCGCCTTCGCTACGGCGTGCTGCAGCGCGGCGCCTCTCCCCGCACTACCGCGGTCTCAACTAGCCGTCACGCCGTCCTGTATTGGTATTACCGCCCCCCCGCCCCGGCATCGACGATCTCCTGCATTAGCGCTAGGTCTATTTATACCCGGCTCGAGCGTCACGCCCGGAGATTGCGCTCCGCGCGACCACGGCCGGCCAGACAATCCCTGCGGCGAGAGGGCGCGGGGGAGTGTTGGATGATATCATCATTGGGTGCTATCTTTCGCGCTGGCCGACTTCCTGTCTGGGTAGCTGCCCGGGGAGCTGGGGTGGTGGGAAAGGCGGTGGTGATAAGGGAAGGTTATTCTTCTTTTTTTACATCACCGCCGCAAGCCATATGGGTGGGCAGGGATGGTGGTCTAAATATACCCGCCAGTTCCGAAGAGCACCAGTCTGCACGACGGCGCCAAGGGCCACCACACATCTCACGGTCGTCAGTAGTAGTAGTAGTACTGGTACTGGGAGCGGTCGCGGTAGTCGATCGTTCGTTGGGCGCCGTGTACTCCGTACCTGTGCTGGGTACTCCGTATGAAACGCACATCCGGTTTCACCACAGCGAGATTACAGGCCGTTTTGAACCACTAGCGAGCCCGTTAGTGACTGGCCGTCGCCATACTCATACTGACTGGCGAGCTGGGGCGTGGCTCCGTTTCAGGCGCGAGCGGGCCCAGCGACGACGCGGTTAGCAGCGCGTGCGGGCCTGGAAGCGGCATGTTCAGCCGACCTTGCGCGGGCAGCGGCCGGCGGTAATTTTACGGGCAGAACCGCTGTTGCAGCTGGATTAATAATCCGCCCAGGGCCCCGCGTGATTGGGCGTGCCGGGGAGGGGCGGTGGGTGGGGGGGGGGAGGACCAGGGCCTGCAGGATGCCCTAAAGGGAAATTGCTTCTTGGGCTGTGAGTGACGGCGCGCGGCGTATCCCTGCGCAGGCCTGCGTTGCGCGCTGGCCTGCCCTGCCCGCGGCGCGCGCGTGGGTGGTGTGGTGCAGCGCGCGGTGCGGTGCGGTGCGGCGCTGCGCTTTTGGCGGCGCGGTGGTGCGCCCGCCAAGCCCAGCTCTCCAGCATCCCACCTGGGCCTAGCGCCGTCTGCGCTCCCTCTTCGCCTGTCTGCTGGCCCTTCGCTTGCCGCCACGCCCGCCCGTCCGCCAGCCAGCCAGCACGCGCGACGAGTCGTGGGTGGTCACGGCCATGAGTCGCGGTGCAGAACCGTGGAGGACTGGAACCGTGCCTTGCGGCCGCGAGACTTTGGCAACACGAAGCGTGATCGTGTGGGATCTGCCGATACGAAAAGCATGGCACGAAAGAAGCCTTCTAGAAGGGGCAGGGCGACGGGCTCACGGGCGGTGCTGGCTACCATCATTATTGATTATTGTCTGCGGTTTTGCCCGTCGCGCGAGCCGAACCTCCAGCAACGAAAAAAAAGCTTCTTTCGCCCAAGCGCCGGGATTGCCCACCGCCTGGCGCGCGCGCCGGATTGGCTGCCGGGCTCTGGGCCCCGCGCCCCAACTCGGTCAAGCGGGCAAGGGCTGTCCGGCCCACGTGCTCCGCCGCGCTCTCCGAGGCTGGCCACTCAGACTTTGCTCACTCTCACTCAGACTTTACACAGATGTCAACATGGCCAGGAGAATGCTGGTGGCCGACTCGCTTCGCCCCCCCCGACCAGGGTTGCCGTCGGAGAAATAAACCACGTCGCCTGTCGGCCTGCCATCTCCAACGCCGTGGTTCACCCACCGACGCCGCTAGCCCGCCTGCCCGTGCATCTCCCCCCCCCGGCTCGCCGGGCCCTGCACGCTGGCCGGGCGCCAAGTTTGGAACGAACAACGAACTAGAGAACACATATGCTCGAGGCCTCAGACTACCGTGATGGGTCGCGACTGGAGCTCGCTACCTGGAAGTTGGGTTTCAACTGAGACGGTGTCCTGTGTCAGCTGAAGAAAATAATAAATCATCATCATAACCATAATGAAAAACAGCCGCCGCCGCCGCTCCGATTGGAGCTCCACTTTTCCGCTGCTATTCCAAATACTCTGGCTGGTGATCGGCCAGGGCCTCGGCTTAAACCCAGCACCGTCGGCCAGAGCGGACACACTGCTCTTTTTTGAGGCCCGTCGAGACAGCTCGCTAGCAAGCGGCCAGCAGCAAAGGGGGGTGTGTGTGTGTGTGTGTGTGTGTGTGTGTGGATGTCGATCGCTCGCAGGCGGTGCGTGGCCGCGTGAAATACCCGGGTATGGAGCGTCGGCAGCCGCAGCCACGCTTGCGCCGGACATCCCTCTGTATGTACTCGCGCAGAGAGCCAAAATGTGATGTGTTTTGGCGGCCGCCGGTCCCCCTCGTCGTCCAAGACGCGGGCACCGCTTGGCTTCGCGGAGAAAGGCGGAGACGACGCTGCCAGGGCCCTGCCGGCCAGGACTGTACTACTGCTAGAACTACTCCTACGACAGATATTACTACTACTTCGACTGCGCTGGACCGCACTGCACTGCACGTACCTGCGCGCATCCTTCGCGCGCGGCCAGTTTAATGAAGGTTACCAGATTTTAATAGCGCAGGCTAAGGGCGGTTGAGCCCATCTGGTCGCCTGAGGCGGATCCCTCCCCCTCTGTTGCTGCGTTTGTTTCGCCGGTGACGTCGGCGCGCGGCTTGGCCGGCCGTGCTGACCGACAGTTCGCCTGCGCCGTGCCACCGTCCCAGGAGCGGCTGTTCTGCAGCGCACCCGGATATCGCTTATCTCCTCCCGCCGAGATGGTTGACTGCGCTGCAGTGCGACCACGTTGGAGCTGGGATGGGCGAGGGGGGTGAGGGAGGGAGGGAGGGAAGCATGAGTGAGTTGACGGACACACTACTAGTTAACTAACCAACCAACTAACTAACTACTAGTTCGCTCGCGCCCATGAGTAATAATACGCTCGGGCGGGCGGGCTCAGGATTTCGCTTCGCTGGTCGCGACAGGCGTGCAGCTGGGTCTGGTCTGATGCAGCGGGCCCTCTCTGGTGCTGGCTCGTCGTCGTCTGCTGCTGCTTCTTCTTCACGGCCCAATAAGTGTGATCCCTGGCGGGTTCAACCTGGGGAAGCGAAGGCGAGCGGGCGAACCTTGTCGTTAGTTAGCTCTCGCGCCGGTGGGCCAGCGAAATTGGGCCAGAAGACACGACGACGCATGCTGGATTTTCTGGCTGCTGGGCGAATCACGGCCGCCAGCCAACGGCCCAGCTTGGCTGCGCCCATGCCCGCTGGCTGGCTGCTGCTGCGAGGCTCCCCCTGGTCGTCTGCTGGTCGTGCCGGCGGGCGTGCGTGCGCGTAGCGAGTCGGTGGACATCTCCTCGCAACTGGCGGACGAGCCGCAGACCTGTGCAACCCGCGCCATGCCCTGCCTGGTGAGGTATGGATGCATTATTGTGATGGATGTTCCGGGTCGGATGCGCAGCCAGCGCCTCGTGGCGGGATTGCAATCAATCCGCCGTCTCGCAGCGTCCAGCCCGACACCGCCTGTCGTGCAACCCGCTGAGCCTGTAACTCCTCACTAACTAACTAACTAACTGTGATGCTGAACGCGCTCGCTGGCTGTGCTCCAATTCTGCGACCGTGGCCACTGGCCAGACAGACCGCCACACTCCGGCCGTACCGCGGTATTACACACGCCCGTCCGTCACAGCCGAAGCTTGACTGGATAGACCTGCGAGACGATGCACCAGCTGGCCCACCAACCTAAAATAAACCCAAACCCCGTCGGTGCTTTTTTGGCTGGTGCCTTGGACGGTTGGCTGGTTGGTTGGCTGGCTCGCTGGCTGCTTGCTTGCTTGCTGCTACTGCTGCTGCTGGTACTGGTGCTACTGCTGCCGGTGACGGGCGTCATGCCCATCCATGGAGCTGAAGAACCGGGGGGTGGGCGTGGGTGTTCACTATCGAAACCTTCACCGGTCTTCTCCTGCCCGTCGACCTGGGCCTGCACGCAATAATAATGCGCAGCGCAGTTACTCATCGACGATAGCCTCGCCGCCAGCCGGGCTAGGCGACCCGCCGCCTGGCGAGTTATTAGCCCGTTATTAGCTGCTGGTATTGTTGTTTTTTTTGATTTTTCTGCTTTGAATTTTTCCCATTTTTTTTTGTTTTTTGGTTTTTTATTCCTTTTTATAAACCGCCGCCGGAGGCACCTGACCCCCTTTGCTCGCCCGCTGCTGGCCATCCATTCCGTGGTTCGTCCGCCGTCGTTGTCTCTCCTCTCGCTCTGCTGCCTCCGGCCCCCTGGCTTGCCCGCCGTCCCCGCGCCCGCTGCACATGAGATTATATTATTCTTCTCTTAGCCTGCACGCTTCTCTCTTCTTGACACACTCGCAGCCCCCCCCCTCCCCCCCGCCGCCCCTTGATATCGCCTGCGTTTCCAGCCTTAGCTCTCACGCCCTCCCTGCCCGCCTCCCCTGTCGACCCCACTCCCGTCTCGTTACAGAAACGGCGCCGACCCTTTTGTCTTTTGCCCTGCATTCGTCCACTCTTCTTTTTGCCTTTGGCTCTCTTTTTTAAAATATCAAATCTTGGCTCTTGCTTCGACGGATATTATCCTTCTTCCACCCACACACACACACCCCCCCTGGCCCCATAGCTTCCGTTAGGGTCTCTCCGGAGTTCGTGTTGTGACGCCAAACCAAATTTATATATCCTATCACATTCCGCCGTCAGCCTGCTGCTCCTCAGTCTGCCTTCTGGTTCGAGACGTTCCTGCTGATCTTCTCGTCTCTGCGCGCCCTCGCCGGTGTACAAACTCGCTCCCCGTCCTCCCAGCATACCCTCTTGGGATCATTTCTATTTATATTCTGTCTTCTATATATACCCCGTATTGGCAACCAAGTTCTTCTCCCCATCTCTTGCTCTCCACAACCGCTTTCCCGTCTCAGTGGGCGCAACTACAAACATCATTTCTCTATCCAAACCACTAGACCTACCTCCGCCGAGACAACATGGCCGGACCTGGTGGTGGCCCTCCTCGCAAGAGCCACACGAAGTCGAGAAAGGGATGCAAGACCTGCAAACGAAGGCATATCCGGTGTGATGAGACGATGCCGCAATGGTAAGCTCTCCGGCCACATCCACTGCTGCCTAGCCCACGAGACTGACTCGCAACGTAGCCGCAATTGCACCAAGCACAACTGCCGCTGTGACTACATGGATAACTTCATAGCCCAGGAGCCAGTCACGAGCCCAAGGTGCCCGGACCTGCTCATGTCCCCTGAAATCGACATGGAGATAGACGCCTGGCAACGATCCGGAAACCCGCCCTTTCCAGAGCTCCAGCCGAGTTCGAGGGCCTACTGGTACCGGTTTTCGAAAACCGATCTACGACTCATCCACCACATCTCCGGTTTATCGATAGACCTGCACCGCAGAGGCTACAGCAACTGCACCGTTTGGGCTCAGAAAATGCCAGTGTATGTGCAGCTCGATGTGGTGAGGTGTGGTTTGACTCGGAAGATGTTAACAATAGACCTAGGTTCCTTGCGATTGCTCTGTCCAACGATTTTGTGATGAGCGCCATCCTCGCCTTGTCTGCCTCGCATCTTGCCTGGATGACGCAAAATCAAGACACCGAGAATCTCGCCTACCACCATAGGGGCGTGGCTTTGAAAGGGCTGCACGAGGCTATTGGTGGGTTTTCTCGCGAAAACTCTGATGCGATTCTGGCCGCTTCTTTGCTGCTCTCGTGGCAGGCAACTGAATGGTATGTTTCCCCAAGAAAATTATGTCAGATCTCATCTCACCAAACTCTGAACAGGAGGAGCTGGGCTTCCTTACAGCAGGGCGTGTCCACCGTGAGTAACTTTGGTTCGTTCCAAAATCGTGGCTTACGGTGGCTTACTTTTACGTTCAATAGGTTCTCAATTCAATGCAACCATGGTGGAAGGACGAATCAGAACTTGCGAGGTTCATGGAAAGTCAACGGGCATTCCGAAGCGCACGAACGCCTATGACGCCAACCTACCCCGGAGACATTGGCCAATTTCACAATGAAGACATCATGAGACTCGACCGTATTCTTGCATCATTGCAAAACATCCACCAACGGATATCACATAATCAGGAGCATTACAGGAGGATAACAGACCTCTTGAACTTTGCCCACCGCCTCCGGGAGGATCTGCCGATACAATCACCGGAGAAAGCCTTCGAAAGGCTGCAGCCTTTGAGGACGTGGCTTTTCTGGTTGCCTCCAACGATGTTGCGAGGCGGCGACTCCGACCTGGGAGCCCTCGCCGTGCTTTCGCAGTTTTTCGGCCTCGCTCTGGCCTTGGAGCCAATCTTCCCAGAGTTCGGTGGATCCTATCTTGGTACTATGTCCGTGACTCCGATAGAGGATATCCGGCGGATATTGTATCACCGAAGGGCCACGAATCCGTTTGCTCCGGATGTACCACTTGCCTTGACCCTTATGGAACTCCCTGGAGAGATCGTCGCAGAATACCGGAGCCGCCTCCAGTGGTCGCCCAGGACCTCACTTGATGCCTACTCGCCCGGCTCACATAGCCCCTACCAGTCGCTCCCAACACCTCACCTGCCCCCCACGCCTACCACCGCAGCGCACTACCCGACCTACACCAACTCGCCGCTGCATTCGCCGCTCACACCGGCAATCGTGGGGTCGCCCTATCAAATGCCGACGATGCTGGATTCGCGGCGGCATTCCCAAGCCTACGCCACGTCACCCAGTCTGCCTCCAGACTCGATCACCGACCGGGCCCCGCAGTACAAACACAACCCGCATGAGCACCACTCTGCGGGCTTCAACCCGGCCTACCTGGGGAATTTAATCCACCCGGGAACCCCGCTGGGCATTGATTACAGTCATGCGCATTCGGTGGATATGACAGGAGGGTTGGTCGCCCCAGAGCTCTGTTGGACCTAAGAATATTCGCCCAGCCTGTCACCTCACCCAGCAATAGACACTCAAACCCCTCCAAATCCTCCATAATGTACTGTACATACATACACACGCCTCACTCGAACATCCTTTCAACTATTCACCGCTTTTTCATGACCAACTTCCTTCCCCTCCCCCCCCATCCCTTATCAAATACCCACCTCGTTACGCTCCTACCCGCTCCTCTCCCCGTTTTGTCTTTTTTTTTATTTTAGCCAAACGTCTTGCTAAGTTTTGGACCGCTGTACTGCCCCAGGCCCCCCAAAATAGCATTTCATCGTGGCGACCTGCAGAGGTCAAAGCAGCCATGCATGAGCCTACCCCCACGTCCCCGATTTTTCGCCAAATGCCCTGCGCGCCATGGTTTTCCCCACTCCGGATAGAGCCTTAATACCGCTCGCCAAGGGGAGGCGTTCATGTAAACTCCCCTTTTGAGTTTCTGTTTCACGACGCTATTTTATCTCTGAAAATTACAAACCTATATTTACGCTGATTTTCTTTTTTATCTTTTTTATCTTTTTATTTTTATTTTTTTTTGTTGCTCATGTTACAATGGATACGTGATGGAATAACCTTGGTTGTCTGCATATTTAGGGATATTGGCTGGATACACACATAACATATACATCAATGGCTCAAAGGTCTTGCTCATGCTCTTTTTGTTTTTTTCTTGTCTTTTTGTTGTTCCTTGGTTGTGATGCTCGCGATGGTTCGTTGACATTCTAAGCTATGGATCCTTCTTTCTTATCTACCTTCCCTAACCAGGGGGGTACTCGGGACTCCTTTTCCTACTGCGGCAAACGCCCAGCGGGAACAGGTTTTCAGCGGCTTGGCTCGTTAACCGCCCTAATCTTCCCTTTCTGAAGTCGCTTAGCTACGCGAGTATTGCTGTAGTATTCTAGTTCGTTAATTGGTTTTTTTTAAAGTGATACATAGATCTCTAATGGACGCAAGAATTGTCCCTCAAACAAACCCAAACTGAAGCTGAAGTTGTATTTGCATTTTGCGCCAAGAAACCGATTGCATGACTAATCGTACGCCAGGGAGATATATTTTCCGTGATTTTACAATGACTCATCAGTTTGGTTTTGTTTGGTGTGTTTGCCACGTTTGTCGGCATACCTCGGTGCCACTATTGCCGCTTTGGGAGGTCAGCTTGTTCTCATAACAGCTGTGATCTCTCGCTCTATTGTTCGTTACCCAGGAATAGATTCGCCTAATTTCGGTTCCATATTTCGATCTTTTTTTCTTAACAGCAAATACAACGGAGCTTGCTCCGTGCCTTACCCGAAATGGCAGATGACGCCGGTGGATGGAGCACGATTGAGTCCGATGAGGTACGAGGCCGCGCTGGCTTTAAGTCATAGCATAACTCCGCTCCACAAGCTATATTCATTCAAGCTTTCCTCTGGTCATACTGAGCTAGCCTCGTGCTAATATCTTGGGACTTCTATCTAGGGGCTGTTTACCTCGTTGATTGAAGAGCTTGGTGTGAAGAATGTCCAATTCGAAGAGCTTGTTTCTCTCGACGCAGATACAATACGATCATTAAAGTAAGAAGTGCTCCCGCGACTTCCGTACCTTCACCCCAGCTCTAACAGTCTATCGTTCTACAATCCAGTACCGTCTACGGCGTAATATTCCTCTTCAAATGGACCAGCGGACAAACGCGCAACGACCGCGCGCCGCACGACGGCACATACGACCGCTCCGTCGCCGATAACCACGGGCTCTTCTTCGCGGCGCAGACGATCCAGAACGCCTGCGGCACGCAGGCCATCCTGTCGGTGATCCTGAACCAGGACACGCGCATCGACATCGGGCCGGAGCTGCGCGACTTCAAGGACTTCACGACGGGCTTTCCGGCGGACCTGCGCGGCGAGGCGCTCAGCAACTCGGCGCCCATCCGCAACGCACACAACTCGTTCGCGCGCGCGTCGCCGTTCGCGGACGAGACCGCGCGCGCGCCCGCGGGCGCCGACGACGACGCCGAGCTGTACCACTTCATCGCGTACACGCCGTTCAACGGCGTGCTGTACGAGCTGGACGGGCTGCAGCCGGCGCCCATCAGCCACGGGCCGTGCGATGCCGCGAGTTTCCCCGAGCGCGTGATCGAGGTGCTGCAGCGCCGCGTTGCGCGGTATCCCGAGGGCGAGATCCGGTTTAATCTGATGGCGGTGGTGGAAGATCCGCGCGCCAGGGCCGCGGAGATGAATGATGAGTTGAAGTTACAGAGTGAGGAGAACAAGCGGCGGGCGTGGGCGTGGGAGAATGCGCTGAGGAGGTGGAATTTCGTGGGGTTTATTGGGGAGATTTTGAAAGGGGTGGTGGGCATGAAGGTTGCAGGAGGACAGGATGAATATGAGAAATGGGTCAAGGAGGCAAGGCAAGAAACGACAAAAAAGCTAAATATGAGGCGTACGGGCGGCGCGGGAGAATGAAAAGCGATACCCAAGAATTTTGGATAAAATATGTAACTATACAGGGCCATGAGCACCCTAATGACTTGACCTTAACACTGAAAATATCGACGAACACACAACAAGACAGCCTAACTACCCGCCACCTTGACAACATGTCAATATCAAATTGCAAATATATATGGTACACTGGAAAGGTATCACAGCTCAAAAAAGAAAAAAAAAAAGAAACAACCGAAATTTGCAAAACCCAAAAAGCAGAACAAAATACCTGCAGCTCAAAAATGGTATTATGAAACTCAGTCAATTTTGGGGGCCCTGATTATTACGAGCCTCTTTTCGGTGTGGCGAATCCAAAAGACAAGATGAGACATATAACTAGTGAATAATAATAGTTTTGCTTGTTGGAAGCTCGAATTTGAGAGCAAGACCCAACGCACTAACGACTCGGCTAGAAAGCAAGTGCAGGTCAGGTGGCCGTTGCCCACTCCACCACCTCCAGGGCAGACATGACCAGAATCAGAGTCGACGGCAGAATCCTAACAACCGCACGTCAGTGGTCTGATCATAGCAATGTACTTGGGTTTACAGCTGTGAGAATCAACAGGCTTTTGGAACACTTACCAGACAACGTAGCTCTGGAACAATAGCTTTGACATGGCACCCATATAGACGTTGTTGATCTGACAGATCTGAGCCAGCTGCAGCGCCGACGGGGCGCCGGTGAGCAGGAAGCACACGATGACGAAGATCGGGTCGTCCAGGATGCTAACAGGAATATACTTGGCGGCCAGCGCGAGAAGAGGACCCATGATCAGCAGAGGTAGGAGCATTCTGGCCAGCAGAGAGGCAATGATGAGATTACGCTCGTCGCGAGGATCATCTTCGGGATCATGAGCGTCCTCTGGGAGGGTGTTACGTGCCAAATTGGCACCAAGGACAACGAGGATCAGGGGGACAGCGACGCCTCCACTCTGGGTGACAGCGCTGGTAAAAGAATTATGGATGAACGTTCCCTTTGTGAAGAGAAGGCGCTGCAAAGAAGGAATGGAGGCGACGAAGATGGCAGCAAGCATGGCCCACAGTGGCGGGCTCATGAAGTCCCAAAGACCATACAGGAAGCGGGAGACTTTATGCCAGGCCCAGGTGTATGATTTCTGCATCCACAGCGGCAGGGAGGTAAACACACGGTTTGCCCTGTCTCGCACGGCGTCGTTGACGTGGCTAGCCGCCGACGAGATGGCCAGCCGGCACTTACCAAGACGGGATTCGGCGGCAGCGGGACTGACCGCTTCCTCCTGTGGCGTGACGGGAGGGAAGGACGCAATATCACCAGGCGCGGGCTGCGGCAGCCGGAGCGGCATGGTTTGCCTCTCACTGCCGTTCGCCAGCTTGACATAGGAGCGACTTCTTTCCGTGATCGGCGTCTGATCGCCGGATTCGAACCGAGAACCCTCAGACGGCGACGACTCATCGCCCACGACGGTGGGATCGGAGTCGTCTTCAGGATGATCATAGTATCTTGCCTGGCCGTCTTCAATGCGGGCATTGGCGCGTTCCTCCTCGTCCCGATAATACTGCTCCTTGGGAGCCAGAAGCACACGGTATCCCCAGGTCCAGCGAACCAGCTGTCCCAGCTGTTGGAAGATCAGCAGGTAGAGAATGCCACGGGCTGCAACCTCGTCATCTGTGTCACCAGGGACCCTGTCCCAGTGAAGGCCTTGGATGGTCTGGGAGAGCGATAACACGAGGGAGATGGGGAGCGAATTTGAGTTACCGAAGACCTGCAATCATGAACGGTCAGTACAGTGATGGCAAGCCGGTGCTGCGCCACTTACGCCCATTGCGGTTACAAAGTTGGTCTGGCGTTTCCGCAGACGGAAGACGCGTGAAGCCAATTGGGAAGTCAGCCACGAGACAATCGTCTGGACGACAAAAATAACGGGGATCACGGCCAGTTCGGCCAGCTTTGCGGCGGTCAACTGGGAAGCTAGCTTGGTGAAGACTGGGCAACACAGGATGCAAGTCCGTCAGCTCGTCGGCCCGAATCAGGTTTTTTTTTTTTTTTTTTCTCTGCTAATCTATTGAATGAAAGGACATAGACATACTAAGGCATGGCGTGAACAGCATGACGTTGAGATTGGCCACGAACTTCTGGGCGTCGGCGTCGAACATGCCCATGCGGGCGACGATGTAGCCGGGCAGGCTGACGAAGACGACCTCCAACACAGCCTCGAAGACGAGCAGGGCGAGATGCGGCAGCGAGGGATGCGATGCATGCGGGCGGGGCACCCCCTGGATGACGGGCGGGGAAGAATGGGCCATCGCGGCCAGAGCGGTGGCATTCAGGCTGGCATGGCGAAAGGACGTCGGGGGGGCAAAAAACGGCATTGGGAGGGCTGCGAGGATGGGCGGGCAGCGCACAGCGGTTCGCGAGGGCCCGTTGGGTGCAGCAATGGCGGCAGGGGCAGGTTGAGCCCAACAGCAGCCTGCGCAGCTCCGGAAACTTGGTTTGGGACGGTTGAGGAGGAGAGGAGGAGGATGTGGCGGGAGTGGTGAGAGTGGCGGGCGTGAGAGAGCGGCAGCAACGCTCAGGCTGGACGGGCTGGATGCAGAGACCAGCGAGCGAGCAGCGAGAGGGCCGGGAGGAAGCGAAGGAGGGAGAAAAACGAGCAGAAGCGCAGCGCAGCGCAGGCGAGACGAGATGAGACAGGACGAGACGAGCGAGTGAGCGAGCGCGTTGGCTGGGATGATGAAATCGCCCAGCCCGCCGAGCCCGCCGAGCCCGCCCAGGCCGCGCTAGGGCTCCCACGGGCGGCGCTGGTTGGCCGGCCGGCGCGCTGTGACGTCACGGCCAAAGACCTGTTTCGCGACGGACGTTGGGCGCGGTGCCAGGCGCGCGAGGCCGCTGCAGAGAGCTCATGAATGCCAGTATAATTAATTTGGATATTACTGTGTTTATATTTAGTAATATTGAATATATTTCTGAGATAATTCTACATTTTAAGAAATAAAAAATTCCCACAACCGCGTCGGGCCAGACCTCGCGGCGCGGCTGCACAGGCAGAACAGCGCGCGCAGCCAATGGCAGGGCTGGGTGCGAGCGTGTGCGCTCGCGCAGAATAGTAAACCCGCGCCGTGCGCTAGCCGCATACGGCTAGCGTAGTTGCTGCCCAGTAGCTGCAGAGCCGCTTTTACTGCGCCCAGGGCGACGGACCCACGTGACGTCACGGGCGAGGCGAACGTGGCGGCGGCGACAAGAAACCGGCCGTTGGGCAACGCGGCGTGCAGGCGGCTGGGGGGCAGGGATGACAGCAATGACAATAACAACGGGCAGCAGGGCAGGGCAGGGCAGGCCGGGCCCGAGGCGCAGAGCCAGCTGGCCCTTCCCGCACCCGCTGGTTAGCGCGGACGGCCGTTGCAACAGGGTGGCGGACCAGCACAGCGGCGGCGGGGCGCGGGATTCACGGGCGCGTGGCCGGCACTGGCAGCCCGCGTTGCGTCAGGGCGAGCAGCCTTGGCTTGGGCGGACGCACACCCGGGCGGCCGGGGCGAGGAGCGCAGCGCAGCGCAGCGCAGCGCGCGCGGGTGTGTGTGTGTGTGGTCAAGCCTTGCGAGGCGGGCATGGGCCTGAAAGCTTACGAGTTCGCGCGGCCGCGATCAAGCTTTCTGCGGGCGGCGCCGGCGCGCGACGCAGCGTCATGACTGACGCCTGCCAACGCGCGCCGACCGCCGTGCCCACATGCAACCCGCGTAGCCATAATCATAATAGTCATAGTAATAGTAATTTTAATCTCATCGTCATGGCCCACGGCGCGCCGTTTCGTTCTCGTTCCCGCTCCCGCGCACGCGCACACCAACGCTGCCTTGCTGCCTGCTAGTTAGTCAGGTCGCGCAAGCCTGCTTTGGCTCTGACGCCAGAAGTTGGCAGCCCATCCAGCAGCAGCCATCATCGTAGGATCCTCCCGTGCTTGCTCAACGCCACCAGCCGGCGCTGCACGCACGCGAGCGGACCTGTCTCACCCACCCACCACCGGTTGCGTTGGGCGTTGGGAGCTGGGCGTCAGCGCCTGCAGGCCCTGGCTAGTGATGTAGCATCACCGCCAGCAACATCCTCGCTGCTACTGCTGCGACTCATCGCCCTCCTGTCGCCGCCGTGCGCTCTGGCATCGCCCAACGCGGCTTCGCGCCACGCACCGCCCGAGTCAGGCCGGCGCTGGCCGCCAAAAGTCACAGCCGGGTCGCCACCGACGGTCCCGTGACTGGCGGGCCCGCCGCGCTGCTGTGGCGCCCCGAGCGCACGCTGATTGGCCGCCGCTGCTCCCGCCGCCACCCGCCAAGGCTCAAGCCACAGTGCCCGGGCTCAACGCAAACGCGCGCCCGCCCGCCCGCTATTTATGCCGCTGCCTGGCCGTGTCCGTCGCCGCTGTCGCCGCCGCCGCCGCGCTGTTCTTCCACCTCTGCTGCGTGTGTTGCTTGCTGCTGCTGCCTTTGTGCCGTGACTCCCTGCCCTGCTGTCCGTCGCCCCGTCTGCCGCTGCACCGCGGGCTGCTTGTCTGTCTGGGCTGGTGCTGATCGCCGTGGGGCGCCTTGCGATCTCTCGGCGATTTCTTCGCGCATCCTCTCGGTCTATTCTATTCTATTTTTTTTTTGACTCGTGTGCCCAAGCCCAGCACGCCCGACCAGCGGCCCATGCTAGGCGGCGACAAAAATAACACCATCCCACCAGCTTCGACGTTGGCTCCGACGTGCTATTTAACCGCCAGTCCCGCGCCCCGCCCAGCGCCGGTGTGGGCGGAAGCTGGCCACCGGGGGACGAGGCAAGATACGAGAAGACCGGAGACACGGAGTGAACGGAAATAGAACAATCCAGAAAAGAACCATCGCAACCGCCCGACCAGCCTTGTGCTGTCTTTGTGTGGCGGGCAGCCTGGTCTGGGGAGAAGAAAAGAAAGGAAAGAAAAGGAAAGGAAAGGAAAGGAAAAGAAAGAAAAGCAGCCAACTGGGAGAGGGAACAAGAAGAAGAGAGAAACGACACACAGCCAGAGAGGAGAGAGACACTACACGATGGACGCTGACGCTGACGCCGCGCCGCCCGCGCCCGCGCGCACGCCGTCCAGCAGCCCGCCCGCCAGCAGCCCTGACGAAAGCTCGCCCGACGACGCCAGCTCGACGACGGGCGCGCAGCCGCCGTCGCTGCGCGCGGTGTCGCCGGCTGCCATGACGGCGTCGTCCACGCCGCTGGGCCATATCAACGCTGCTCGCCGGCCCGCGCCGCCCACGCCGGGCCACTCCAGCGGGCTCAGCCAGGACATCCAGGCCAAGATGAAGGCCTTCTCGCTGTCGCGCCAGGGCGCCCGCCCGGTCGGCAGCCCGCAGTCCGCTGCCGCCGCCGCAGTGTCGTCGCCGTCGCCGCTGTCCCCCGTCGGCGATGCTGATCCCATCGCCCTGGCCAGCGCCCGCCTGCCCCTGTCCCCGCCCACCAGCCGCCCGCCGCCGCCCGCCAGCTGGGCGTCGTTACCAGCGCCGCGCGCCCCGCGGCCCGGCGGACTGGCCGCCAAACGCGGGCTCAACCAGCCCATGAAGCTGTCGGACGCGGGCGCCACGCGGCCCCCGCTGCCAGGCGCGCCGTCAACGCTGCCGGCCGGCGTGCCGTCCAAGGCGTCGTTCGCGCACGCGCAGTCGGGCTTCAGCAAGTACGCCGAGATCATCGACACCACCGCCGGCACGCTGCAGTTCAAGGACAAGGCCGTCATCCACGGCGGCGGCATCGACTTCACCGGCGGCCGCAGCTTCACCATCTCGCTGGACGAAGTCGACACGCTCGACGAGCTGGGCAAAGGCAACTACGGCACCGTCTACAAGGTGCGCCACTGCCGCCCGCGCCTGCGCCGCCCCGGCCGTGGCCTGCGAGGCTCGCTGGGCGTGCCGCCGCCGCATGATACGCAGACACCGGCCCAGACGCAGTCGCAGTCGCAGTCGCAGTCACAGACCCAGACACAGACACAGGCGCCGTCCGCTCCGCCGCCCGCCGCGCCCGACGCCCTGTCCAACGTCGTCATGGCCATGAAGGAGATCCGCCTGGAGCTGGACGAGGCCAAGTTCGCCGCCATCATCATGGAGCTCGACGTGCTGCACCGCTGCGTGTCGCCCTTCATCATCGACTTCTACGGCGCCTTCTTCCAGGAGGGCGCCGTGTACATCTGCGTCGAGTACATGGACGGCGGCTCCATGGAGAAGCTGTACGGCGACGGCGTGCCCGAGTCCATCCTGCGCAAGATCGCGCTGTCCACCATCATGGGCCTCAAGTCGCTCAAGGAGGAGCACAACATCATCCACCGCGACGTCAAGCCCACCAACATCCTGGTCAACACGCGCGGCCAGGTCAAAATCTGCGACTTCGGCGTCAGCGGCAACCTCGTCGCCAGCATCGCCAAGACCAACATCGGCTGCCAGAGTTACATGGCTCCCGAGCGCATCGCCGGCGGCGCCCCCGCCTCGGGCCCGGACGGCGGCACCTACAGCGTGCAGAGCGACATCTGGAGTTTGGGCCTGTCGCTGGTGGAGTGCGCCATGGGCCGCTACCCCTATCCGCCGGAATCCTATAACAACATCTTCAGCCAGCTGAACGTAAGTTACATCACTTATCCTGTTGAAAGACAAACACTGACTGACTGACTCGACAGGCCATTGTCCAAGGCGAGCCGCCCACGCTGCCCGACGACGGCTACTCCCCCGACGCAAAGGACTTCGTGCAGTGCTGTCTCAACAAGAACGCTGCGCTGCGCCCGACCTATGCCACCCTCCTCCGCCACGCCTGGCTCGCCGATCTGCTGGCTCCGCCCCCGGCCGTCGACGGCGCCGACGACGCCGACGCGCCACTCGACACCGCGGACGAGGAGGTCGCCGCCTGGGTGAAGGACGCCTTGGACCGTCGCCAGCGCGGCGTCATGGGCCGCCACGCCCAGCCCGCCCTGCACAAAGTCGCCCTGGACGCCGTGCCCGGCAGCCCACTTCTCGACGACCCGGCCAGCCTGGCGGCGTTCCAACCACAGTGATCCCATTGGAATCCTATGCCCGCCGCATCCTTCCTCGGCAGCTGCGGCGGCGCCTCTCGCGCACCCGCTGCTAAGCTTTTGTTTCCCTCCGCCCTCCCCTTTCCCTTTCCCCTTCCCCTTCCCCTTCTCTGCCCTCCCCACTCTCGCTGCTACAAACTTGTTGCCTACATATGACATTTAACGGGCTCTCCTGATGTCGTCAGCGTCTGCAAGGTTTTTCTTTTTATTTCTTCTTAATATGATCGTCTTGGGCTTGGTTCATGGTTTTTCTTAGTTGTCTGGGCGGCTGGCTGTCTGTTTTTGTCTCCTTGGTGATTAACTACCTAGTTGTCTGTTAACTACCTACCTGCCTCACTAGCTACCTGGCATGCCTCGTTCTGATCAGCTCATCGTCATTCCAACATCGGGTGTTTTTCCTCTGCTCCTCGGGTTTTTTCGGCATTCATGTTTTCTGGGGCTATTTTGCTTTGTCTGCCATGCTTCTTCCGACTCCTGCATCAAACACACGCCCGCCTTGGGTGGATGTACTGTACGACTCACGTTCCCTTGATTGACTAGTTATATCTGTATGTATTAGTAGCTATACGAAAAGCCTTAGACATCGCGAGACCTCTTTCTCCCTCCCTCTACGTCGTCCGCCGGGCTGACTAATTGCACGCGACCAGATTCTTCGTGCTCGTTCTTCCCTGACTAATTCCACCCAAAGTTACATCGATATCCTGCTGGTTCCGCGCAAGCCCTCCCCCAGCATTACCAATCGTTTTTCTAGATTTTTATTTATTTAATTGTGTTTCTGCCCCACTGCCGGGCCAGGGAGAATCCGAAAAGAAAAAGGAGGGAATGCTTGCCCGCTGCCCACGTCCGTCGAAGGCATCGATTATTCGCACCGCAAGCCCCTCAACCGCTATCTACTTCTCGCGCTGCAACGCCCGCATATCGACCAGTCGACCCCTGGTGACGGTGACGGCGACGGCGACATCCTCGAACACGCTGCTTCCTGCGAGCAGATCCTCCCCCGCGCGGCCCACGGCGACCTCCCACCGTCTCGGATCGCTCAGCCGGCACTTCGCGCGTTCTCCTCAAGCGGCGGCCACGAACACCTCAGGCACCATGGCGCCCGTTGATCTTAATAATAGTAATGTGCAGGTGGAGAAGTACGACTACATCGTCATCGGCGGTGGCAGCGGCGGCAGCGGAGCGGCGCGACGAGCGGCCGGCTGGTACAAGGCGAAGACGCTGATCATCGAGAACGGCCGGTCGGGCGGCTGCTGCGTGAATGTCGGGTAACTAGGCTTCCTCGCTGCCTGCTTGTATTTGTATGGGAGCCACAGGCTGACCCGGGGATCTTTTGTTAGGTGCGTGCCGAAGAAGATGACGTGGAACTTCTCGTCGATCGCGGAGACGCTGCGCGACGGCGTGCACTACGGCTACGACATCCCCGCGGACGTGCCGCGCGACTACGGCTTCTTCAAGCGCAAGCGCGACGCCGTCATCGAGCGCCTGAATGGCATCTACGAGCGTAATTGGAACCGCGAGGGCATCGACCTGGTGCACGGCACGGCCACGTTCGTGGGGCCAAAGGAGCTGGAGGTGACGCTGCAGGACGGTGAGGGCAGCAGCAGCAGCAGCACCAGCAGCAGCAAGGCGGCGCGCCGTCGCTTCACGGCGCCGCACATCCTGATCGCGACCGGCGGGTACCCGATCGTGCCGAAGACGCCGGGCGCCGAGCACGGCATCACCAGCGACGAGTTCTTCGCGCTGGACGCGCTGCCGCGCAAGGTGGCGGTGGTGGGCTCGGGGTACATCGGCGTGGAGCTGGCGGGCGTGATGCACGCGGCCGGCGTGGAAACGCATCTGTTCTGCCGCCATGCGACGTTCCTGCGCAAGTTCGACCCGATGATCCAGCACACCATGACCAAGCGCTACGAGGACGCGGGCATGAAGATCCACAAGAACTTCGCCGGCGTGCGTGAGGTGCAGCTGCTGCGCGAGGGCAAGGACGGCGCTGAGAAGCTGCTCCGCCTCGTGATGAATGATGGCAGCGAGATGGAGGTGAATGAGCTGCTGTGGGCCATTGGCCGCGCGCCCGCGGTCGATAACCTGGGCCTGAAGGATATTGGCGTGCAGCAAGTCGCCGGCGGGCATATTGTGGTCGATGAGTTCCAGAATACCTCGGTCGAGGGCATCTACGCGCTCGGCGATGTCACTGGAAGGGCTGAACTGACGCCTGGTAAGCTACCCCCTTCCCCTATATCTCGCGAACTTTACCATCATTGGATACTGACTAGGATTGCTAGTTGCTATTGCAGCCGGGCGGCAGCTCGGAAACCGCCTGTTCGGCCCTCCGGAGCTCAAGTCGTCCAAGCTGTGCTACGACAACATCCCCACGGTCGTGTTCGCGCACCCCGAAGTGGGCTCAATCGGGCTGACGGAGCCCGAGGCCGAGAAGGAGTACGGCAAGGACAATTTGAAGATCTACCACACCAAGTTCACGGCGATGTTCTACGACATGATGCCGCCGGAGGAGAAGGCGCACAACCCGACGGAGATGAAGCTGATCTGCGCGGGGCCGGAGGAGAAGGTGGTTGGCCTGCATATCCTAGGCCTGGGCGTCGGCGAGATGCTGCAAGGCTTTGGGGTCGCGGTGAAGATGGGCGCGACCAAGAAGGATTTTGACAGCTGTGTCGCGATACATCCTACGTCTGCGGAGGAATTGGTGAGTTTGGCTATGCCCCTCTAGAGTTGGGAGCCGTTCGGACCTGCTGACGAATTTATAGGTTACGTTGAGATGAGAAGTACGGGCCGGTCTTAGAATTTCGATGTTGATATTGATAGACAGTTATAAATAAGATACATCTTTTGCATATACACACAGCCGGTGACTGTTTGCCTCCTGCCATCCCCTGCTTCTTCATGGGTAGATATCCGCCGATTGCATGCTAACTCACGCGGTGCGCTCACAGCTTGGCCTTGCCAGCGCTGGGGGGCGAGATGTCGACGGGATCCCACCAGGGGTACACGGACGGCAGATCGTCGGGGTTGGTGACAGACGCAGTGAACCGCGGCGGGCGCTTCTCGAAGAAGCTCCGCACGCCCTCCTCGTTGTCGCGCGAGCCGAACAGGCTGTAGATGACGGCGGAGTCGAGCAGGTGGGTGGCCTCGGGGCTGGCGGGCCCGCGGTACATCATGTCGCGCATCAGGGCGGTGGCGACGGTGGACGTGTTCTGGGCGATGTCGGCAGCCAGCTCGAGGGCGCGGCGCAGAGTCTGGTCGGCGTCGGGCAGGATCTCGGAGAAGAGGTCGCGCAGCAGCGGGTGGGCGGCGGGATACACGGCGCCGGTGGTGACGACGTGCATGGCGCGCCCGTGGCCGATCAGCCGCGGCAGGAAGAACGACGATACGGCTTCCATGACCAGTCCGCGGCGCGCGAACACGAAGCCGACTTTGGCGTCCGCGGGTGCCAGTCGGATGGTCGCTGGCAGCGTCATGGTGATGCCGATGCCCACGGCGGCGCCGTTGAGGGCTGCGATCGTGGGCTTGCGGCACCGATGGATGGCCAGCGCGACACGGCCGCCGCTGCAGCATCAGTCAGTCAGACAGTCTGTTTGGCAGTCAGAGAAGAGAGGAGACACACGCATCGCGGTGGTCCTTTGCGCGCTCGACGTCGCCGCGGTTGGTGTGGCCGTCCTTGCCGGCGCCCTTGGGGAAGCCCAGCTCGAGGTCGGCGCCGGCGCAGAACGCGCGGTCACCAGCGCCGGTCAGCACGATGGCCTTGACGCGGTCGTCGGCGTCGGCCATGGCGAAGACGGTGGCCAGCTCGTCGGCCATGGTGGGCGTGAAGGCGTTGAGCTGGCCGGGCCGGTTGAGCGTCACCAGCAGCACCGGCGTGGCGGCGGGCGCGCTGGCGGGCACATGCGCCAGCGCGATGTGCTGCGTCGGCAGCGCGGCGTACGAGGCGGGCGGCGCAGTCATCGCGAGCAGAGCAGAGTAGAGCAAGCAGTGCAGGCAGAGCAGCGCAGAGCAGCGCAGCACCGTGAAACCGAGAATAATTCCCTACCTATATAGCTAGCCAGAATACGATGTCCGTTGCTGGTCCGGCCGAGCTTCCTCGGGCCGCCACGCGGGGTGCCGCCACTAACTAACTAATTAACTCCGACATCTATAGCCATTGTTCAACGACCGTCTGAGAGCTAACTACTCCGTACAGAGTATATCGAACACAGCCAACTGCTGAATGCACAACAGTGTCCTACACCAATATAACGCTCCATTAAAAGCAGCCTGAGGAAACCCTGCCGAAAGCCAGGCCCATCCTATCAGCACTGGACATCTGCCCTGTCAACCGCCAGACACAGCTTGGCTCTGCTGGCCCAATTTTAAACTTGGCTGCCGCAATGAACACTTTCAGAGCGGCACTCTTAGCGACGAGGGAATGTCGTCTGTCACCTGCGGCTCGCCTTCTTACTTTTCTTGGATATTTCGACGTCACCGCATCAGAAGAACGGCCGACGGGTCCGGATAGACATTTTCATCCAAGTTCAGGTTGAGCGGGCGGCGTGTTCCGTCCGGGAATTTGAAGTCATAATGCAGAATCAAGTTGCCCACTATCATCTTGATGATCAGAGATGCGAAGAAGCGGCCGGGGCAGGCGTACTTCCCGTGGCCGAAGTGGAGGTTGTTGACATCGGTGCTGGCAAACTGGTGCTTGTTTACTTCCCGGGGGTCTTCGCGAAGTTTTTTGTAACGAAATCCATCAAATTTCTCCGGCGAGGGAACAATTTTGGGGTCCTGCAAGATCGAGTACGAGGGCATGCCGAAGTGAGTTCCCCTTCGTATTTGCGTCCCATCCGAGAGAGTCAGAGGCTTTTTCACAATACGGTTGAAAGACACTGTAGGAGGATAGGGGAGAACGATGCGTTAGCAAGAGCTGCGATCAGGCTGGATCAGCACATAGTTAACTAGACTTACGGAAGCTTGGTGGATAGAATCGCTGAGACTCTTTCATGAAGCTGTCCATTCCATGCATTTTATTCGGCGTGGTCTTGTCCCACCCACCATCTGCCGCAAGAGCACTGAGGAGCTCTTCTCGAAGAGGCTCAAAGTACTCAGGGTGATCGCATATATCATAGAGTGTTTGCACAGCGGCCGTGGTTGTCGTATTCAGCGATCCCAGGCTCAATGTGAATTGGCGATGAGCAAGGCGGTGCGATGCTGCCTCGTTCGGCTTGGCCAGATCCATCATCCCTTGCAACAAATCCTTGGGTTTGTCATAGCTAAGATTCTTCAGTGCCTGATCTCGCCGCCGCTGTTCAATGATAGGAGCAAGGATGCCCTTCGCCGTTGACAGGTCGGATTGAACTCGCCAATAAGAAGACAAAAAAGGTGCAAGGAGCGAGCGGAGAAAGGTAGGGAATTTCCGCAAAGACGTCATGGTCATGAAAATATTTTCGGCGTACGTTATACTCGCTCTTATCCAATCTTCATTTCTGCAAACCGCCGAACCGACGAAGGCGCGGGCAGAGAGCCTTGCTACGAATCGTCGAAGAATGCCAGGCATCTGAACTTCAACCCATTCATCTGTTGCCAGCCGAAGACAGCGATCATTAGCCGTGAGCCCTTGAAGGTACGGTGGGGATTACCTTCACAATCCGGAAGCTCCACTGTCATGGAAAAGTCAAGCTCAGCCTTGAGTTGCTCAGTAAGGACTCCCAGGTTTGGAGTAAGTTTTGTTTGCAATGCCTTGGTGTGCAGATCCCCGTCAAGGAGAATGTCCGTTCCTGTTATTGAGCCGAGGAGGATCTGTGAATGCGCACTGGTATTAGTGCCTTGTTTAGTTGTTCGCATAGCTGGAAATGCCGTACTTTTACATGAGCATCGATGGCGCCAATGTGTTCCTGAGGAAGGCTTCTCAACTCGTCAACAAATCTGTTAGAAATTACCAGTATATCCGAGTCTCTCTTATGGATCTTGAACATTGAATCCCGATACTGCAGTCACGTTAACAAAACTTTTGGTAAATTTAAAGTAAAGACACCCACGAAAACCACAGGCAGTCGAGTTGAGGGCACCTACTCGCCGAAAGCCTTCTTGGATGAGGAATGGTACTTGCTGTGCTGATAGGAGACTTGCAACCCATACTGGAGCCCAAGATGATTCGTAACCAACATATGGCGCCTTGACATCACCGAAGATTGTTCTCGCGAGCTGCCAAAGAACAATTGTCACGATACTGACGAGGACTATTATGCTTGTGCCAGAAGGCAGGTCAAGCCAAGGGTGAGCAGGAGAGATAGACAGGCCCAGCAGGGGATAATCGAAAAAGGCCATATTTTGACAGTAGAACCCCTCAGTCAGGAGTCAAAATATTTCCCTGGAGTGTCGCCGGGTCAGGCACACTACTCGCGGTTGGAGCGATCCTCGGGCTTTTGAATAGTGACGTCGGCCATTAGAAATACGGTGAGCTTCGTTTTTCCTTTGTATGTACATGCATACTACTGCTTAGTATTGTGCATAGTATGTGTGTGTGTATACAAGGAACGCCATATGATCACCGAGATAGGAGAAGAAGCGCATGAGTGGAGGCAAATGCGGGCGTCTTCCCACTCTCGGCAAGCCATAAGAATGAAGCACGGTATTATTGGCCGTATAGCGTGGAAGAATGTGACAACGTGTCCACCCCAATGATGCGTTGGAGTTGGTTCCCAAAGAAACTCGAATATTAATGGATGGCATGCCATTGATCAGGTGCCAAGGAGTGGAGTCTTGCATGCGCTTCACACGGGCTTTTCTGCCCAGGTCGCACAGCCACCTGGAGATATGCTCGCATTGTAAAAAAAGGCGCATGTATTGTGTTGGTGTTTTATCCAGGAAAGACTACTCCGTACTCTCTTTGTTTGTGATCGGCCGTGGCATTCAGTCGATGCCGAGCCTGTCCCGAGGGAGCGGAGTCGCATGCTACTCCATAGAGCAGAGTGTTTTGCGCAGACAAGTCAGCAAAGACAGCGGCGGAAACGCAAGACCCCTGTAGTCGCATGAACCGACGCAACGCCATGCCCAAGCGATGGGATACACTTCATGCAGAGGTCAAGGTTTTTTGTCGCCAGACCTGCCATTATTAAGAATTCTTGTTAATCTCGGTATCCGCTGCGGGATATTCCTTTAGAAGAATCAGCAAACGACAGGATCAACTTCCAGGGGGCCATGAAGAGACCTGCCACAGACGAGGACGATCAGAAGTCGTGCGAGGACGAAATAACGGCGTGACGGGCAATGCTTACTAATATGGTATTTATGGGGCACGTATGGAAGGAAACAATACGGACCTCGATCAGGTTTAGCTGCCTGATGGCGGCACCACCTGGTTGGCCAGGATATTTGGTATTGTACTGTCCTTACACTGCGTAATTTATCGTCCGCATCACGCGCCGGCAACATTGGGGGAAAAGCAGAGCTTTTGTTTTCATTCCAGCAAACACGTATGCAGCGACTGAACGTCGTCGACAGAGCGTGGCGCTCCATACCAATTAAGCTAGCTGCACCCCGATGGAGCGTTAACCGCCCTAGGCTGCCCGGATTGGGAATTCGACTATGCTCCTGCACAGCGCCGAAGCCCTCGGATTTCATCTCTCCGTCAAGAAATGAAGCAAGCCCCGCCCCTCTGAGTCCCGCTGCCGACCATCGAGCAATTGGCACCGCTCAAGAACTTTTTGTGACGTCTTCGTATAGCCCGGGGTCTCCTCTATTCCAACCGAACGGCACACACATTCTCAACAAGCTCATATCGTTTCTCCGCACACAATATAAACAGTATGGGTTTCAGGAGGTGTTAACGCCCAATATATATAAACAGTCCCTCTGGGAGATCTCTGGTCACTGGCAAAACTACAAAGATGACATGTACGAGGTTCGGGGTAGGGGTGCTACTGGAGAAACTATAGACGGAGAAATTGGTGAGGATGAATCCTATGGCCTCAAGCCAATGAACTGCCCCGGCCACTGCATCTTATTCAAATCCCAGAAATGGTCATATCGAGACCTCCCTGTCAGATTTGCAGACTTCAGTCCTCTTCACCGGAATGAGGTTTCTGGATCATTGACGGGGCTTACTCGGGTACGAAGATTTCATCAGGATGATGGACATATCTTTTGCCGACCCCAGCAAATTGGAAAAGAAATCCAATTGGCACTGAACTTTACAGATACCGTGATGAAGACGTTCAATCTGGGAGAATACAGACTTGTTCTGTCGACGAGGCCCGAGAAAGACTTCATTGGTAGCCTTGAGCTGTGGGATTTGGCTGAGAAGCAACTCAGAGATGCGCTGGGAAACAGTGGGAGGCGCTGGGAGATCAACGAGGGCGACGGCGCATTCTACGGCCCTAAAATCGACTTTCAACTTCAGGACTCTGACGGAAAATTCCATCAACTATCTACTATCCAGCTTGATTTGAATCTTCCTGAGCGCTTCGGGTTAGAGTACTTTGTTCCCGAAGGGGAATCTGACTACGATGCTTCCACTGGTGGAAGAAGTACACCTGTCCTCATACACCGGGCAATATTTGGCTCCCTTGAGCGCTTCCTTGCTCTTCTAATTGAACATTACAACGGCCGATGGCCCTTCTGGCTCTCTCCTCGTCAGGGAATTATTTTGACTGTGAACCAAGACGAGAGCGTGCTTCGCGCTGCGGATAGAGCGGCAGAAAAAATGTGCGGTTACCAGCAGCTTCCCCTACAAGATGCGGCTGAAGCCGACCTTCCAGCTGCCCCATTATCGCCCCTGCAGGCTACGTTCCAAATTGATGTCGATAAATCCGCGCGTTCTTTGTCGAAGAAAATCAGAGAAGCCCAACTAATGAAATACAATCTGATATTTGTCATTGGACCGAAGAATCTAGCTGATGGGAGTGTGGACATTGACTTGACAGGCCAGGTATTCGGAAAGGATGAGAGTGCAATCAAGCAGCTCTTGGACGATACGCCTGGCTGGGATGCAAATATCTCCTCCAATGGCAAGTCGGCCAAACTGAAGATGAAGGCGGATGATGTTCATAACTGGCTGCTCCACTTGGAACGGCGATTTTATTAGAAAGCCAGGATGCAACTGTATGTATTCCGTGCATGTAAACAGGCATGCAATGGAGGCTGTATTGATGGCCCCTGCGTTGGCCCTACTCCGTTCTCCGTAAATGTCGATGTGCTCTCCTGGGCCCTGTGCCACTCCGTAACGCGCAACGGCTCGCGCTAGCCTGGCCGGTGCTAGCGCGGCCGTGGCGCTCCCGCCCCTCAGGCATCGCACGCCCCGCCCGAGCAGCCGAGCCGCGCAGAACAGCCTGGGAGCGCATTGGACTGTCTGTATTCCTTGTGCGAGCTGGATGGTCCCAATACTGGGCTGCACGCGACCTTGCGCATAGTTATACCCTTGTCGGCCTTTTGATCCTTTCGCCAAATGGCCGGCGATCCCTTCACACTCCCCTCTTGCCCGGTTGTCCTGCGGTCTTGTGACTCAAATGCCTGAGGCGAGTTCGAAGCCTGGGGTGCCCAGGAAAAGCGCTTTCTCGTGTGAAGCATGTCGGAAGCGAAAGGTTGGGAACCGATAAACAGGGGCGCACATACGTATCGAATTCTGCTGACCGTCTGTCGCTGGTATCTAGGTCAAATGCAATGGAGCCAGCCCCTCGTGTTCCCGATGTTCTGCCCGCGGGGAACCTTGCATCTACAGTTTGTAAGTTCAGTTGACGATGGAATGCTATCCGTGAGTTAACATTGCGGATGCGGGTAGAACACCGACTCTGTCGTATACCAAGTCCCTGGAGGCGCGGATTGTAGATTTGGAGAGAGAGCTGGCAAAACTCCGAAATGAGCCCCGGGAGCGCAACGGGAGTAAGCAGAAACTGAAAACAGAGGATGTCGAAACGAAAGTGCCTTTGGAAAGGCTTACTCGGCATGCCAGCGAGACAAAGGACGAAACGGACCCTTTGGATTTGTCGCAGGACATCGAAGGCTTGAAAATGGAGGACGATGGGCGGATATCTTTTCATGGGCCTACAAGCTTATTCCAACTACCGAGCGGTGCTCCGAGGGAAAATCTAGGCCCTACCCAGGCGCATCAGGGGTTGGATGGCCGAAAAGAGAGACTGATAAACAACGCTTGGAGAGAGCGCGCTTTTGAACAGCTCGCCACCATTCCTGTGCGATTCCCATGGCTTTTCACGCGCGGTTTGGATCCATCTCTAATTTATTCCTCAGGAACCTTTTCATTATCTCCTTGACTCGCATTGGTGCTGGATACACCCGCTTTTTAATTTCGTCTACAGACCAGCGTTTACCCGTATGTGACACCTCTGCTAGATACCTTTACTAAAGGACAGGACTAATACTATCCTCTCCTGCTAGGTGACATGAAGATGAACGGACCGTATTACTCAGAGGTTCTTTTAAATGCCATTCTCTCCCACTCTCTCCGATGGTGCAAAAGCGAGCCTAAAATCAGCCGCCTTCTTGATCCGTATGACGGAGGCACTCAGTTCTTCAACAGAGCAGTCGACGGCCTTTACGATAGTCTTAAACAAGGAGATGGACGAATACCAATCGTACAATCCCTGCTGCTATTGAGTGCGCAAGAGTGTGGTCGTGGAAACAGAACCCAGGCGTGGCTTTATTCCGGCATGGCATTTCGATTGGTAGAAGATTTGGGAATAACAATTGATAGTCGAAAATACTCGGGCTCCGTTCAATTTTCAGACGAGGATGTGGAAATTCGGAACCGGCTGTTCTGGAGCTGTTATTTTTGGGATAAACTAGTTTCCCTGTATTTCGGCCGATCCCCAATAATCCAAGATACTCCAGTTAGCCCACCTCAGATGTTATGTAAGTAGATCCCTTCCGTGAACTTTCGACTGAGCGAGCGACAATATTAACCAAATCGGCCAACATAGTGGACGACACGACTGAAATCGAAATATGGACGCCGCATGGAGTTGTTTTTCCGGAAGGCACTCACTATCCCCCAACCCAAGCTCATTCCACATCCTGCTTTATGAGGATGTGCTCCCTATCTGAAATTTTGAATCAGATTCTCATACATATTTACAACCCCGTCCGCCAAAGCACCGAGGCTGAGATACTTCAATGTGTACATGAACAAGGGCACAAACTGGAAACATGGTGGAATGAGCTGCCGCCGTTCCTGAAGCTCATCGTTAATGATCTACCTGCCTACTGCCCTCCAAGTCATATCGTCACGCTAAAGTAAGTTCATATCTCAATATTGACGAAATCTGTGCTTTGCTCACCTTCGCTTGCAGTTGTATATACCACATCACCAATATCCTTCTCCATCGACCAATTTTATGCTCAAAACCTAAACGAGGCTCGAAAAATGCAGCAGACAATGCTAATCACTTAGTTCAATGCCTTTCTTCCGCTACATCGATCATCTCTCTTTACGATCTTTACCGACGAACTTTTGGTGATTCTCATGTCGTACTATCCCTTGCGTACAGCCTTTACACGGCAGCCTCGATATTTTTATTGGAGATTCAAGCGCTCAAATACGCTTCCGCCTCGACCTTGGAGAAACTTCGGTATTGCATAGTTGCTCTAGAGCGTGTAAGATCTGCAAATCCAGGTACATTCCATTCTTCATGAGCAGAAAGAGAGGACATAGATTAGTATGGTACTTACTCGGTTTCTAGTTATTCATACTGCTCTTGGTCTTGTTGAGAAAGAGCTACAAAAACTGAACATCAATATTTTGGATCCTCTGAACCCGGATGCGAACCGCGCGAACTCCCGGTTATCGCATCAATCGCCCCAAGATACCCACCAGTTAGACTCAGAGCAGCAACAGCATACACTTCAGTCGCCTTTGACCTACACAGTTCCTCCCCATGGGGCGTTCAGCATTACACCTCCCCCGTTGACAGAAGACTCCAATGCGGCCTTTACTGGGGACCCTACATTACTAAACCCGGCAGAGCTCTCTCAGGATCATATGTATGATATAGCGCCTGAGCTCTTCGAGGCGTTCTCCTACGTAGAACCTATCCCGACAAATGTGGGAACTAGTGGGTTTGATAATGGATGGGCAACTACAGGTAGCAAGCCGGAACAAACATTTTAACATCGTTGAGTTATATGTCAAAACCTTTATTTTTGGAGGTTGTACTCCTTACCTATCCATCAGTTGCATTGTACTTGGGTGTTTTTCTTGTGTTCTGTATATATGCACGTAGGATATATGGATTATGTATGTATGTATGTATGTATGTACATACAATGTCGCTTATATGCGTATAAAACTCGTAAGTATTAATTTACAATTGGATTGTTTGAGACACCCACTAGCTACCAGTGCTGATGCGATTTTCGTGGGCTGAAGAATCCTGAAGACGCTCTGCCTTATCACCTGATGCTCTTCTGGGCGGGGTCTCTCCATATCGTCTCACTTCTTTCAATTCAAAAACCGCAACTACGGATTTCGGTCGACATCACACATTTATTGGCCCCCAATCACTACTAATTCATCGTTTGATACAATGGGAGACCAAGGAAGCCTCCCACTCAATTCGTGGGACAGCCACATGCATATTGTTGATCCCATTAAATACCCGCTGTCTCAAGACGCCCAATACACACCTAGCACTCACACACTGGCTGAGGCTATTGAATTTGAATCCTCGTTTGGTATTTCAAATATTGTCCTGGTTCAACCATCGATATATGGGTTCGACAATTCTTGCTTGCTTGATGGGCTGCGTGAGCTGGGTTCTCAACACGGTCGGGCGGTCGTCACAATTGATCCTCAAAACATTCAACAGGAAATCTTATTTGAATGGCATCAGCTCGGGGTTCGCGGAGTACGGTTGAATCTCCAATCCACTGGTAGGCAAATCAGCCCGGAGGAGCTAGCCGCCTGCGTCCGCCAACATGCGGATATTATTCGACCCTTCAATTGGGTTCTACAGCTATATATCTCGTTGAGTAGTGTTAAGGCGCTGTTGGATGTTGTTCCTAACTTGGGTGTTCGAGTCTGTCTCGATCACTTCTCAAGTCCGGCTCTACCTCAAGGCGCAGAAACTACTGCTTTTGACCCATACTCGCTCTCAGGGTTTACCGACCTCGTATCTCTCCTTAACGGAGGAAATACGTATGTGAAAATATCCGCACCATATCGACTTAGCACCGACCCGCACTTTCAATTTCTAGGTATTATTGCTAAGGAGCTGATGCGCATAGCCCCAGATAGGTTAGTTTTTGCGACCGACTGGCCTCATACGAGGTTTGAAGGGCTTGATATTTCTCCATTTGTCAAAATGTGTTTGGATTGGTGTGGAGGAGATGGGATTCTAACAAAAAAACTATTCCAGCAGAATGCAGAGGAGCTCTGGGACGCACGGAAAGAGCGATAAAAATGTCCGTAATGGAATATATGAGCTATTCGAGCTCAATTTTGAATTGCTTCTTATTCTATACTATCTACTCGAGCGAAGGACTTGTATAATACAAAGGCTAGTCACGCGATAAAGAGTTTGAAAACAAAATATGAATGCTCAACCCAGATATCCTCATATCAGGTTCAAATGTACCCTAACGCACAAAGACAAGGATGGGATTTAAATGCAACATGCTGCAATGGCAACAAACCGATAATACATGAGGACGTGGGGTGTATAATGCAAAACGTAAAGAACTTCGCAAATGAATTAGCACGGGCAACGCATTATGGTATTCACCCTTTAAATTGCCGTTTGCCAGCGTAATAACTCCAATTCAGCTGCTCGATAAAATAGAAATTTGTGGCCATGAAATAACAGGCTCAATCCACAATAGCACCATTTTCCATCAGAACGCCCGAGCTTCCAAAGGCCAGAGGAGAACATGTGTTGAAAAACTGAGAACCTTTATGAGAAGTGGCACATAGGTGGCCTTCTGGGCCGTCCAGGCCAGACGCTGATACCTCCAGAGGAAATTCTTTTTCATTTCAAGCAATACTGCGTGCATATATGCAACTTTTTGTCTAAAAGGTGAATAATTGGCTCCAGTGGGGTGTATCCATAAAAGGCATCGTACCGTGGCTAGGTACGGAGTAGATAACAAATAGTCATTGACCCAGGAGCATTCACCAATTAGGGCAAACGATAAAGTATGAAGTAGTAACGCCCTGTTTTAAAGTTAAAAAAACAACGAATTTGCTTATGAACTCACCGAAATTCCACTGGTTTTTTATACGGCCAGTCAACAAGATAGCTAGCTGGTAGGATATTAGTGTTAGTAGCAGGGCAAAAATGTGAATTCTAAGGAATTTAGGTGAAGGGGGTTTATTCGGAACGTTGTCGCTTTGAATCCGGACCGGAAGACTCTGGAGCAACAACCATATCGTCGTCCCGAGGTCGCTTGACTGTTTTCGAGTTATCATCCTCCAGCAAAGGCTGATTATCCTGCCCGGAAACGTCAGGATCAACGAAATCCCACTCTATGTGGTCATTCGTTGGGCCGGAACTGGGAAGCTTTTGTGTTTGGTCATACATGATAGACCCAGCTATTATTTCACCAAGGCGTGAGCTTTTGTTGTCTTCAGGAAGGACACCATCGCCCGTTTCGGTCGTGGGGCTTTTAAAAAGGTCGATGTCAATGTCGAAAACATCAATATTCGGCCCTGGTGTAGTGGGTTCCTGTTTGTAAAGTGCCCCCTGGGTATCTCTCTGTTGTTCAACGAGGGATTCGCTATGGCCCTTCAAAATAGGTTCCGCTGCCTCAATATTTAAGTCTGGTGTTTCATCCCCATTTTCCATTTCGGGAGCTTTCCCAACATCTTCTAGATTCAGCCCGTCATTACCAGCTACTTCCCACGTGCCGCTCGTTGCACCCTCGCCAGATACTTTGTCAAATGAACCACTTGTAGGTGATATGGGAGATTTAGGGTTAGGTTTTTGAATGGGAGGTAAATGTTGGTTATCTTCTATTGGCTTCGTTTCGTGGATGTTACCCTCTGTCACAATTTCGCCATCTTCAAAGTCGTTGTTAACTTCACTAATATTTATACCGGAGGTCGTTTCGTGGATGTTACCCTCTGTCACAACTTCGCCATCTTCAAAGTCGTTGTTAACTTCACTAATATTTATACCGGAGGTCGCGACAGATGTCTCTTTTGGCGTGTCATGTGTGTCTTCAGAATAATTCTGAGTATTGATGACAGCTGTAAGTTCCTCTTGTGCAAAGGAATCTGCTGAGTACATCAGAAAGTGGATGGAACAAAAAAGTGATACAAAATTACCTTTTAGGCTCTGACTGCCGTCCTCATAACTGCCACTGGCTTCAGATTGCGTCTCATTCAAGATTGTGCTTGAATCATTCAGGAACTCTTCATTCCCCTGTGAAGCTTCTGGTTCGCCTAGTGGTTGACTAGCTGAGTTTTGATTCATATCTTTTTGTTCATCTGATAAGACAGAAGTCCCCGCTGGGTTAGTTTCGGGTTGAAAATTATCTGAAATCAAACCATCGGCAGTATCAGCAGCTTCAAGTGTACGCTCCCCTTCAGGGGGGTTCGAAAGGCCGCTTCGGCTCTGATTCTCAGTACATGTGCTTTCGGTTTGATCTTGCGCGTCCCATTGTCCGAGGCTTGCTAAACCTTGGCCACTTTCAGCTGCATTTCGAAGAGCAGTCAAATCTGCCTCCCAGGTAGATTTAAAGCTTAGGTTGATGTACAATGGGTCAGGTTCTTCAATACCGTCGTTACGAGAAAGGTCAAGATAAAGCTGTACAATTTGATGTAGGCTGGTGTTTGATTCTCGAACCGCAATCTGAAAACGATTAATAGAGAATTCTAATTCAAGAAGAGAAAAATGCGTACCTCACTTAGCTGTAAATATAATGGTTCAATGAATACCACGAGTTCGTCTTTCATGGTTACATGGGTTCCAAGAACCCTACGAAAAGCTTGGAAAAGCAGATATAGGGGTTCATGGGCCAAACCTTCGTCTTCCAAAAAGTACATATCCGACGAATCATCTTCATTTGGCGGAAACAATGATATCTCATTTTCCTGGTACAATACCGTCACTTTATGTAGCTGTTGGTAGCCTGTAAAATCAGTACTTTCCGTCCTTTCACCTTCGACCGCGGTTTTATTTTCATTGAAATTGTCATTGTCTGCGTTTTCACTCGCCGTCCCAGGCTCTACGTCTTTACCAACCGCTTCAAGGTCACCCTCCGTCGTCGTTTCAGCAGCTGTAGGCCCTTCCGAATTTTCATAATAAGTATCCTGAGATGGAACAGTTGAATCGTGATTTGATTCTAGATTAATCTCTCCAGAGTTGGCACCCTCTCCTTCGGCCAAGGCCTGGAGTTCGGGCTCCGTGTGCGAAGGGGGCTTTTTATTTGGGGAAATTTCATTTATGGCATGTTTAGCAGGGTGCATCTCGGCCGTTTTCACTGTTCCATCATTAATGTCCCCAACTACGGCGGGCAATGGATCCGAATCATGTTCCTGCGAACAAATAAGATTGTCCGACTCCGTGGCGGCCGTCTGTATATGGGCTTGGGCTCTTTCTATATCGGAATTCTGGTTAGGTTCAGCTTTGTTTTGGGGCGATGTTGGTTCCGTCACGACATTTTCAAGTCCTTCTTCTTTATCATTTGCTTGTTCATTTTCAATATTAACTTGACTGTGACTATCGGGGATAGGAGCATCGATATCTTCTTCGTAGTCATCATCCATATCGTTTTCGTAGGGATCTTCGGTGAGAGGAGCTACATTGCAGCCGGTTTCGTGATGATCATGGTCATTTTGGTACGATGCAGCTTCCAGATCAAGCATGTTAACTGCTGAGTAGTCGTCATCAGCCATATCGGCATCCTTCAAGCCGTCATATGGATCTTGGGACATCTCCCGACGATCAGATACCGTTGCTGAAGCATCGTCAACAACGACATCATTGTCGACCTCATCCTCGCTTTCTGGATAAGCATCGAGGTCGATTTCGATGTCATCGGCCGGAAAACCGTGGGGATCCGAGGTCACCTCCATAGTATCATCAAACCGATAAGGCTCCATAGTGTCCTTTGTAAATCTTCTGGTAGGAGGGATGCTGAACTTAGTTGCCCATTTTGGAGTTAGGAGTCTTGAAAGTAATACGGGTGATACTCAAGCGACGGAGAAATGACTTGTCGAGTAGATAGTAGTAACACGAATATAATCAATATCCCAGCAGATAGGATACGGATTTGGAAGATGCAGGCAGATCAATCGAAGGGCTAGAAAGAAAGTGAAGGTCGCCCCAACAAGCGAAGTGTATTAGTCACGGACAGAAATTGCGCACGGACCAACACTGGCCGAATCAAGACAACATGCAACTTCGCCCACGAGCGACTCCCAGGCTAATCTCTACGGTACCACCCTTCCTCTGAGGATTTGAAATCGGGCAACCGCCTATTACTGCAAGCCTTAACATTGACCATGGTAAGTCCATTGGGATAATATTGGTCACTCGCTCAATGGTTTGTTTAGCTAACCCATACAGGTCGTCCTGGCAGCCTCGATATGTACCCGCGGCGGGAAAGCCGTGCTTTCACGGCAATTTCGCGAAATTCCAAGGTCCCGGATTGAAGCCTTACTGGCGTCGTTCCCCAAACTTGCTGATTCCGGGACCCAGCATACTACCGTCGAGCAAGATAATGTCAGATTCGTGTACCAACCCTTGGACGAACTCTACATTGTTTTGATAACGAACAAGCAATCAAACATCCTCCAGGATATTGACAGCCTACATTTGTTCGCTCAAGTGGTTACCAATATCTGCAAGAGTCTTGACGAACTTGAGATTTTGCGCAATGCCTTTGAACTCCTTTCCGCCTTCGACGAAATCGTTACACTGGGATACCGTGAGAACCTTACCTTGTCCCAAATTAAAACATTCCTCGAAATGGAAAGCCATGACGAGCGCATATCTGAGATTATAGAGAGAGTATGTATTGGATGGATCTTTTTCCGAAAGGCTCGCCCTAATTTGAAACCTAGAATAAAGAGCTCGAGGCGAGCGAAGAGCGAAAGAGAAAAGCAAAACAGCTCGAGATGCAACGCAGGGAGGCCGCACGTTGGAGTAAAGGAGCAGCAGTGCGACCCCCTTCATACCCAGTCTACAACCAACCTGCACGACCCTCAATCCCAGACACCATTGACAGCTACGAAGCAGAGAAAAAGAAAACATTTGCCAAGTAAGTTCGACATCTATCATAACTCTAGGTTAAAAATCACTAATTAAGCAGGCCTCTTCCCTCCAGGAGCAAAGGAATGCAACTTGGTAAAAAGTCTAAGACCACTGATATCTACGAAAAAGTCCGCGGTGATTTGGGCCCTGAAGCAGAAGCGACGCCCCTTATTTCAGCTACACCTACGTCTGCTGCTGCTTTGGATGCTCCTCCATCTAGACTATCTCTTTCTGCCGATCGCGAGCCAGTACATATTACCGTGGCTGAAACTGTATCTGCAAAATTATCTCGAGATGGTGCCATGAAATCTTTCGAAGTAAAAGGAGACTTGCAGCTACGAATTTCTGACCCATCATTCACCAAGTTGAAACTCGATCTCAAAGCCAACCCAAGCCACGGGGCACAGTTCCGCACTCATCCTAATGTGGACAAAGCCCTCTTTGCTAGCACAAAATCTATCCAGCTTAAAGATACATCAAAACGTTTTCCAGCGAACAACTCTATTGGCGTTTTACGATGGCGTGTCGCCAGTAATGATGATACTGATTTACTACCTATTACTTTCACTGTTTGGATCAACAAAGGGTCGGATTCTACAACGATGACAATTGAATACGAACTTACAGGATCTGAGAGCCTACGAGACGTTGTCGTCACAATTCCATTTCAAACAGCCGAGCCCAATATCTCTAGTTTTGATGCAGTATACGAGGTGTCTGGGGATAGTATAGACTGGAATATTGGAAATATAGACGAGTCGAACAACTCCGGCAGTTTCGAATTCGAGTCTACCAACCCCGGTGGCGATGAGAATGAATTCTTCCCAATGAGTGTTCGCTTCAGCAAAGATGCGCCTTTCGTGGATGTTGATGTCCTTAATGTTTCTTTGATGGAAATGGAGGGTGAGGGAGTTAATTTTTCTAAAGACATAAAATGTATCGCAGAAGGCTATATCATTGAGTAAATGGCTGGCCGTTTGAATTTATCTGGCTCTATTATTAACCTCAAACACACATACAGCCATATTTTCAGCTTGTCTGTTGAAACCTAGTGTCATACTTTATGGCATCAAACCAAGACTCAAAAAAGGAAAGTGTCCCTTTAGAACCGTATATAGCTTGGTAATAAAAAAATTATTGCCAAACCCGGTGTGTTGCGGTAAAAAAGGCCCGGGCAGCAAGGGCCTTAGCCATACTACAATGGCAATCACATTCATCTTCACCAGGCTGGGGTGTTCGCAAAGTACTACTTGTCCAAGACACATGTTGTGCTAGTAAGTGATGGTCTAGGCATATTCCGACGGCTTCACAGCCTTTTGTAAAGCCCTCGATTCGATCTAGCACCGCGATAAGACGTCGTCTGATTCCACATCCAATATGATTAGAATCAATCTGATACTCGGGGCATTGTCGTAGAGAAGCTATTACTGTAGTTATGTTTGTTAGCACTGGCTGCTTTGAAGGCGTTGACTGTTCTTCAATAAAGGCGTTGCCTTGTTGCCCGGAATCCTTGTCGCCGTAAAAGTCCAGGTCGCCATATGTTAAAGTCGATTGTAGTTCCAGGGTATGTGTGCGGGTGGTAAAGAAATGGATCATTTCTCCCAAGTGAAAGGAATCACAGGCTCGAGAGTTTTCATAAACACGGCGACATTGTAGTTCTCGCTTTGACGGCAACGGCAAATACGCTGCATTTCCACAAAAACTTCGAGAAGCGCCATAAGAACATAGTAGATACGATTGATAGTCACTTATTGTACCAAGGATACATTGATTGCGGAATTGTAGCTCTTCTATAGAAACATAAGCACCAATACAGAGCACTAGAAAAAGGCTCAAAAAACATACCCTCAACACCACCAGGGAGGTGCCACCAGATTGGCAAAGCTGAAATGGTATTTTGTCCGTGGTACACCTGTCGCCATTTCCGTGAACCAGTAACAACCAGCCTATGGGTCAGAAACCCAAATGCCTTTTGATCTTGAAGAGAATATGCAAGAAAAATGGCTTCACGAATACGCTCCTCATCATCAGTTTGAAGGGTGCGTAAACGCTGCCCTAATTTGTGCTTTTGAGGTGTACGGTAGTCCGGATTTACCAATTCGCTGTTTCTCTGGCCAACGTCAATTGCTTTCTTTAGGATATGGAGAGTTCCATATCTGTCTGCTAGAACAGCTAAGCACGCCACAAACGTGATCGATTTATTTGCAATGATTTTACAAAATTCTCGTGTTTGAGTGCTATCCCAACTAATGTAGACTAGAAGCTGGAAGAATGTACTGAGGAGGGAGGGCTGGTTGAATTTAGAAGGCAGAGGCGGTAATTCTAGCGTGAATTGAGGTAGCTCATCAATGCATGCTTCGCCAATAGCTGCTTCCAGAGAGCCATATTTCACCCGCAATCCCTCAAGGGTTTTTAGAAACCGCCGCCCTTCTTGGAACTTTGTAGGATCCAACAAGACGCCAAAATACGTACTGGAGTGTATTAGAGATGCACTGGTTATTCGGAACCGGCACGTGGAACGTTTTGATTGATCTCCAGCACAAATGGCAGTGCAATTCAGTATGATGTCCCCATCTGAGGCAATTATCATACATGAGCCATCATACGATGGGATCGGGACTTGGAAGGATTCAGGTGCCGTTTCACCAACCTTGACTGTCGGGCTGGAGTTTAGTGCCATGTTGCGCAAAGAAGTGGAAATGGAGAATATCGACCATCCTGGTGCTGATGATCTGGTGACATAACTCGTGCCCAACGACACACCGACTTTAGGGAGAGAGGAATGTGTTTTGCTTCTTTGGCTGATTGGAAGCGCTAATCTGGCACGGCGCTTGGCGCTGTATTTAAGGTTCGTAAGATGCTTAATCAGCATATTCTGTAGTTGCGGAGAGTAGTTCCTCCGAGCCGGAGACGCCCCCGCGGATTGATGGTCAAGGAGGGGACGTTTTACGAAGTATAAAAGGACCCAACAGGATTTGCGGACTAAATTTTCTACCACCACCCCATTCCGTCAGTCTGCAGATATGTATGCCTATTCATTTTATCGTCAATACCTCCACCGACTAGGAGCTTCCGAATGTGGTGATGGAGCTTAGTATCATTGCGGAAATAAACGCCCTCTTTCAACAGCCCAAAACTTGCTTTTCGAACCATTCAAGAAATTCTTTGCGACGACCTTTGTCGAGTGCAAGGATTCAGGGAGATCTTCAAGCTTATCAGTAGTCAGAACCTCCTGTTATTTCCAGGGTTCTTGCTTCCTTCTGTCTGGGTAGGAACAACCAATTCCCCGCCTCCCGTGGGCGCAGCGTTTTTGTTGGAAGTAACTGTTCAATAAAAAAAGGCATGGCCCGATCGATCCAGAAGTTATTATGAGAACCTTAGCACCTGCAGCTGCAGTGGTTCCCACCACCATTCTCCAATCAGCTGCTCATGAATTTTGGTCAGGTGTGATTGCTGTAATCTCTGTAAATTGCCTGTGACTGCACGCTAGAAATTTTCTCGTGTTGCGACTCTCAGATCTCTTAAAAGCCTGTCAGGAGATACTTCTGAACAGACAAGAATAGACATTTGCCTGCTGGTAAAGTATCATTCATACTCTTTGTTCAACAGAAAATATCTATATATCTGGAACACAAGATTCTGATCTCCACAAGTCTTACCATACAGGCAATATCCACTTCCGTTGCCCCTCATCGAAGAAGCAGTATCATACCATCACAAATTGAATCAAAACAGACCTGCAGAAGCCTTCATGTTCCAGGTGCTCAATCTCTTAATTATTCTATCGATCGTGCTGCCCCTTTAGCCCGCAACTATTGTAACCAAGAACGAAGTACGTTGTCTTTTTGAATGGTGTTTAGAGATGTAGAGCAAACCATTAATTCTATAAATACAGATTGTCTCCCCTTCGAGCCGCCTTCTGTCTCAAGACTACTCACATCACAATCCACTTTGTGTGAAGGTTCTCTCTGCGATTCAAGTTTGACCGACTTCCTTCACTCTCACACAATGTGTGAATGGGCTTGCAAGCCATACGAAGCTTGTACGCGTACTCCCAAACACATGAATCGAGACCACATTATCTTTTGTACACCCGAAAGAAGTGATGCAAATGACCCATGTGTACCTCCCTCTGGGTTTCTGAGAGATCTTCTGTTGGTTCTTGATATGCAAGACATGAATATAGCGGGATCCTGTCCTCCCTGTGCTGGAACAACACCAACTAATTCCTCTGACTAGAGCGGTTGCCTTCTCCCCAATTCAGGGAAGCAGATCGCTGGTGAACCTGCTTGCGAGCTACCTCTCCGAGATCCTTAAATGTACTGAATATAGTTAGCTTAGTTAGGTCATAGAAGAAGTAACGCACAATGAGTCAATTCCTACGACTTTGAAGACTTTGAGGTTTAACTTGTTAAGATCAACATTTGGATGCGTTTTGCAATGGATATCAAGAACAAGATATAGCCGAGAAGAGCGAGGATCACAGCATATATGTGTATAGTAATCTTCTAGAGGCTGAATACCTTGCCATGTAAAGAAAGCATTGATGATTGCTGTAGGTTTTTGAAAAGGTTGTTCACGATATCCAAGGATTATCCGCACTGGAGTAGCCTGACTCATTCTGTCCCAGGTGCAAGAAGAGTTGCTGATATAGCTTGTAAATGCAGTATTATATGAGAGAGATAAAAAGGTATACCCCTCGAAGATTCTGAATCACAGACAGACAGAGACAGAGAGAGAGAGAGAGAGAGAGAGCGAGAGAGAGAGAACTCTCTGTCCCTTGTGGGAGAATTGAGGCCCCACGTGTAGATTACGTAATCGCGCAACAGCGATAAAGCTATAGCAGATCATTGCCTGAAAACAATAGAACTTTGATATAGACAGGTGAGTACATAACGGTACTATAACTTTAGGTACAAACTTTGCTCATGCCTCTTCAACTATGAGACCCGCATGCTGGAAATGACCTTTTGCGCTTTCATCTTTTGCACCCACAACGTCAATGCACCACTCAAGAAAAGTATCAAAACCTTGATCAGGATATTCCTCATAGAAGTGCCAAAAGCTTTCAAATCGGAGAAACATATGCAGGCAATATCTGATGTCGATGGTCACGGTGAAAGCGGGATACTTGGACTGGCGTCACACCCAATGGAGACCAACCCATCCATCGAAATTATCACTTGAAGGCTGAAAGCGGCTCCAGAACTAGCCCGTTTTGGCCGCCACCTCGCCAAATGATTGAGAAGTATAATAACTACCTGGTCAGTTACCTTAACCTTACTACTTTTATTTTTATGTCATCGCTGATGCTAACTTAAATATGGAACTATATGGAGCACTCCGTAGTTGGCATCAAAAAATGGTCAACTGAAGAAGGGATACGGAGTACGGAGTACCCACCTGTTTTTCTGGATTATTATATCCAGTGACCAAGACAATTCAGGGATGAACAAACTCTATGCTTCTTGTTTTCCCTGTACACTATGCCTGCTCACTTCTGTTGTCTCGCCCGCTTCCTCAATGTCCATCAAGGGTATAATGGGTTCGGCTTTTGGCTTTTGCAGTGGCCAGTGGCCTTTTTTCTCACGGTACATTAATGCCAAGAATCCAACTATAACAGCAATCCAGTAAAAGTTGTATGACAAAACGGTGCCGTAGGTGGCCGAATTTGTCCACCCAAAAAGCGCGTTGAATACTCCCCAACCACCGCCTCCATTGAATTGTGGACTGCAGCACTATATCCCTACACTTAGATGCCGAGGCTTTCAAAACATTAGTGTTAACTTACGTTGACATGCCACACGCTTTGTCGATAATCATATGAGCCAGGGCCAGCTCCTTGCTCAGCTGCCTCTCCTCCAACTACTAGATTCCACTAAGAATGAATCAGAAATAGTCTTAAATGAGTTGTCTTAGATGCACTCACTTTATGCTGTTCAAAGAACCCAATAGAGCGCGAAAACAAGCCGGCTGCGACTAGATATAAAAAGCATGTCGATACAATTAAGAATATTTGGAGTGGAACCATATTTCCTCCCCTTTTAAAGTTAGATCAATGTCGCTATAGCATGAGGGGAACTTACTTATAAATCAAGAAGCCGATAGCAAAGCCGGCAAGAATCCCAGTGATTGTCGGCACTGGTATAGATGACGCTGGAGCCCCCAGACTAATTCCTCCGATGAACACAACGGCCTCGAGGCCTTCCCTTAAGACGGTAACAAATGGAAGAATGAACATGGCGTACTTTTCACACCAAATTTTGAATTTCGCAGTGGAGGTGGTGCCTGGATTCTCCTTGCTTTTCAGCGCCTTCTCCAGCTTCGCTTTCCATTTCGTCTGCATTTTGGAGACTCGAAGTAAAGCGGCGCCCATAATTGTGATGATTATCGCGGCTATGAGGGAGAATATACCCTCCCACAGACTCTCGGCCTTTGACCAGATATCCTTTCCGAGAGAGTAGAATGCACCGATAAGGCCGGAACCGATTGCAACACAAATGAACAAGCCCAAACCAGTACCGAGCCATACCTGTACATCGGGTCAGCAAATCCAGTGCGTGCGTTCTAGTGTGACCGTGAAAATAGGTACCTGGTTTCTTAGCCTTTTGTATATTGCCGCATCCGCACTCTGCCCCAGTTGCGCTCTCAAGAAGGCGAGCAGAATTGATACAACAATACTTGTTTCCAGCGTCTCCCGAAACACGATAAAGAAAACTGCAATTCCCACATTAACTTTTGAAAAGTGTCTGTCATCTTTAAGTACGAACCAGGAACATAGAATACATTCACCATCTCGACGGAGTATCGCCTGTGTACTGCCTTGTGAGATTATGATGGCTGCTACTTGCAGACACAAAAGATGTAGACGAGATATATAATCTACTCCGTATACTCGCGAAAATGTGAATAACCGAGAGTGGGGCCACGGAATTGCAATCAGATAAGTTGAAAGTACGGAGTAAAGCCATGTTTCCTCGCGGCCTAAGTCGGATCGGGACTTAAAGTCAACATTGTCACAGGCTTCGTCTCGCTTGAAAAAGTATAATGATCCTATGGCTTGCGCTTTCATAAAGACAAGGTTTGTCTCAATAAAACCATGGATATATTTCGGGAATGGTCCTCCGTACGCACATCCAAGATTTCAAGCTTTTTGCCGAAGCAACTCCTACAAGCAGCATCATACCTGCTCCTTTCACCCATGATTGGCCCAAAGAAGTCAAGCGATAGGAGGAGTCAGCATGAAAGGCATTGAATCAAAGTGTTGGAATGGCAAGAAAAAGCTTTGCTTTTGGGGGGCTCGGCACTCTTGTTTCAATGCTTGACAGCCTTAAAGTACGAGTTGGCCCCGCCTAGACGACACCCCACAGTATCTCACTCGCCCGTCTCAACAATTTTTAGGAAAACGGGATGATCGAGTCGAGGCATCGGGCCGTTTCTGCAAGCGCTCTCTCTGAACTATCTGATCTTATCTGATGTGATAATCGTTCAGTTATTCGTTATCAGATGCATATCTTGGTTCTTGTTGGAGGGGGCGGTCGCTTCGTGGCTGGCTCGCCTTTCGTCTGGTCTTTAGATCAAATCTTATTTTCGCTACCGGCCAATGAAACCAGGGCTACCGTTTTATCTGATCACACGAATGCGCCTCAACTTTGGTTGCAAGATGAAAGCAGGAAAACCAGCACATAGGCGATTCTCTCCGAAAGCTAAAATATCGTGCCATCTCGGATCACCGATGGTTGAAGTCTCAAATTTTCCGGCTTGCCCGAAATGGGCACGGGGAGATGCCGAATCTGGCGCGCGTCGGGCATCAAACTCGCCTTTCCATAACTAACTAGTTAGCCTTGTCCATATAGTGCCATTCCAGGATACGCCGATTACTAGTCCGGGTCATACGGGCTTCCAATCACGGCAATCTTTCCTGCCGCCTCGGGGTCTATCAAGGGCTCCATGCTAATTTAACCAAAAAAAAATAAAATAAACGTTTAGCTCCACTTGACTACAAAAGCCTAGTTTTGAGAACGATCATTTATCTGATTGATAAGTTTCTGTCTTGCTCATGTGCTTCTCCAATCTTGAAAAGAATTACTCCCCTCCAAGATGGCACTCTCGCTATCTCTGTTTTTGATATGTTACTGCATTGCATCGCCATGGACAGCTTTTGTAAATGCAAAGACAATTACCTATGATTTCAATATTACTTGGGTTACAAAAAACCCGGACGGCGCACTGGACAGACCTACTATCGGCATCAATGGCCAGTGGCCTATTCCTGAGATTAGGTCTAGCGTGGGAGATCGCATCATTATCAACATGATCAATCAGCTTGGAAATCAAACCACTGCGCTGCATTTTCATGGGCTATTTATGAAGGATACAGTTGAGATGGACGGGGCAGGAGGTGTAACCCAATGTCTTATTCCTCCTAGCGGTTCTTTTACCTATAATTTTACGGTATGGATAAGGTCTACTATAGGAGTCACAATGGGCTAACCTACTCCTACGCCAATAGACTGATCAACCAGGAACATACTGGTATCATTCGCATGGGCATGGACAGTATCCCGATGGTCTTCGTGGGCCATTTATCGTGGATGACCCTAAATCACCTCACGCGGGAAAGTGGGACAAGGAATATGTTCTTACGCTTTCAGACTGGTATCATGAACAGATGCCTGGGTTAATAAAGGACTTCATAAGCCTTTCGAACCCATCCGGTGCGGAACCTGTGCCTCAGGCCGCACTGATGAATGATACCCAGGACTTGAAAATATCAGTCCAACCTGGAAAAACTTATCTTTTCCGAGTTGTTAACATGGGTGCATTTGCTGCACAATATTTATGGTTTGAAGGACATAAAATGCGGGTCATTGAGGTGGATGGAGCCTGGACAGAGGAAAAAGAAGCCGACATGCTTCACATCACCGCTGCCCAGAGATACAGCATTCTTGTGACCATGAATAATGAGACCTCAAGAAATTTCCCGATTGTTGGGAGTATGGACAAGGTAAATTTCACTTTCCGTATCCAGCGCATCAGCTAAAAGAATTTGCAGGATCTTTTCGATGTCGTTCCGCCAGGTTTAAACCCCAATGTCACTGGCTGGTTGGTATATGACAGTAATAAGGACCTACCAAAACCAGCGCTTGTTAACAAGTTTGATTTTTTGGATGATATGGAATTGATTCCCAGTGATGGCCTTGAGTTGTTCGACAAAGTTGATCATTCCATAACGTTGGATGTCAAAATGGACAATCTCGGGGACGGTGCCAACTAGTAAGCAGGCCTATGCGATTCCTAGGGCCCATGGTTTCTCTCAACTGACGTTCATAGCGCCTGGTTTAACAACATTACTTATGTCCATCAAAAGGTCCCCACACTATATACAGCTCTAACTGCCCCTGAAGATTTAGTTAAAAACGCAGCTATTTACAGTGAACATGTAAATCCTTTTGTTCTTGAGTCTGGAGAGGTGGTTGAGATTATCCTTAACAATAATGACCCAGGAAAGCACCCTTTCCATTTACATGGTCACCAATTCCAGGTGATTTACCGATCGCCAGAAAAAAGTGGGCCGTACGATAGCTCTGCGAAAATGGAGTTTCCGAAAATCCCTATGCGCCGCGATACAGTGCTCGTGCACCCCGAAGGCAACATCGTCCTCCGATTCAAAGCAGATAACCCTGGAGTATGGCTTTTTCACTGTCATATTGAATGGCACATGGATAGCGGGTTGGTCGCAACTATGGTAGAAGCCCCGTTACTCCTACGAGAATCCAAGAAGCGTTTTCCCATTCCAGAATCCCACTATGCGGTGTGTCGTGCACAGGGTACACCATACGAAGGCAACGCGGGGGCAAATACGAAAAATTTCCTCGATCTGTCGAATCAAAATGTGCCCCCACCCCCGTTGCCGGCTGGATTTACAACAAAAGGAATTGTTGCTTTAGTATTTAGTACTGTTGCTGCTGCGGTTGGGTTGGCGGTCATTGTGTGGTATGGGCTGGGCGAAATTAAACCCATGACAGGCTTATAAAAGGAAAGGATTATTAAACATTTCTGATCTAGTTTCTGGTGTCTCTGTACAGGTTGACAAATTTTACGGTTTTTGAGGCCCATTGCGCTCCGGTTTCCTCGAAGTGCATAAGTGGTGAGATATGCGCAACTTTTCATAATGCCCTCCGACTATAGAGAGTATATATAAGAATAGAAATGCGGAGTACATACTGTAAATGTGTTACTGGGAATATTCTAGGAACTTCTGATATCAAAAATGGTAATTGGGTATATATAAAACTGGTGGGCAGATTGGTGAGGGCAAATTTGGTATGAGTACGATCAAAGGGGGTAGAATGCTTTCATATCCGAAAGAATAAGTAATAATCCAAAGCTAAAGATAACCATTTGATGGTTTCATAGTCATGTCTCATGGCTCATTAAAAAAAGCATAACTATAAAACGTCTTCGATATAGCGCACAAGTTGAGAGGCGCTAGTCAGGTTTAGACGTTCATGGTAACAACAGGTATATATAATATATCTGTGTTTCCGCATTTTGAAGTTGATGCCGGGCTATTTAGCGGGACAGAGGTGCTGAATAGTGCAGGATTAGATGTGATTGATAAAGCACGGCCTATGAGATGATGCAAGGCAGAAATCTGTTGAGCTTTTATGTCAAAAGACGAATGTTGGCGAGGGGATACAGGAAATGTTGGCGATAAGGGGTTTTCGGCGACCCTATGTGAATCTGTTATATTGATAGTATGGCTGACGTGCTCGTTTTCCAATGGGCTGAATACGACGTAAGTCTCCAGGTCGTCGGAACTTTGTTCATAGTGGTTACTTTCGTCTACTTCGTTTCCTTGTTCATCAGGGGCTGATACCTGCAAAGCATCTGCAAGAGCCTGATTCTCTCGAGTATGTATCCAAGAATCTTCGGTTACAAAGCCTAGGACAAAGTCATCATTCGCTTTAGCGGAGGCGATTGCGATGTCTCTATGTTGTCGTGTGGTTTCCATCTCGGCATTAGGCAGGCAGAGAACAACTCCTCGCGACAGAAGAGGAGGCGAAGGGAGGTTGGGTGAAGGCGCCACTTGATCATTCAGCGTGTCATAGTCAGAGTCATATTCTGGCTCTGAAGGCGCCGGTTGAGATGGCTCTTCATGCTGTGTAATTGTCCGTGTAAGAGAAATCACTGAAGATTTTCGAAGTGGCTGGATTGTTTCCATTTCTCCAAATGAATTGAGTTCATTGTGATCCACGTATGCAGGAAGACTACCATCGCCATTTGTTTCAAACTCGACGGGTGACTGGCCTCCACTGATTTCTGTACGGACAGACATAGCCATACGCGACATGGTCTCGCGCGCGGCGCGTCGAAGAGTAGGTATGAACTGGCTGCTTCCCTTCCCCTCCTCCTCAGACCCAATTACCCATGTACTGACCAGCCCAGCCCAGGTAGCTACGCCAATTCCCCCAGTGTAGCGTTTCCGGGCCATAGCGATGTCTCTCGCCACTTCATGGCTTGATAACGTGGCCTGGCTGAATGGTCGACGTTTTGAGTTTAGAATTCGGCCGCCTTCCCAGATCAGAAAGCCGAATTTTTTCGCAACAGACGTCAGCTTTCGAACGGCATCGGCGGACCAATCGTCTATAATGTCGGCGTGGACCTGAAGAACAGCGATATAGGGGCCAACGGCACAGGCCAGCCTCAGAAGGGCGGCGACGGTACTGATATTGGGAGAAGCCGAAACACACACGAGTTGGCCTTGGGGGAGAGACAGCTTGTGCTGACGGAGGAGACGTAAGTAGGTAGTGAGGGGGTTCCTGCTGGGAGCAGGCGACGAGGCATTCATTGTGGCGGGGATGTCTGTCCTCCAACCAACTAGTCAAACTAGTAGTCACCTGTTAACTATATGTATCTTGACCGGTTAACTTGCGATCGAGAAGCACCGGCCATCAGCAGCGCTCAACACACCAGGCGGGTCAGCAAGACTTACCGACAACGCTGCACGGCACCCACGACGTTCCGACGTGACTGCTGCCAGAGCTGACAGCCGCTTTATAAAGTGAGACGTGTCTTGAAAAGGGGACCTGTCTGAAAAATCAATTTTTTGCACCTTGCAGCGCCTAGAACCAGGCTAGTTGACCTGAGAACTTAAAACGGAGTCTCTGCTGGGGAATCAGGGTTGCGAATGACCGGGTTGGCGAGGAGTCGGTTCCAACACGGGAAGAAATATGCAGCCGTCTCCAAGACTGACTAGCTCCAAGTACTCCGTAATGGCGACGGAATAAGCTGCTCTGCAGGCTGGACTGGAGAGCAAAGCGCCTGATGAAGAGTGAAGCAAGAGCAGAGAGAGAGATATATATATATAGAGAGAGAGAGAGGGCGGTGGCACAGGCTCAACATTCGCACAATCGGCTTCACAATTCCCTGGCGGGGAATCTAGGATCAGGACGGGTAACGCCAGGCCAATCTCCAGGCCCATCATGTCTCGGGGCTCTTGTCGTTAGTACTAACTAAGTTTACCAAATAGCGCCGGCGAACGCACATGCAGAGACGCTCAATCGCCGGACGAGCCTAAAAGCTTGAAGATCAAACTCTGTTCGAGCAGGGACTGCCTCTGCCTGCAAGTCCAACAGCTCCACTGATCGAAAGCCTCCGCTCGGCTAGTCGAATTCTCCATTGGGCGCGTTTCTCAGAGCTGCCGTCAAGGCCAGTGTCCCCTGCGACGGGGCATCAGATGAGCGGCGGTGTTGTGCATTTTCCTCCGTGCTGGCCCAATCCCGGGAACTTTCGCCCCCCTGTCGTTCAGCTCGAGGCTCTCTCGAGGCAAATCAACGGTCGAGACTCAGGCGAACGGTTGGCGGGCCGCTTTGTTGGATCCAAGCCATCAGCAGATCATTTGCCTAGGAGCATGATCACTCGAGAAGCTTGGTCAGTATCCCTGGGCGTCTCCAGGGATTCTCGACTGTTATCGGAGTACTCCGTGCTATAGACAACTAACTGTCCTAATTCACACATGTTTACGGAGTACATTCTGTGCTTGTGAATGCGTTATCGCTGTCGACCAGTGAGAGCTGTTTCCAAAAGCCCTGAATGTCCAGACGGCCCGCTGGCTCTTTGCGTCTCACTAGCCCTTATTAGCTCCCAATATGCGTCATTGCTGCATTTGAAAAATTCAATCGGACCCAATCCAGAGCCACTGGGTGATCCAGGCACTTTGTGGGGCGCCCTCAGAAACTTTACCAACCAGCTGTCATTCGCAGAAGACCCATCGCATCCCATCGTCCACTATCCCATAAGGGAGAGTGTACTCTGTATTCCGTACGGAGTTTTATTATATGTATGTGCAAGAAGGGTCCTTACGATGGTCTCTTCCGGCTTGTGAGAGCTCGCAGCTCCCCAGACCGCTATCTTAAGGTTTCGGGGATCAGCCAACCACCTACATACCATGAATAGTCTTGTAATTACATCTGCGCCTCGTTAGATTGAGCTGACAATTTTACACAACAGATTCTGGCTCAGTGGGGCATCACTTGCAACTGCAGCTGTCTCTGATCAGAAACAAGACTCCTGCTTGTATCTACATCAAGGCTGACTGACTGCAGAGAATCTGCCCATGAATGGAGACATCTCTGACCAGCGGATGTGTATTCCAAGTAAACCAAAGAACTGATGCCCCTATGGAGTGCTCCATAATTTGCAGCATGTTTTCTAGCTATGAAGCCTTTAGATTTAGATAAGTAGATCTATATTTCACATATTTTAAAGGCCCAATAACCCTCTATGGCTCCGCTCATATCATTCAACATACACTTCGTATGTATGGAGCAGGTTAGGTTATTGGAGTATACTTAGTGTGGAGTACGGAGTAGACTCATGCATATTAACTAGGACAAGCTCAGAAGGCCGATTGGCTGGCATTTAGTTTCGCCAATTCGGAGTACTGCCGGCTCAGCCGAGCTGAAAAGCCCGACGGTCATTGACAGTAACCTGCATTCTTGCATTTGTGTGACTCAAAAATGCCCGCTGGCGATAGGGCTACAGAATAACACTGCATCTGCTCTGTTTCATGCTTGCAATATCAAAGGATGTCGCTGGATTCTACAACCGGCCATAATTGTGACATGTACACATACAGAAGAAGAAGAAGAGAAGAAGAAGCAGCAGCAGCAGAGTTGCGTTGTATCTCTCTAAAAAGAAAGACATTATCATCAAAATACTTGTTGATAGACGGAGTACGTTGAAGTACTCTGTACTCCGTAATGTGCTGAGATGTAGAGATAAGCCACTTGCTGATCCCGGCTGCACTGTGATCCAGCAAGAGTGTCCACACCGGAGGCGGCTGATCGATTCCGTACTTCATATCTCGTCTGTATTAAGTTCATTTTTTACAGTGTGACAACTGCCCAACTACGGAGTACAGAGTACTCCGTATTGCTTTACCGTTGAAAGTACGGCCACTGGATATATGAATTGGCTATTTTGGTTTCTCTTACGGAGAACAGGTCATCTTTAAGATGATTCTTCCATGCACACGATCAACGGGATTCCTTTTCAGCCCTCCAAGCTTGCTGTTTCGATACAGCACAATGGAAACCAAGTACCACATCAACTGGGGATGCATTGTTTTTGTGCGACATCAAATCGACGAAATCGGGAGGCAGTATCTTTGTACGAGGTACCTGTAGGTACATCTCGTTTTGAACAAGATACGGAGTATGTGGCCACGAAATGGAACGGCAGCGGCACGCGGCCCGCCCATTGATGGTGGAGTGCTTCACCCGTGGTTGAAAAGCGGTTGCCTGCAACAAGATTCGCTGACTAGGCGGGCCGTTGTTGACCCCCTGCGCTAACCCAATCTGTTCAAGGAACAGAGTTTTTGCGGAATATTGTTAGTCAGCAGCGGCGTCACCTCAAGTCACCCCATCCGGAACATCCGCCCGCCAACAACGTCTTCAAGCTTCAGACGCCACGGAACAGTCCCTGGTCGGGTTCTCCGATCTCCCTCATTTACTTTCTTTCTGTATGTTGCGAACAAAGATTTCCTCTCTAGTCGACTTTCTAGCCTTCCATTCTTCCCTGGATTCTCTTCCGGAAACCCGCACCCATGCCTGGACGGACGCTGCCGACCTTCGCGTCGTCTGAAGTCAAGTTGCATCGCACGTCGAAGTCATGTTGGGTGACGCGTGGATCGAAGGTGTACGATGTGACGTCGTTTGTGGGTGATCATCCAGGTGGAGGGGACTTGATTTTAGAATATGCTGGCAAGGATATCGCTCAAATCCTGGGTGATGTCGTATCGCACGAACACAGTGAAGCGGCCTACGAGATACTTGAAGATTACCATATCGGGTTCATAGCACGGGATCCATCCTCGAAATCAGAGTCCAATGGTATATCTCATACGCAAACAAACGGTCATGTCGCACTTACCGGCCAACCGGTCTACGCGGCAACAGGAATGTCCAGCGAGAAGGATCTCTCTATTGATACCGATGTAAACGCAGATTATAAGCAGCACAAATTTCTGGATCTAAGCCAGCCACTTTTTGGCCAACTCTGGTTCGGCGGCTTCTCAAAAGAATTCTACCTGTTGCAGGTGCATCGACCAAGGCACTACAAAGGTGGGGCTTCAGCACCCCTGTTTGGTAACTTCCTAGAGCCCTTAACAAAAACTTCTTGGTGGGTTGTTCCTATGGTTTGGTTTCCATGTGTCGCGTATGGGACTGTGATCGGATTTGCCGGTTTGCAAAGTATGACAATGGGATGCCTCTATTGGCTACTGGGAGTTTTTATCTGGACGTTGATCGAGTATGGATTGCATCGGTGCCTCTTCCACGTTGACAAGTATGTGGTCCCTGAGTTATTTCAGATCGACTACTATGTCTAAATTAACAGTGCACTAGGTATCTTCCCGACAATCGGGTGGGATTGAGCCTTCATTTCCTGCTTCATGGGATACACCATTACCTTCCCATGGATAAATACCGCCTCGTCATGCCTCCTGCACTCTTCCTTATTCTAGCCAGCCCGTTTTACAAGCTTGCCCATCTGGTATTTTTCTATAATTGGCATGTGGCTGTAACGGTGTACTCGGGTGGAATATTCGGATACGTATGTTACGACTTGACGCATTACTTCCTCCACCATCGAAAGTAAGTTCTCCAAACCGGAAATGACGATTTTTGTGTGATTTTTAACTGAAAAATTTCATTAGCCTACCTTCGTATTATCGCGGTCTCAAGCAATATCATCTCCAACACCATTTCGCAGATTACGATAATGGCTTTGGCGTTACCAGTAGATTCTGGGATAGGGTGTTTGGGACAGAGCTTCCGCCCCTTCAGCCATTAAAAGCCAAGTAGATTTACTATTTCCACTGTGTCGGCGCCGTGGGACTTCCGATAGTTGCAATTCCAAGCCTATGACACAATGATGTGCTATCTTTTACTTCTCTTTCTTGTGACCGCTTTTACGACCTCTGCGAAATTTTTATTCTCCTAATTACCTGGGATATTTTATCGCGGTTTCTTTTCTTGGACATGTATATCACCATTCGAATTATCTTTTCTAATGGATACCCTGGACAGCGGTTTTGTTTTGCCTCCTTTAATTGTATTTTTAGAGTAATTGAAACATTCCCCCTAGTATCATTCTCCCCTGGCGCCGGTCTGAAAAAGGCCAACCCAATCAATGCTATTGCCAAAGCATGCATTACTCGTTATCGCTCTCAATCTTGGTAGGGTTGGTTGAGAAATCTTATGTCAGCAGTGCCGCCAAGGCAAGTGTATGTGGCAACGTCGGCTGGCTTTCTTCACAACTTCAATTTTCCACCACGCCGGGCTCACTACTCCATACGATCAAACGCAAAAAAATCCTATATTGCCGGAGTTGGGTACCAGGAATTTTATCTACATCGAACAAATTAAAGGCCGCAACAGTTCGGTTCAAAAGAACAAGCAACAAGGGTTCGCTCAATCACGTCCTCTTCATCTCGCTTGTCTAACGCGAAAACAAAAGTGATCTATTTTTCTTTGAATCCATTTTTTCCCGTACTATAAAGGCTTCACGTCCAACATATCCTCAATATGTCAGGTCTCGATGTTGAAGCCCTGCTTGAGTCTACTGCACAATCCAGCTCGAAACAGCAGTCCGATGACGCGCCAAGGCACAGCAACGACACCGACTCTAAAAAACCTCGCAGTGATCGCCGTGACCGCGACCGTGATAGAAATAGAGATGGCTCTCGTGATCGTGACAAAGATCGTAGACGTCGAGAGCGAAGCCGTGATCGACGTGCGGAAAAAGATGCCGATGGAGACGAGGAGATGAGAAGCCCAAAAAGCGATCACGCAAGTGCTAACGGGAGCTATAGAAGTAGAAAGAGAAGCAGAAGCCGCGAGAGTGACAGGCGTCGGGCCCGTCGCGATCGCTACGGCGATGATCATCGCTCTTCTGGCGGCGATTTCTACCGAGGTGGCGGGCGCGCTCGCTCCCGGTCTCGATCTCCATACGATGACAGATATTATAGGCCGAGCGGGCGACCTCGCCGTGATGATGATCGCGATGATGATAAACGTCGAACTCGCCGTGAGAAGGATGCACGCAAGCGTTCCCCTAGCCCTAAACCGAGCAAAACCCCTGAGCCACAGCTCACTGAGGATGAGCGTGACAAGCGCACCGTTTTTGTACAACAGCTTGCTGCGAGATTAAGGACAAAAGAGTTGATTGCATTTTTTGAAAAGGCCGGGCCAGTCAAAGATGCTCAAATTGTGAAGGATCGTGTTAGTGGGAGATCTAAAGGGTATTTTCCTATTCATCTAAATGACTATGATTAATTTCTAACCTGAATCAACTGGTAGTGTTGGTTATGTGGAGTTTAAGAACGAAGAATCCGTCCCAGTTGCCATCCAGCTTACCGGCCAGAAACTTCTAGGAATTCCTATTATAGCGCAATTCACTGAAGCCGAGAAGAACAAAGCAGCCCGCAATACGGAGGGGCATGTGAGCGGCAACCAAAATTCAATTCCATTCCACAGATTATATGTGGGTAATATTCATTTCAGCATCACTGAGAGCGATTTGCAGAACGTTTTCGAGCCTTTTGGCGAACTTGATTTTGTTCAATTACAGAAAGACGAAAATGCACGTAGTAGAGGCTATGGATTTGTTCAGTGAGTTTTCGACGATACATACCGCCCGTTTAATTAACTCTAATACAACATTTAGATTTCGTGACCCTAATCAAGCCCGTGAGGCTTTGGAAAAAATGAATGGGTTTGACCTAGCTGGCAGACCTATCCGCGTTGGTCTTGGTAATGATAAATTTAGTTCCGACTCGGCTACAAACCTTATGCGACTTCAATCACAGAACCAGCAAGGCTCACTATACAGCCAGGGTAGTCGCAATGCTCAAACTACTGCTGGAGGAAGTAACTTCGACCGCGCGGGTGGTCGTGATAATGACAAAGGCGTTGGAGGCGCCAGTGCTTTGGATGACACAGATGTTGCCGGTGTGAACTTCAACAATTATAGCAGAGACGCATTGATGAGGAAACTTGCGAGAACAGATGAACCTGCTGCAGATACCCCCACTGACGACAACCGAAAAGCCCCGAAAGCTCGCCCAGAAGCCAAGCCGCTGCCTGTCAGTGTTAATATGGCAAGCAGATGTGTGCTATTGCGAAATATGTTTGATCCAACTGAGTAAGCGCTTTGACACTAATGCTATTTCAAGACACATCTAACTTGTTTGATAGAGAGGAAGGCGATTCCTGGGTCAAGGAGTTGGAGGATGACGTTCGCGCTGAGTGTGAAGACAAATATGGCCATGTTGTTCACATCTCTCTAGACCCTAACACCCAAGGTGATATCTATCTCAAATTTGATCGTGTCCAGGGCGGAGAGAATGCCATCAAAGGATTGAATGGCCGGTTCTTCGGCGGCCGTCAAATTACAGCACAGCCTGTCGTCGACGCTGTCTATAGCAGCTTATTTTCTCGCACCAAAGCCATTTAGGTTATCATATTCTATATTTCTACGTTTGAGTGGAGGAGCGGTAGGTATTATGCTCATGAGGTCGAGGGAGTGATACAATATATCGGACTGAATATATGGGCAACTTCTTCCTAGGGTTTAAATCTAACATTGGATTAGGTCCCATTTATGTGCTTTATAAGCCCAGTTCCCTGGCCAGTATGTCTTCCTTTCAAACACTGACTTCCTGTGATCTTGGTTTTAACCCTTCTGCTGCACTCATCGACAGCCGCTTGTTTCCCCACTATGTAGCATCCATATTCATCTATCCTCCTGTTCTGTCTTACTTACCTGAATTTGTACAAACAATGAATAAGTATTTGCCGGAGAAACTTTCATTTATGAGATTTCCTTATTTTTATTTACTTCACTTCATAGCAAGTGACATATCCCGGGATCCCTGAAATAACTACTACACAAGACCGATACTTCAACCTAGTTCCCCTTTCACTTCAGGTCAATAAGTCTATCTCCCTGAATGACTATTCATATTGGTGTCTTAAATATGAATTCTGTATACCTAAGCATGGTTACTAGTATGAATTTACCCTACCTAACTGTGCCTAGCAGCATGGCAAAGGAAACCAAAAGCAAAACTAAAGAAATAGCTGGATACCATTATGTTAGAAACATTTTGGTCCAGGAACATGCTGAAAATCTGTTGTCGCGGACAGCGGCATCTTCCCACACACAAAACCATGCTCACTTGGTACAATCATTCTTGTTTTACTAATATTTTATTGAAACTTATAACATATAACCACTAGTTATATAGGTATCTTTTGAACTACAGTTTGTCATATCCTTGTTTTACTTTCCAGCATTTCTGGCATCTCGGGCGTCCAATCCGATTTTCTTCAGGAGTCCTGTCCACATATTCCACAAAGAGCTGCGGGGATAGCTTATATCGAATTTATACGAGACCTTGAAGAGCCTCGCATCCGGCTCAGTAGCTTAAATTCCGAGCTACAGCGTGTTCAGTATCAGCTTCACTGGACGGAAGCAAAATCAGGATCCCAAGGTGATTTGATTTTTGCCTTGAAAAGCAAACTTGCGCAGCTGGAGGCAATTTTATGTGACGCCAATCGAACTGTAAAGCCTGTCGCCATTTGCAGCATCGAAGGCCAGCTACTAGTAGCATTTCAAACAAAACGAATATAGTATGGCATGTTATCCCCACACAGATTCCTCGCCTGCTACACTCATTGTCACCGACTAGTCGGATTTGTCCGCCATAATTGAAGACCCAGCATATAGAGTAAAACATTTGCTTGCGAATTCAAAGCTCTATTATTTGATTTGGTGGGGCAGTACGCAAAGCGTTATAAAACACAAACAAATAGAGGTCACCATCATCTCTTCATGTGTGATGAATTTAGAAAACACTTGGATTTTTCCGCAGAAGTTTCTTAAATTTTTCTACTCGCCCGCCTCCTGATGGAAACCATTGATAAGCGGTACAAGGCAATTACTCAAGTGATTAGCACCTTTATGTGTGCCATTTTATGCCGGAACGTATTTTGCGGCAGCTTTGGGGGTCTTCTTTCTGGGTGCCATGATCGTATTGTCCGACAATTTTAGTCACAAGTGGGAATAATGTAGGTACCTGCTAAAAAAAACAGGGATAGATAATGTTAAATAATGATGTTTTGCAGAGAAGAACTCTGTACGGAGTAGTTACCCCATATACAGAATTCAATCAGCAATTGCTGAGCAGACTTCGATGGAAAACATTGATGCCGAAATTCCACAATTGGCTACATTGTTAGGACTCTTTCTGGGTTGAACTTGATGGGGGCTCGTTACTGATAGTTTGTGTCTAGTCAGTAGCCCCAAGGAGATTCAATCTATGGTACGATGGTATTGCAAGCCTTACTCCTGCACAACCAGCCATTTTTCTATCAAGCGGATGGCTGAGCCTAGTGAATATTATAAATAGTGCCCATATCCTATCGCTTCTTTCCACTCGGGGCCCTGTGAGTTCCTTCATACTTATATAGCCCTGTCAACATTCATTTTAAAGCGGGATCGCCTCGGATGATCCTCAAGAATGTTTACCCTTCAATCCATTTCCGCAACGCCAACATTCAATATCCAGAATAGTGTGTCCAGGATGGGAGGCCCCTGCTAGCCCAGTCATTGGTATACTTTGGATAGTAAAGCCTAAAGATAACCTTTGGTAATGCTTTAATGTTCCAATGAAAGCCCTTTGCAGTCAGGGGGTATCTCCTGCTTTTTGTGCAGGCTTACGTAGTTAGTATAATTGAATCTGCAGTGCTGTCTGGATTTATCGGTTTATCTGCCCTGGATGGATTTCCATTTTCACAGCATTAGTGTTTATGGCTGCATCACTTGTTTGATCTTGATTCTAGACTAATGAGTTTCATTGTCATCTGCTGTTAGGGTAGTTATAGTTTCACAGTATATACCCTGGCCAGGCTTCCTGAAGAAACAACAAGTCTAGGTCTTTGGCCTTTAGGCCCTGACTGAATGCTGGAGTTTGGAGTGGCCAGTTTACAACTGGTAGTTAAACAGATGCAAACAGAACAAACACTAGTTAGTTACCCGGCTGCCGCTGTTGGCGACAATAAAAAAAGCTGGGTTGCGCCTTGACGACATAAGCATTTCTTGTCCTCGTATTGATGTGCTTTCTTGGACACGTTCTCTTTATTTCTCTTCTTCACAAGAATGAGGCCATCACTGTTGGTGCTGCCTCTCCGTGAAATTTAACTGTTGGCCATCCTCCCTTCAAGCAAGGGAACACAGGGAGCTTGATGCAAATGCTATACATACTTGCCCTTCTGCCGTTCATGTCTGCGCGTCGATGAGTACACGGCTAGTGAAACCAGCAAGAGTCCATGCTTGGACGCTTGCCGACAGCTACAGTACTCCCGCCTCCCTCTCTTTCGACTGGCGCATATCTAATCAAGTTTTATGCATTGAGCAGGCTTCATCGCAACGTTTCTGCGTAGGCAACACACCGATGCTATCTTGAGTAGCGGACCGCACCATCAAACACAGCAGCCCCCGAGTCCTGGCAAAACAACGGGCAAGTCGCCAGCTCGGCGATATTTCCATGATTACTTTGTGACACACCTGCCGGTATCCTCTCTCCATCCCGACTCTCGCCTTTCAGAGCCTCTCCACCACCTACCTCGCTCGGAGTCCATCCCCCACGTCTCCTCTTCGAAAGGCGCATCTCCGGCCTCCGTATTATCACCCGTAGGTGTATCGCGCGAAACAACAGTCGTACGTATTCCGTTACGAAGCGCCAAGCACCATTTTGGTGTATCCGTCTCTCGTGGCTCTCGTCCAAGAAATGAAGATACGTACCAGGCTGGCGTTATTGAACTGCCCGCCTTTGCCAAACGGCCACCACTTTCCCTAACTATCGGTCGGCGAGCCGAGGATAGATCATCTGCGGACTTTCCCGGAGAAAATCGTGTTGCTGACAATGCTATCGGGGATCCACAGGTGTTTTATTTCGGTGTTTTCGATGGACATGGGGGAACTGTATGCAGCGAATTTCTAAGGGACAAACTACATGGCTATGTTCAGGAGACAGCGATGACCTTTGAGCTTGGCTCTAGTATCAGGAAGAGTACGCAGAAATCAACTTTGCCCCAAAGGCCTGTACGTGACAGAGATGCTTTTCGAGAAAGCCTCCAAGCATATAGAAATGGGCCATATGATGGAAACCCTTCCTTTTCCCCGTCAAATGAAGGCCATGGCGGAAAAACTTTATCCGGCGACCTTCCAATTCTCCAGCCCGGAAATAGACAGAAGATCGGCGAGCTTGAAAAATCGCTAGTTAGCGATTGGAGAAATTTGGTTGGTGGTTATTTCAGACGCTTCAAACCAGCGCATTTTTGTTATTCTGGGGAGAATGACCTCCACACAGACGGATTCGGACCCGGTTCTCACAACACTGGCCTGGATATGAATATGGGAGTTCCAATCGAAGAAGTCCTAGAATATGCTTTCTTGAGGGCAGATTACGACTTCATTAGTGCACAAGCCTCCAAACAAGACAGTGATTCCGTTAGTGCTGAACGGCCCTTGAATGAACTCGACATCCTCCATAATCCAAGCCGATTGAGGCCTACGACCGTGGGGGGAGCCACCCGCTTCAAGGGCGGAAGCACTTGCAGTATTGCGATGATCTCAACCCCTACGCCGGCCCCTTTTTGGCATCCTTCGGCGCCCTCGTCGTTAGTGGTTTCACACGTCGGCGACACTCGAGTGTTACTGTGCTCTACAGCCTCGGGAATTGCTATCCCTCTGACTACTGATCATCACCCCTCCTCTCCCGTCGAAAGCAACAGATTGAGACGCTATGCCACATCACTAGTTACTGACTCTTTTGGAGAAGAACGGATTAGCGGGTTGGCAAATAGTCGGGCATTCGGGGATATTCAATCAAAACGGATCGGGATTTCAGCAGAACCAGAAATCAGGCGTGTTGAAATGGGACCTGCCGAGTATTCCTTTCTAGTTTTGATGTCTGATGGGGTGAGCGGCACCCTCTCGGATCAAGAAATTGTCGACATAGTCAAAGAAGCGAAAACACCAGATGCAGGCGCCCGTGATGTTGTCAACCTTGCAACCGAGGTGTCGAAAGATGGCGACAATGCAACTTGCCTGGTGGTTCGACTGGGCGGTTGGGAAAGACGCCTTGAAGGAGGATTGGGCAGTATGGGGACCAAAGAGTCCAGAGATTGGCGGAGACAGGAGGCTAGTGACCCGCGAGGGCGACGAACATGACGCATCAGAATCTTCATTTTTTCTTTCAGTTTTCTCCCTGCCTTTCCTGTGCCTTTCGGGCTAGATTCGACTTTTATTTGTACGCCTTATTTATGACAGTTATGCTGTATCCCCAGTGTTTTCATTTCTCTTTACATCATTCTAGACATTTTATGCTTCATCTGCTGTATTTGCTTTCTGTTAGCTGCATTATTATAGATATGACCTGTACATAATCTTATGAACCACGAAATACTTCATTTAAAACCTATGTCATTAGACTAGTTAGCTAGTTAATCCTACTCTGTACGGGGTGCTCCGTAGTTACATACTTATCAACAAAGTGCAGATCCCAGCCGGGCGGACTGGCGAGGCAAAATGCACGTTCCGCAACTTTGATCTCACGCCAACAGCAAACTCAAAAGAAAACCAGTATTGTTTCTTCAGTATCTGCCCTCTTCCACGATTAAGCTGCCTTTAGCTGAGTGCATGTACTCTCTTCACACATCGCGACCCATCCGATCACGCCGACTCTGCTAGCGAGGCCAATCTCCGTCACCGATGCCTTGCTGAGCGTTGTGAGAAACAAGCATCGACTTTACAATACACTCCTTTATAGCCTCTCATTCTGCAGTATCGTTTCAATCTCTGTTGGCCACGGTGTCCCAACTCTTTTATACGTACATTTCTTCTCTATTAATCTTATAATAATTGTGGCTTATATCCTTTACGCGTCCATGCTTCGTCTCTGAGCTCAAGAAAACTTAACACGGCATTGAACGGCTACTGAGAATAGCAAGCCGAATATAACTGAAAGTAAGCCTTATTTCCTTCTTCACCCCCCCTTTTCTCCCTTAAAAAGATTGTAAATTTCAGAAGGAGTCGCCAACTGACCGCTCTAGTCTCGCCCAGACAATTGCTTACGTCCAATCCAACAATACGAAAATAAAAATCTTCGGCAAGGCCTTGTTGATCCTAACATAATTACTCCAACGTGTATATTGGTGTCTCAATTCCCTACCACACTTTCCTCAACCACCTTGGTGCCTACATAACAGACTCTGTTTTAAGAAACGAGATTTCCTCCCCCTGCGACTAGGTACAAAATGGCTGGCCAAGCGAAGAAGGCAAAGGTGTCTGGGTCATCATTGTCACAAAGCCATGATGATGAGGTACCCTTGCGAGGAAATGGTTTGGTTTGCGAGAGTAGCCCAAAACAGACACAGGGGATTTCACCATCCCGCACTGAAGAGAAGGAGAATATCTTCCTCTTTTGGCCTAATATCATTGGTAAGATCTGGTGCTCTATTTTGCTACTTCTCTATATGCTGATACACTGATTGCATTTAGGTTATGTTCGCATCGTTTTAGCGACAGCCTCCCTGTATTACATGCCTCTCCACCCTCGCACATGCTCCTTGCTATATAGTATATCCTGCCTCCTTGACGCACTCGATGGGTATGCTGCTCGCGTATATAACCAATCTACTACCTTTGGCGCAGTCCTTGATATGGTCACTGATCGCTGCACAACCGCCTGTCTATTGGTATTTCTGAGTTCCGCTTGGCCGCGCTGGGCAATTCTATTCCAGGGGTTAATTAGCTTGGATCTTGCGAGTCATTATATGCACATGTATGCAACTTTGACTATGGGAGGATCCGGTCAGAGTCATAAGAAAGTGGATTCAAGCCGGAGCTGGATTCTATACCAATACTATAATAACAGGGTACGCTTCATTGCTGCAAAGGCCAACATGTATGTATTAAATTGCTGACCTGCTGCCACAGACTGTTCTGTTTATATTTTGCCTATTCAATGAGTTATTCTTCATTGGGCTTTATCTTCTTTCTTTCTCATCCCCGACCCTCTCTCCATCGCTACTACAGCCAGTTGGTGACGGTGCTACCGTTGCATCTACACAGCAACCAGGCTCACCGGCACTAGCTCCAATATCGGCTCTCTTCTCCAGTCCCTGGAGTGCTGGGGCATTGGAGCTTGCGCGGGCCAACAAACTCGACAGTTTCTGGCCTTGGGTAATCACAGGCATTTCTGCCCCAGTCATGACTGCTAAGCAATTTATCAACATCGTACAGATGGTGAAGGCCAGTAAGTGGCTTGCAGAAGGCGACATTGCCCGCCGCAACCAACTAGGTATTTCAAGGAAGAGATAAGCGGCAGACGTCGATGCATTAAATACATTAGTCTCTCCTGAGGGCTCAAATCCAGCGCTTCGATGCCCTTCCTCTTTGACCAAACAACAATGTTGGTTGCCTCTTACTTGAACAGTTTTGCATGCCCAATTGAATGAAGCTTTTCACTCATCGTCTATGGAGTTTCTTTTTGACCGGACTGGTGCCACATTTAACATTACTGACATATATTCTCCCTGTCTTTTCTCTTTCTATGTATACTTTTGCTATTTACTTCTTCAGTTCCCCCTCTGTGCTTCTTTTTCTGATGCATCCCGCCTTTGAATGCGGACTTACAGTGCTATTTCTTTTAATCTTCTCTCTTAACCTTTTCTCTTTCTTCTTTGTAACTATGTGCCATACTGAGCACAGCCAGCCAGATGGGACCTGGCGGCTTGGCTGTTAGATGGGCGGACAAAGTAATTACAGCAATAGAAAATCTGTCAACAGACCCGGCACTGAGATACCATTCCTCAAGATGCTGAAGTTTATTGTGAAGTTAACAGGCGCTCGCTTATTGCTTGAAAACCATGTGCAGATTAGTCAGTTAGTTAACTATTCTAGTCAACAAACTAACTTCCTCCCGCCGGCTTACAGGGAATAATATTAGCTTTCTTACTTGTTTAAAGCCGATATCGGATAGCGGGGCAGCAAGGTCAAAGCATTGAAATACCCACAGCCAGAACATGCAGCTTGCGCTCAGCTTCTCCTTTAATATTAAGACTTCAAAGTGTACTCTTATTATTTAGTTAATTGATAATATCAAACTCTGCCTGTCATGGTGAATTATAACATCGTCGTTTTTGCTGGTGACTATTGTGGCCCAGAGGTAAGAGCCCGCTCCGTTCAAATATCGGATCGCTGTCATCGATATGTCTTCTTCAGGCAAGAGTTGCTAATTAGACTATCTTGCGATGTGCTAGGTAGTTGCAGAGGCAATAAAGGTACGCACTGATCTCATCATCATATATGGTGACGAGACGAAAGTTGCTGAGTATCTTTGACAATATGGAAATAGGTGCTTAAAGTAGTTGAAAAGAAGAGGGATAATATTCAATTTACCTTCCAGGATCATTTGCTTGGTGGTGTGAGTAAAGCTGCACTTTTTTGCCCCGGAATCTATACATATTAACATTTGCTGATCTTTTGTCACTATGCTTTAGGCATCTATAGACTCTACCGGAACCGCGTTGACAGATGAAGCCCTAAATGCAGCAAAGAATGCAGATGCCGTGCTTCTTGGAGCTGTTGGTGGACCTGTATGTGATTATTCACCGCACACCCTAGCTTTGCACAATCCAAACTAATCGAGACATTTTGGATAGAAATGGGGTACAGGAACAGTGCGTCCAGAACAGGGAATCCTTCGCCTTAGGAAAGAGATGGGCACATTTGGAAATTTAAGACCTTGCAACTTTGCTGCTCCATCACTTGTTGACATCTCTCCATTAAAAGCCGAAGTCTGCCGTGATGTAGACTTCAACATCGTCCGTGAGCTTACTGGGGGAATTTATTTTGGCGAGAGGCGTGAAGACAACGGTGACGGTGTCGCCATGGATACGGAGCCCTACTCTCGGCCGGAAATTGAGCGTATCACCCGCCTTGCTGGCCACCTCGCACTACAACGCGACCCCCCACTGCCGGTGTGGAGCTTGGACAAAGCCAATGTGCTTGCAACCAGTCGCCTGTGGCGCAAAGTCGTGACAGAAATCATGGAGAAGGAGTTTCCACAAGTGAAATTCGGTCATCATCTAATCGACAGCGCAGCCATGTTGATGGTGAAGGATCCTCGTAAACTGAACGGCATAATTGTTACCAGTAATTTGTTCGGTGATATTATAAGTGATGAAGCAAGTGTCATCCCTGGATCTCTGGGCCTGTTACCTAGTGCTAGTTTGAGTGGTATTCCCGATGGAAAGTCCAAAGTAAATGGAATCTACGAGCCTATCCACGGTATGGTTATTCCCCTCTTTGTTTCTCACTAATGCTCACCATACTTTTTTCAAGGTTCCGCACCAGATATTGCTGGGAAAGGCATTGTAAACCCCATCGCCACTATTCTTTCAGTTGCTATGATGCTTCAGTATTCCCTCAACCTTGCGGCTGAAGCAAAAGCTATTGAGGTAGCCGTACGCAACATTATCGAGGCAGGAGTTCGGACGACAGACATTGGCGGGAAAGCAACGACAAGTGAAGTCGGTGACGCTGTAGTGCAAGAACTAGAGAATACCCTGTAGTATTCTTGAAAGGATAACATGACCGCATGTATTTAGTAAATTGATTGGTTATTTCAAGGTGAATATAGAATTGCCCCCCTGGAGTTTTTAAGCGGGAAAACGGAGTATGTATTTAAAAAAATCTATTAGCAATACAGGGTATCATAGATAGAGGCGTCAAAAAAGTAAAAAAGAAATAATAGACTGAACATTGTACGACTGCCGACTGCCAGCACGTCTTGTTTCTCTTGTTTCTTTTGCCTCAATATGACAGCAGCTAGCGGAGTTCAGGCTCTAAAAACCACTCCGATTCATCCATCAAGGTCATTCCGTACTCTATTTCATTACTAGATTCATGTGTAGTATGGATATCATCGGTTTTTCTAGTCCCGTCGCTTGTTTGGGGGAGTTTTCGGCCGCTGTCCCTGCGTGTCCGAGCATAGTATGTTTCGTCACGGGCAAAGATTTGAAACCCTCGAAGATGAGTGTCCTTTCCGTTCTGGTGATTTTCGCAGATTCGGACTTGTATAACCATGGCTTTTAGAATATTGCCCGCTGATAGGTTTCCATTGTTGTCAAAAATGTTATCATCCTCGTCATAATCAGAAATAACACTGCAGTCACTATTATTACCACCAGCATCACCATTTGCCGATGGCGCTCCAACGTTTTCGTCTCTTAGTTTGGCTGGCTTGCGGTCCTTTCCTTTAACTCCGCGTCGTCGTCTTCTTCGCTGCGGTCCCTGTCTTCCGCCCACTCCTTCTAGGGGGATGTCGACCCATCCACAAGGCGCTTCACCTTGCCAAGTCGCGAACTCAACAAGATCATTGCCACCCATTCCAGCCAAAAATATCATTTTTGTAGGCGTGTAGCTTTCATCTAACTCGAAGTCAAGACATACTCGTATTCTAACCACAGAGACACGTTTAAAAAAATGTAGGGTGAGAGTATGAGGCTGCGGTCCATCAGACTGCCAAAACTGAGAGGGAGAGGGGTGGCGAAGTGCGGCAATGCCACAACCAGGCTTATGGGTAGAAACTGTCCATGAGGCAAGTGAGGATATCTCACGAAGATTGGGAGGGATTGGAAGGGATACGTTTTTGTCTAAGAGGAGCTTAGTAGGCTCTCGACCACACACTTATGGCCAAATATGCACGTGTAATGGAGGGTAATGCGCACCGTCATCCTGCATTTCATAGTCTTCATCATCCCCTACCCCCTCGTCGTTTTCCTCAAGCTCCTCGTCTATCTCACTATCTTCGTCTTCAAGGTCGATATCATCCTCAAAGGGGACCGCATCCTCAGAATTCGGGTCCTCTGCAATCGGCGTACCTCGCGCCCCGAAGACGTGGCCTGAGGGCCCGGTCGCTATCGATCGGTGGTGGGCAGCTGGGGCTCCTGCTCTGCCTGTCATGGAGTTGCGTGACGGACCTGCTTGCGGCTCATCGAGCCTTGCGACAGAAGAGAAGGCGCCATCTTCACCAGAGGGGAATATTGGCCGTCGCAAATTGTGTCGAGGCATTAGGCAGGACGGGTAGCTGGAGGAGGCCAGCGGGGGAGATTGACCCGTTGTTATTATCCGCGTGTGCAGTCAAGTTGTTGCCAGGTGACGCCACACCTCAGCCACGGCCGGGCTAGCTCAATCGGTAGAGCGTGTGGCTCTTATGACACTTTCATGCGATCCGTGGATCACCACAAGGCTGCGGGTTCGACCCCCGCGTTCGGCTGCATATGCTTTTTGCAACCTCAGTTTTTTTTACCCGTGGACTTCATTTATATATAGGTGACAAGGGTCAGGCCAACCAACCAACATCCCGCGGATTTGCAAAGTGAATGTGCTATTTATTGTATTCCTAAAAACGAATCTACCTAACTCTATCTTGCTTCTTTCTATCATATCCACAGGGTATACGAGGCCACTACCAGTGGCCAGACATCGCATTCTGGGCGAGTCTCGAACATGACTGACTACACTCTCACTATGGAAAAATCCCATGTTCCATACGAACGACCCTATACCTACCTTGCTTCGCGCTAAGGCTCTGATATCAAAACTTTTATATGCAAAATTTTTGGAGCAATCGGGGTCATTGAGTACCACTAATTGCACTATACCTTTCAACAACGCACAGTTGTCAGTATTCAATCGCAGAATTAGGCTTCCCGCCGGAAACAGGAGTCATTGCTCGTCGTCATGAGTTCGCTCGCCTGCTCCATGGGGCACTTTCTGATCTCGCCGGGTACATCGCCTGAAGTAGATGCGTTTGCCCCATTTCCAGGTTTCGACACCCAGGAAGAACAAGAAAGACTCAATAAAAACAATACCCCATTCCCAAGTGATACCAGTATGTTTGAAGACTTTGTGGTTGATGACCGGGATGTAAAGAAGAGGGAAAATGGTGACGAAGCCGGCAATGATGGCCCAGAAAAGGAACTGGTTACGCCATACATCATACATCCATTGGGTGAAATACTTCTTCGATTTTGGTTGCATGCGGAAAAAGCTGCGGCGCATATTGACCATCTCCCAGGCAAGGAAGAGCGCAAACCAAGTCAGGCAGACGAAGGTTGTGGCACGAGCACGGAATACGGTGTCACACTCAGGGCTGTAATGTTCGTTGCAAGAAATTCCAAGGTCGCCGTCACCGAACCCAAACATAACGAGCGAAAAAGCAGCTAGGCAGAGGGCAGACATCCAAACGCCGTAGGCGATGATATCAACAATAATTTCGGTCGTGAAAATACCTTGTTTCTATGGAAGCAAATGATATTAGTGTGATGGTTGCAGAAACAAATTCAAAGGATACATACGCTCTGCGGTGGTCTGTCCATGATATCTGGTGCAGCAATCTCCATGCCAAGTCCCATGTCCGGCATCCCAGATGTAATCATGATAATCCACAAGATCTCGACAGGTGCAAGCGGAAAGACGGACTGGTTATTTCTGTCCTTGAAAGCCAAACCAATCAATAGAGTGCAAGCCTGTGCGATGTTTTCAGCTAGCAGATGCAAAACGAATTTTTGAATGTTGTCAAAAATGCGACGGCCTTCTTCAATAGCATTCAGGATGGAAGCGAAATTATCATCTGTTAGAACAATATCAGAGGCGTCTTTAGCAACATCAGATCCAGACTGGCCCATGGCAATGCCAACATCAGCATGTTTCAGAGAAGGCGAATCATTGACTCCATCACCAGTCATAGCGGCAAACCGGCCACGACGATGTAGTGCTTGAATCATGCGCACTTTAGTGTGGGGTGCGCATCGGGCAATAACAAGCGGAAGAGTGGGCAATTTATCGATCTCTTCATCTGACAATTTATCGAATTGGCTTGCTGTCATTACCATCGCGTCGGCGACCTCTTTCGAGACGCTGCTTAAGTCGGATGGGATGATGCCAATTTGGGCAGCAATGGCACGAGCCGTTCCGGGATGATCACCAGTCACCATGTGAACTTCAATACCGGCATTATAACATTCTTTGATAGATCCAGCAGTTTCAGGGCGGGGCGGATCGTACAGCCCAATCAGTCCGTGAAAACGCAAATCCTTTTCAACATCCTCGCGACTGACCTCTGCATCCTCCAGAACAGAGTCCTTATACTCACGACCAGCGAGAGCTAAGACACGGAGACCTTGTTTTGCTAAGCATTCCATATTTTCAAGTACTTGCTCACGCATTTGGTCTGTGAGAGTAACTGGCCCTTCTCCGGGATTCCAAACGGCGGTTACACAAGCATCCAAAATACGTTCCACGGCTCCTTTCGAAAAGACCATTCGTCGTTCTTCTGATGGCGTAAGTTTGTGGTAAATAACGGACATCTTCTTCACATCGGAATCAAAGGGGAATTCTGCCTTTTGATGCCAAACAGCACCCTGGCCCTTAGTCCATCGATCCCTATTCCAGTTAAAACGAGAGGCAAACACTTGGATAGCGATTTCTGTTGGTTCACCACGAGCGTGCCATTCTCCTGCATCCGATGTGTAGACGTGAGAAAGATTCGCCATGGAAGCAACATCCAGGAATTGTTCCAGGGCTTCCTCCTTCACAAAATTTGCAGGGGAGATGGGTTGTCGGTCAGCATGGGCATCAGTTTCAAGAGGCGTAAGCTTATCAAAACCGACATCTCCAACTGTTGGGTTGAAAGGTTCGTTAGAATTTCCAACAGAAAACGTTCCCATTGAAGGAATCCAAGCCTTTTTGGCCACCATTTTCCCTTGAGTTAATGTTCCGGTTTTATCGGAGCAAATATTAGTCACGGCGCCGAGAGCTTCGAGGGAATCGAGTTTCCGGACAATGACGTTCCTCTGTACCATTCTCTTGGTCCCGACAGCCATGGTAATGGTCAGAACAACAACTAGGCAAGCTGGGATCATACTCAAACCCGTCGCGACTGCATAGATGATGACCTCATTCGAGCTGCTCCATTTATTTGCGCTCATCACGACGATTGCAAAGAGAACAGCAACTCCAAATAACAAGAGAGCAAGCTTAGACAACTTGCGTTGCAACGGAGTTCCCACGTTGACACCAAGAAATCTTCCTACGGCATCAGTTCCTGTTAAAGCCCATGCTTGCAAGTACCATCGCTTCTTGGTTTCGCCACCTGGGCCTCGCTTGACAGGTCGACGTTTGCTATTCGAGGCACGAAGAGCAGCAGCGATAGATCCAATCTCGGTTTTCATTCCCGTCGCTATGACAACTCCTCGTGCACGACCCCGAGTAACAGTGGATGAGCTGTAGGCAATGTTCAGCCTATCACCAGGTCCAATGTCTGCTTTGAAAGTAAGCTCGGCATCCTTTTGAACGGGAAGAGATTCGCCAGTAAGAAGTGCTTCATCCGTCTCAAAATTGACAGCTTCGACAAGTCTAATTTCTAGAGTTAGTACCGAGATTACCTTAAGATATGGGTAATAGTAACTAACCGGATATCAGCAGGGACAGTGTCGCCAGTCTTAAGTTCGACCATGTCTCCTGGGACAATATCCGTGGAAGGAATAGTCTTGGTCTCCCCTTCTCGTGACACTGTACCGGTCGGAGAACTCAAAGATCGGAGAGAGTCCATGGTCTTTTCAGCAGCATATTCCTGGAAAAATCCCACGATAATATTCAAGATAATAACAGCAGCTACAACCCCTCCTTCAATGAAGGACTGGATTCCGAAACTGACAGCCATTGCCATGATAAGGACCTGTAGACTCAATAACAATTGGATCAGACAAACGGGGCTCTAAGTGAGATAGGGTTGCAAAAGGAAGAACAATATGGGCCGCTTAACTAGCATCATGGCATTGGCCACCTGGCGAATAATGATTTTGACAACGGAGACGCCTTCTCCTTCGTCAAGCATGTTTGGACCGTACAGCTCAAGACGTTTCTTCGCTTCCGCTAATGTGATACCATCGTCCGGGTGAGTGTTTAACTCTTTGATGGCCTCGTCATACGTCAACGCATGCGCAGGCTGCGACAAGATGCCATGGCCGCCATCGCCAGGCTCTGTCGTCTGGGAGGTTTTCTCCATGGGAGGGAGAATGGCCGAAGATTCGTCTGGTTTTCACTCAATTGGTCGCATTCAGCGGAAAGCACAATTTCTGCTTGTTCTGAAATGAGCGGAAAGTCAATTCCAAGAGGCCTTGCAACGGCCCGACCCTGCCTTCAAATCGACTAGGGGACTAATAAAAACTCGTAGTGGAATGGTTAACGAAAGAAGAACTCTTCTCTCAGCAACACAGCGGGACGGCTGGTCCTTTTAAGCAGCTTCCGAGGCCTTTCGGGACTCTCTTGGCTTCTCCGTACGCTTCCCCACCTTCGTCATGGAAAGTTTCGTGCACACCGCAAAATCCGGACAAGAATATGGCCACCTGGAAGGCAAAGCATGCAGGGCTATGGCCGTTCCTGCACCAATCAGCACCCTGCGTGGGAAGCAAGGTTTGCAAGGTTACCATGGGCCATGCCGATTAACTCCCTCTCCACAATTCCGCTCGGAGTTTCGCCTCCTACAGAGCCACCGGCAAGTGATCCATGGCGGAGGAATCTCTTGGCGGAAAAAGTCTGCCCTTGGCATGAACAGGGACAAATGAGGGCGTATCTGAGACGGAGGTTGCAGGATATTGGCGGGGCGTCTTCGAGTGAACGCCTCCACTACGCCAATATAACTAATCCTAGTCTGGCAGCGGCGGGACGCTCAGTATAGCCGGTGCCAGCCGGAGCAAAAGGCCTACGAATGAGACGCCCAGCACTATTGTTTTGGTCCAGAAGATTCCATAAGCTGGAACATGTCTGGCATGTCATGCCGCACTACTCTATTTTTGCTTAGCTTTCGAACGGCTGGTTGTGATGGGCACACATGCCCCGTTCTCCGCACATCTGAGCGACAGCACTGCCGGGCGGCGTGGAAGCGAGCCTTGGTTATCGCCCGGGACGTCGTTATCTTGATCTCACGTGCGCGTGTTCCTCGTTGGCAGCCTTGACGTCGCACAGGGCGCCCGTCAGCCCTACAGGACTCCCCGTGGCCGCCACAGCTTTCCGCCCTGCACCAGCACCACAATGAGCACCACGCTTCCGTCCGCCCTTCCGCGATTTTTTCTCGTTTTCCTGGCGCGTCGCGCCAACCGCGCTAACAGTCCTGGCGCACTCGTCGGCTGCTTGGCACGTAGTGCTGCACGTGATGATAAGACCCGCACTGATAAGCACTGACATCATCAGGGTCGATCATCCTAAAACCGCTAAGAGAGCTTGACGACGCTGACGGCCGGCTGCGCGAGAGCCCGGACAAGAGCGCCGCTGGTTTCGGCTGTCTGGACGCCCCGACAAGGAGAGGCCGCTGGAGCTTATGCAGACAATCCGAACTCGGACGAAAACCGTGCAATTGGCCCGTGCCTTGCTGATGATCGGGATTCGTTGGATTTCTGCACGAGGGGAGCACCGGCCTCCTCCCGCACTCGCAATTGAGTTTACCAAAGCGTTTAATACGAGACCGGTAGTAGTGCCAGTGGTGGTGCAGGAAAGGAATTGATTTCCTGAGGGAGGCTGGAGCGGGGGTTATCTCCGGATACAGTCTGGACTGGTCTTTACCCTAATTGATCACCAGCAAGGGCACCGAGTAACCCATAAATGCACACACAGCACATGGAGTATATTGGACCGTGCCTTTTTCGCTTATCTCTGAATGAGACTCCAGTGACAATGCATTGTGGATGTTCTTTTAGCGGAGATTGGCCCAGCGTACCGTCCTTGATTGCACTATGTCGGTTGAGGGTTTGTCGAGTCAGTCACACCAGCAATGTTGGTAAGGACACTTCTAAACTAACTAGTCGCGAGAAGGCAAGTCGATGGTTCTATGAGCGGAGCGGACTTTCACCGCTTGTTTGAACGTGCTCAGGGCCTCTTGCCCGTTCCCGGGGCGGAGCGGTGCCTAACGAGTAAGAATGCCTGATGACACTCAATTGCCTTAGCTTTACTCGGCACGTTTGGCGTTCTGAACTCCTTTTGTGAACTCTCTTCAACGTGTCGCATTATTGTTGAGAACTGACAGCCTCGCCTAATGCAGGGTGTATCGGGACCTACTTGACTCCTGTGCCAAAGAGCTTAAATGCTGTAAAGATATGCTTAACCGGTTCCCATCGAAGTCGGATGGCGCAAGGGCCTTTCGCTGTTTCGAATCCCTTTAAGCTACCCGATCCCTGCAACAAATTCAAACTTCCACTTGACCGGGCGGAATATCCATTGTTGCCCAAACCGAGCAATCCGAGAACAAGGGGGGGCTCCTGATTGCGGCAAATTCTTTCTTTTGTATGAAGCACTGGCAGTCGGTTTTTTACTGCCCAAGTGTAGTTCATTTTGAAATCGTGTTGGAAGACAACTGTGTTTAGATGCCAATTAGGAGGGCTGGTTTACAGACCGAATCGTCGTCAAATACTCCGTACAAGCAAGACAACCAAAGGGGACGTCAAGATAAACAATTTTTTTTAATAAAAATACAACGAGATAGAATCATGGTTGAATGAAATGGTAAAGGGACCCACAATCCTTGGTGGGACAAATTCCCACAAAATTCACCCACTGACCAATACATATGACACAATAATGGCCAAAAATGGAATTCCATAGTCTCTAGTCGACGCTCACCGCCCCTAAAGCTTCGCCATATTTCACCCTCTGTCCTGTTTCGATCTTCCATGACCAAGCGTTCTTGCCTGTGCGGCCTTGGTCATGATCTTGTTTTGCCCCTAAAGGTGCTTCAAAAACCAAAACTATTGAACTACCAAGCTGGAAGCCACCCATTTCTTCACCTCGCCTCAAAGCGTGGCCACCTAGAGTTTCGCTGGCATGATGGTACGTCGCTTCCGCATATCCCGGGTAGGTTTCGCCACGTTTGGCGGAGAGAGCGGCTTGTCGGTCTGCTTCAGTATCGGTGGTAAGACTGTTTGTGCGTAGCTCACGGTCAAAATTGATTTTAATGGATCCGACATTCGTAGCGCCAACGGGCGTGAAACTGAAAAATCCCCACCTCCACCTACCCAGAAGAACGACACGCTCGTTGAGAGTAAACAAGCCGGGCAGAGTTCGTTGTAGGTATGGAGAGACAGAATACAGCTCGCCGGCAAAATGACGGCGACTTTCAACGACCCACGGAGCTGGGGAATGAAAACGGTGGTAATCTCCAGGGGCAAGGTAGATGACGACGTAATACAGAGCACGATTTGAAGTTGGTTTGGGCATATACCATGGAGAATTAGCTTTAGCTAGATCCGCTTGAACATTTGCTTCAGACGTATAACTTGACTCGGTTGATGCGTCCATTGAGCTGGCCTTCTTTCCTGCCTCTCCAGATATTCCTCCAGAAAGAAGCCCCGGTAGAGTGTAACTTATGCCATTCATTTTTGCAAATTCTTCATCTGTCGACACATTATCATTTTGGACATTCGTGGTTCTCGTGATATTTGGCTGCGTTAGGTTATCACGGGGTTCAGAAGGCGTAATTCCCGACCATAGAAGTCCTGCGTCCCTACCAAGGAGGGCGTCGATGCTGTATGTCATACCCTTCACTTGTTCAACTTCTCCTCTTTCAATCATACCAAACTGCAGTATACGCCCGTCTGATGGTGAAAGGACTGCGTTAGGATCGCTGTCAAGAGGACGGACTCCGGGTTTTAATTCTCGATAGAAGAATGCAGCAAGGTTGGGGTAGGTATGAAGGTCATCTTCAGCAACTTCACTTAGATTAACGCCAAATATCCAAGAGTAGAGCTTAAACCCAGGTACACGAAGCCAGTAAGGCAATTCAAGTTCGTTGAATCGTCCCCACAAACGGGAAATCGCCTTCAATGGTAAAGTAGACATTATTTGGACCTGCCATGGGCCCGTTGGCCGGACCCTTTCCCTGTGGGGAACATCGTCTTGTCCGCCCGTATACTCCTGTATCTGTTTCTTTCTTTCAGATTTCTGTGCCTTATAAAACTGAGAAAAACCAAGATACGCGATTCCAAGGCCCGCTGGAATCGAGTACCACTCTATTTTAGTGTTGCTTAGAGAAGTTTTCAGCTTGGACCAGAAAGACTCATCTTCCCTTCTTTTGTGAGAGCCATAATACCGGTATTTCGAGAAAGAGAATTGACGCTGTGAAGGGTACCTTTTCCAACACCTGTGAACATGGACATTGAAGCGCTCATCTAAGGTGGAGCAAATTCCCAAGGATCTGCTTGGAGCCCTTCTACATGTTAAGAAAAGAAGAGACATGACCGAACATGAAGTCCATAAGAGCAAATTAGATAAAGCGACTCAAGACCATTGCCCCAAACCACCAGAATTGGAGGCTTGAATGTTGCGGTCGTTTTATAGCTCGCCGGATCGGCGTCACTATTTTCCACGGCTGAACTTGTCCACCAACTAGTCAATTAGTTATATCATTAGGCCACATCATAAGAAAACGCGTAGTGTGGGAACGGGCGATCAGGACAGCAGCTGACGATCCGTCAGAACAGGCAGTCGTGAATAGTAATGGGGTTTCTATTTTTCTGATATTCGAGTTGCCAAGACGGCCTCATCTAACTACGACATAGTTAACCACTGGGGAGCCTCTCCTACGTCTGAATCATTGTCCAACGCCTCCCCTGTGCGCTTTTAAGACTTACGCCATTTTACGGGACGCACGTTACATAGATATTCACTTGTGCTTCTGCTTCCCTGGCTTCGATAGCATGCGTCACCACCCTGGTCCCATATTCGGCTGAGGACGCAGAACCCAAGAATTTCCTGGCAATGGCTTCAGTTACACCGTCAACCCATGCAGGACCCAGTACTTCAGAAATGTCAGATATTGAAGGACTTAAGGTGCAGGTCCTCTCGCCGTCCTTCCAAACCGGCGCTCGGGTTTCCTTTACTTGTGCTGCCACCACTACCGTACTCGATCTGAAAGCAATGATCAAAGATTCGCTCAACACTCGGCCACCTCCAGAAACCCAAAGGTTAATCTATAGAGGCAAGGAGCTGATAAATACAGAAGAGACACTTGCCAACTTCCTCGAGTTGGGAAATGTGAGTTTTAGCTGATCTCGGGACTCGATCGGTCGCTAATGACATTGTTTCGATCTTCAGGGCGAGACTCACTCAATACATCTTGTGCTTCCTCCAGGAACCGCGCTCATAGCAATTCCAGACTCAGAAGCGAATGAACCGAATACTCCACGGGTACCGAAAGAACGGTCAAGCCCATTTCGAGCACAAAGAGTCGAAGATCTCCTGAACCCGGTTGTTCCCGACGAATCACCGCATGTATCCGAGAGACAGTATGAAGCTACTGGCAGTACTATTCGCCATCGTTTTGCGACGGCTGATAATGATACCCGAGGAAGAAGTGACACATACAGCCACCTAGATTCTTCTTATGGCTCATCCATTTTTCTTAATGACGGCGCTTCTAGCTCATCCCGCCAGCCTATTTCAAATTCTTCATACACCGCCCGACAGAGAGCCAATGTTCTACCGATGGCAGACTTTGGGTTATCTTCCAACACGGGATTGCATGAACCACGTTTGAACCTTCCGGTCGGTAGCTCTTCATCACCCCAAATCACTTCGTCTATAAATACATATCAGGTCCGGCATCGTCCAGAAGCTACCAAGACAGGGCATACATCAACGATTCCTTGTGGGGAATTTCCAAGAGAGATACCTAGACTAGAAACGCTTTCACAAACTATCATACAATTAGAGTGTCAGGTTAATCTTGGTATGACTCCTGCTGTTGATGAAATCTCCAGAGTTCGTTCTCAAATCTACCAAATCTTGGATGCGCAGCATCGAGCTCCTCTTGCACCTAGGGATTCTGCTTTGGAAGGCTGGATAGCTCGTCTGTCTGCTCTTGACATCCGAGCAGATCAGTTACGAATCATGAATGCTCGCCAACAACTCTCTGGAAATCAACATACAAATTCAGGACCTGTCATTTCTGGAACCTCTTCAACAAATGCTTCCTACCTACTTAGTGCACCAAATGGGCTCCAGTATCTGTTGACGCGCTCGCATAATCAGCAAACACCTGCTGCTCACCATCGTACACCTGGGGCGACATCGAGTACTCCCAATCCATCTGGAAACATTGCACCGTTTCGCGTGTCCCGGCTAGCAGCTCCTCATCCAACCAACCGTATCTTTCGACCAGTAGTACGTCGCAGAAACCGGAGATATGTCAGAGCTATCAATGTGGCTGCTGTTGTTCGAAGTATTTGGCTCTTTGTTCGATTATATTTCTTCAGCTACCTTTTAACTGCGCAAGGATCATGGCTTCGTGCCATTGCAGTCGTTGCCTCTGTCATTATTGCATTACTTTCTGAAACTGAGTACCCCAGACAAATTCAACACTCAGTAATTAACCCAATTCTGCAGCATCTGGAAAATCTCGTGCCTCTGCATCGAGAACCACATGCTGCCCAGAGACAAGAGGCCGAGAATGCCGCCGGGAATTTGAACAATACTGGAGACGGCGTTGAGCGAAATGGAGTACCGGTGCAGGTTAATCGGGGTAGTCTATGGGATGGAGTGCGAAGTCTGGAACGATCTATTGCCATATTTATTGCGAGTTTTGTTCCTGGCTTAAGCGAACGTCATATAGCAGCCAGAAATGCGGCTGAGGCTGCAAGGAGGAATGAGCAACAAGAAAGCCCGCCAGATCAGGACCAACGTCACCAAGAAGTGATCGATGATACAGATCAGCGGCGTAATGAGGGCGGCGATGAATTTGGGAACGCTAATTTTCAAAACGGCCGGGACATGGCGGCTCCCAACGGGGTCAATGCCTCTGAGCCGACTCGGTAGCGACCCAATAACATTTGTAAAAGCTTTCTCTTTAGACTGTCTTTTACTCCCTTTAAAATTTCAATCCCGCGAGTTTACACTCGCGTCCACCTTTTTTTTTTATCCAAAATCCAACTCTAAATCCGTAGGCCTAAAATATATAATACATCCACTGGGCCAATATTGCGGGCCAATTGTTTTTCAAAAAAAGCCCCAAGTTCTTTTACGGACTGTCTGGTTTATCAATCAGTTCAATCAGGTTCTATCAGGTGTATATTTCGAGCAAAGTCGAGCCCAAAGCCATTGGTCGGTCTTTTGTCTCTATCTGGCTTCAAGAAATCTATAAGCTGTAGCATGTCATGAGTCGGAGTCTACAGGTGTTGAATTTCATAATTTCGGTGCAGATGGGTCCTTGGAGTCAGTATCGCCCGCCTTGTCTTTTGTTACATCAGAAACAAGAGCAGTGGGCATCGAAAGAAAATCTTCCTCCCCGTTAAAATGCCTGAAAGCAGAGAAGGTCAGCTAGAGGAATCAAGCCTAGACAAAAATCTCAGCACATACCAGCCTCGCTCTTCGCCAGCGCTCAGAAATGAGCAGTCGCCATTTCTAACACAGTTCCATCCACCGCCAACACCCTTCCCATTCTTCCATTGGCAGGTTTCCTTAGTATCCGCCGCACTCGGCTTAGAGTCTATTCTCGCTCCAGTTGCAAGCTCACGCCTTACAAAGGTACTGAGACTCGCCGTGAATGGCTTAAAATCCTGCTCTGATGAATCTTCGGGCATGTTCCCCGTCAATACCCTGCCCATTGCGATCAATGGTGCTGCATGTGAGCATATCAAGATTGCGTGACTTTGGTTATTCCAAGGATCATTGGGATAAGATTTTGCATGGGTGGCCAACTCTCTGTCAACAGTAGATATAATGTGTGACAAGGTCGCTGCTATACGATCATGAAGCCCAGCAATATTTTCACCATTGGGAGAGGGGATAATATGGGCTTTGTAACGACCGCCAGGCCGAGAGGTAGCGGTGCTAGGTGGAAGTAGGATGGTTGGGAAGTGAGTTTCGAGGATTTCCGGGGTTGAAGGGGAAGGGTGTGTGAAAAATGACGAGGAGCCAAACCACTCTCTAAAGAAATGCATTGTTACTGTTAGAAAGAGCGATATATATATGTCAATAATTGGTAAAGTGTTACCCAAGCCCATTTTCAAGTCTCACAGTCAAGTCCAAATTCGGGTGGTTTTCATTTTCCTGAATTTTTCTAAGCCCCTCTGTTGCTGGCTGAATAGTCTGAAGGCATCTATAGAATGGGCTGCAGTACACTCTGCAGGGTTTTGGTTGGAAGCTGTCGCTACATATATGTGCGGCCAGCTCATGCGACTGTCGAACACCTGGCTGTGTAAGAGTCGGGTCTACGGGGATATCGGTTGGGGTGGGGTGTAATGAAAAATATGTTCCCGTTGATAGATCTATTGTCCAGTTTAGGCGGTGCTATTCAAGGAAACATCAGTACTTATTCTCCAAAGGGGCTGGATGGCCTTGAAATCGACATACCCCATGCCGGGTGAGATAAATCGTGTCAAGAGGCATTTTTATTTACAGGATATTACCGATAAGTAGACCTGGCCTCCGTCTTAAGAAGAGCTGTTGATCTGAGGGGTCAAGGTTGCGGCAGAATTCACAAGCGGTGAAGCCGCACCTCGGCTCAATGTTCAGTGTTTCAGGCCCCTCGGGCCCTCGCTACCCATATATTCACTAGGCGGCCGAAAAAAGGAGAGATACGGGAAAGTTGGGTTCATTGAAGGTCCCTGGCTATCTATGGGTGGATTGCGAACGATAAATGGCAGAACATCTGCTGATCATACATATAAAGCCAGTAAACAAGAATCACGCCAACAACACACAGCTCTCCGAATCCCATGTGATTTTTAAATAACTTTTCTTTATGGTTATCTAATAGAAGAAACCAATGATCTTACCAGCAACATGCTTCCGTCGAGCTTCCTCATGGTCCATGATACCAGCAGAGGTGGTCAAAACGATGTAACCGAACTGACGAGAAGGAAGGAGCTTGACAACCCATTTCTCGAGTTCACGGAGCTGGATGTTGTAGCGGGGGCTGATGACACCGGTTTTGTTAAGGCTATCATGTCGGAAGTAATTAGTATCATAGAATTGAGGCAAGAGGCGCAGCAAAAGCATACCGGCCATTGAGCTGGATAACGATTTTGCCAGAGCGATGATCATCGACTTCCTCAAATTCACCAATATACCCTGAAGGCAACAAAGAGTTAGCATGCATGTAACGATGATATAAAAGTTGCCAATCATGGGGGAAAAGATTCAACATCGAATTGATAGGAAACTTGTAAGACCATCGCCGATGAAACATAATATATCGGGAACTTAAAGGGCAGATATCGTAGTGTGGTTTGAAAATCGAAATATCCGCCTAGTTATCAACCCGAATAACATCAAGTCTTCCAGTACCAAAAACCGCGTAGGGCATCAAAGTCCAAACATTGTAGAAAATAAATGGCAACATACCATGCTTCTGCATCACGGACAAGAATTTGACGATGACTTTGGAGCTAGGTCTGATAAGAACCTGGCGTTTTCCGGCCTTCTCGGCGTTGTTGATGGCATTGAGCGCATCGTTGAGGACACTTGTCTTGACCATTTTGACGGTGGAGATTCTCAAATCGAACGGATGTATCAAATACTCGTTGGGAGATGAGGTATCTAATTATCATACGATTTCAGCTCTTTCGAAATCCCCGTCTCTGCTCCCATTTTCAGGGAACTCGAGATTTAGGGATTTGAAAGAGAGAGAATCGGAAATACGTTAGCTTTCAGCAGCTTTAGTTATCGGGCGCAAAGAGTGCCCTCTCCGCAAAACGCAAGGAGAAGAGGGTTCTTCAGCCCGTGCCCCGAAGGGAGCAGAGAAGAAGCGTATCATCCCTTCGGTGAATGATTGCTTCTACCCAAGCTAGCTGAAGAGCATAGAAGAAGGAGGGCGAGACATCTAGCTTACCTCAATTGTTGTCGACGGCGATGGGCTTTCGAGTGTTGGCGAGCTTGATGATACAGTTTTGCATCCGGAATCGAAGCGGCCCAGCCACTAGCGCGCACAATCTAGGGTTATTCACCATCTGCCCTAACTTGACTTCTCCAGCAACCTTAACCTTATTTGTCCCCAGAGTACTCCGTACTCCGTACAGAATACCGAGTTCCAGACATACGTATCGACTCTCTGGGCCGCCTTTTGGAAAGCCATTCCTTCGCATGTGCCTATAATAGCATTAGGTAGGTGGATAGCTACCACAGGCACTAGTTCATCAAATTCTAATTTGTGGCATATTATCAAGCGAATAAACGTAACAGCGCCCAGAAAGATTTAAGAGGGCGGTTGATATTACAATTTGTTTTGAATTATTGGGGCTAAAGGGTAAGATAAAATGTGGTGTCTGGGGTCTAGGATATGGAAAGATAAATAGAACGAGCACAAGGGGGCTTTGGAAAATATTAAAGTCTCCTCCATCCTCTCAAAGAACCCTCCGTTCATCCATTCAGTCAGTCATTTGCTCCTCCACGGTTGCCGAAATAATAAAATCAACAGTGAAATTTCCAAATAACCCAGTCCAAGGAAATAAATGCCAGGTCATAAGGAAAATACATGATTTGGGGGCATACATGATTCGAAACGTAAGGTTGGGGGACGGAAACCTTTCTGTAAATAAGCATCAATACATCAGACGGAGGTGTGTGTAACAAAAGCATTAGGGATACTGTGAAAGGGGAGGGGAAGCTGCAATACTTTAATGATTGCTGGGATGGGGGCGGATGTAGGAATGCTCCGGGTGACTAGACGCATGGGTCAATTTTGCTTGTTGCTTGGGTGGGGAAATTCTCTGCACAGCGAGTGCGGGATAGTGACGTCCTGAGAACACTTTCAAAAAGTTGTTTTGAGCGACTTCCGGACGACGGTCTTGTCATCTTTCGGAATCACAAATCTCGGCATGTCACTTTCCATTGATATTAAACCGTTGTTATAGGATAGTGTGACGGTTCTCCCTCTTAAATAGGCATAAACCCCGGGAGGCTCGGGAACGCTGGTAACGAGAATGACGAATTACGACATCGCCGCGGCGGTAGCAAGGCCGACTTGGCGTTTTACTTGTTCACGGGCCCATCGCGCGGTATCAACTGTACGGCCACCGTAATCCCGATTGGATCGAGTTTCCCTTATAAGGCCAGTAACAAACTCATTGCGGAACATGGAAGCAAATTCACCATTGGGGAATACATCCGCCAAGTCGCTATAAGTCATTAGTTACCAGATCGCCACGCAGATATAAGCGCTAAGAAGTGACAAACCCAATTACACCCATGGTGGATCGCATTAGTCCTTCGCTTCGTGTTCCTTCGTTTGCAATGTGGCCGATGAGCTGAAATATCGATTCAATAAAAGGTGTCAAATTATTGGCTATTCAAGGTTAGTTTAAAATGACAAAAGTAAAACAAAGGCACACAAACCATTAGGTGTTCCTTTATAGGCAATAAGAATGCCGCCCCAGGCGTCCATTATACCTTCACGAAGCGAGGTGACATAATCGATAGTATCCTGAGATACGTCATTTCCAACAGTAACACCGGAAGCTTGCTGAAGAACCTGACCCACAACAGGCAGGTAAGTTTCAAAATTAGTGCCAATAGCCTGTGCAATGTCACCGAATGTCAGGAGAATAGCGGGTTTTAGCTGGTTGGTAAGGGTGGTGCTCTGCAAAGACCCAAATGGTTAGTTAACACAACCCAAAGATAGCAATAGAAAAACTCACTCTCAAAAGGTTAAGAAGATAATTCATGAATGTATCACAGAATGGTTGGGCTTTGTCATTTAATGAACGAGTTATATCGCTCACGAGGCCAATAGCCATGGCACATAGCCCAGGCTCCTCCTGGTTGCCAAGCGCGTTATAAAGGAATGGCGTGAATGCTTCCATATATTTCAAAAAATCTCCTTCCACAGCACTAGCGATAGCACCAACAGTTGCAAAGGCAGCATCAGGCACACTAGACTTAGGGGGCAAGGTAGAAAGGACCTTCAGCATTAGGGAGATTATTCGATCTGCTTCTGGTTTGATATCTGACTCTAGACGCTGCACAATTGCCTGAATAAACAATTAGCTACTATAACATAGTCCTAGTTGAAGGGACTTACAAGAAGGACGCTGGTAAGGCTTGTCTGTAACTCTTCTAGCGTGATACGGTCTTCAACGCTAACCACCTGCTGCTGCATAGGAATTGTGCATTCAAGCCTCTTGATAATGACATCAACTAAGCTGCCGATTACAGGGAGGCAATCGTTAGCTGCATTAGTTACAAAGGTAGCTAGAACTTCGTATGCAGCGGTTCGGAGAAGGTTATCAGCATCGGGTCTGAGAATATGTTAGATTGTTTGCAAGTTTAACCTGGAAAGGCACAATGTCACATACCTCTCTGTAGCAGTGAGCAAAGAAGAAACACTGTCCTGAAAATGTTTCGAGAACGGGCTAGTATCAGAACCAGGATCTCCAGCAAACTGATCCGAGATGTTTTGAAGGGCCCAACAGCAAGACCCCGCAATCTTTGTACTACTAGCCAGGCCGTGGAACAAACACGAGATAAGCGGCTGTAGATGGACATCAACGTCAATCGATTCCGGGCAGAATTCCGTGATACGACCAAGTGCATACGCTGCCGAGTCTCGGACGTGAATAACCTTATCATCCATCATCTGAATCAAAACAGGAAGAGCCTGTTTGACAAGGGGGTCAAGAGTTTCAAATTCCGGGCCTTCCATGATCGCGCCAAATGACGATACAGCTGCATCTCGACGATGCCAGTCGTTGTTCCGGAGATTCGCCTCAACAAACTCCAAAACTGGTGGGATCACTTCAGCATGAACGCAACTAGCATACAATTCAAGCGCCTGGTAAGCAGCGCGAGAAATATTATAGTCGTCATCTGTGGCATCTTCATCTTGGTTGGTCATCAATTCTAGTAGAACAGGAACCACTTCTCTGCAGGCAATGCGGGCAAAATTGAAAAATGGGCGGAGGATCGAGGAGCCTTCGGTCTTTGACTTAAAACTATCAGTTTGGCATTTCCGGTATATAACGGGATTGCTACTTACCAGTTTATTATCATCTTCAATAGCCGTTTCTTCTTCACATACAGTGCACCAAAACTCAATGGCAAGTTTCGCAACGTCCTCTTCTTGGCTTTTCATCCCCAATATTGTGAGGCCGAAGAGCGCCTTTTCCATATAAAATCGCATCTTTTCATAATAACTGCTCATAATACGGTTCAAACAACCAAATGCACCACTCTGTATTCTAACGTCGTTCGACTGCGTTGCCTCGCAAATGACTTGCATTATGTAGTTTCGTTCGCCTTCGTTTTCAAAATTGGATCGCACAAATTCGATAGCATCGCTTAGTGCAGTGATAGCGGAGTTTCGCACATCATTATTTGGTTCTTCTTTTCGTGCCCCCTGCACAACGGCAGTGAGGATGGCGTTCGAATAAGCATTCAAACTCTCCCGAAGATCCGGATCTTCAGATTCACAGATAAACCCAATCGTGACCAGAGAGGATTGTTTTAAATGGTCTGATCCACCGCTTACATTCTGGACCAAAGTATTCATTAAGTCTTGCCATTCGTTTCGAGGAAGTTCAATGGCGGCGATGGAAGCGATAAATTGTCCTGCGGACTGGCCAGCTCGTGAATCAGATGATGCTAAAGTTTTTAAAGCTAATTCTTTTACTGCAGTTTTGACTTGAGGCGTGATCTGGTGAACCCATCGTCCTTGGACTTCTCGAAGCCGGGCTAGATCTCGAAATGAAAAGGCGTTTTTGAGCGCTAGACCGGCAGCAGTTCGAATAGCAGGGGAAGCAGAGTCATTGGCAAGTTCTCCCGCCAACGTGGTAAGGTACGAAGCCTAGGGCGAAGAATTTGTTTATGTCAGTCGAGTTGACGGGAGTGGAGGGAAGGATCAAAAATGGGTGTAAAAGCGCCGACGTAGCTAAACAAAAGCGCCGAGGGAAGCAAGACATACAAAATCGACTTCAGCAGCATGCTGCAATTGTTGTTCGGCATTTTGTCGGGTTGTGGCATCTGCGAAGAGATAATCCAATCAGTCTGTGTCATAAGCGCCAGATCACAAGTTAGCATACCTGGCGAAAGCGTGCCAGCCAGCACTTGATTCACATCCATGGCTGGTCCTCGCGTGCTCAAGAAGTCCCCTTAACGTGCTGTAAAAGGTGAAGGCAGACTCAGAAACCTGCGTTTGACGTCCGGTATGATTCTGTCAAGGCCCACAACATACCACAGAGCCAAGCGAGAATGAAAAAGTACGTTTAAACGAGGGTCAAGAAACTTAAGATGCTGAGAAGAGGCGGACGACGTGTTTTTGAGGTGGTCCGTAGGCATGCAGAGAATTAAGGAGGAGCCTCAGCAAGCGGTTGTCGAAAAAGAGTAAACAAGCAGATACTGAAAAAGTGGGCCAGATCTGGCGCCTGCTGGTGAGTTGCGAGGTGTTGCGCACACTCACCTTGCATACGCACACGCGCTCTACACGTTGGCTGGCTGCCTGTTTTCTGGCACCTCAAAGCTCGGGTTGGATTACGACTGCTCTCTGCAAAGGCGGCGTGGGTTGTGTAGTTAAATAACACATCCGCTTCTTTCGTGACTGCCACGGAGAGTTGGGCTTCCGAATCCTTGCACAAGATATCCAAGGGGAGCTCCGTCGATCCAGCAGGTACTCAAACATTTACCGGCCTGCCGTTGTCTGAGCTGCTGGGCTGCCTCATGTACAGAGACGGAGACGCATGCACCTGCTCGTGTTCTAGAAAGTGAGGCTACATATACGCAATTACTTGAGTTGGCAATCGTAAGCTCTTAGGCGTATCAAGCGAGTCCAATAGTTGAAGCTCGTAACTAGTTCACAGCTCGCCATACTCTCCGTGCTGGCTTGTTCAATGATACAGCAGGAGATTGCATCCACAACACAACCTCAGTCATAAACTCCGTAGAAAAGAGTACACCCGAAGCAGACCTGTCCAAGGATGTGTAGATAAGTAGAGTGTGTGCCCACAAGGGGTGTCACAGCTGTTGCCTGCCAAGCCAACAACTCCCCCGCCATACGACAAACTCCAACCAGGTTCGCCTAGTTACTTTTCCCTACAGTTTGCCCCTGTGTAGGTCAAGATCTCCAGGACAGATACTGGCTGTTCACTGTAGTAGCTTGTCCCCAGTTTATGTGCTCAGCCGGAAATTTAAGCTCCAGCTATTTGACAAGCTGGTTTTCTTCACCGTTTCCCTGCCCCAACGGCTCTTCTTCCTCTTCTCCCGGTTCATCTCGATCATCCACGCTATCAATGTCATGTACTGAGTACCACTGTCGATCTGAATATAGAACACAGACAACCCGTCTACCATGCCGGCCATTCACCTCAATGCTTAGCGGGTCCATGTCTTCATGAGAGAAAGTATGACGAACGAAGCTAAAGTGATAAGACGAAGGGTCCATGACGTCTAAATAGGTAATTTCAACGTTCTCATCTTCTCCATATCTTGGGCAGAACAATGGGTCCTTGTCAGGCTGGTATGCAAAGTGAACGAGGTATTTGGTAGCTGGTGTGTCTACCACATAAGTCAATACAGAAAGCTCAAGCTCAGGCACTTATTAACTTACCCCCATCGGACCAGAGTAGCATCATTGTACCATCCTGGACAAATTTAACATCTCGAATTATACCACTTCCGAGGTTAATTGTTGCATTAAGAACTACCTCTGTCGTGCTGACCCCATTGATAGTAGCGAGAACCACCCGACACAAATATACTGTACGTCATAAGTCGTTAGCTTAGCGATAATAGTACAAATTATAGGTCTCTCACAGCTATGAGGGCATGTTTTAGAGCGAGAAACCGTGTACACAGAAGCCATTAGTCTGCCTCCATAATCCTGGCAAGGTTAGTCTCAAATGTGAAGCTTAAGGTGTAGTTTTGTGCGACTTACCCCGTAATTCATAGTAAGATCAACAATCTCTGTGCTATAGTCTTTGCCTAACACCTTGATTCTTTTTGGGATAATACTCCTTTGCTGCGTCTCGCCAACCCGCTTAAAAACCTCATCAAACTGCACATCCAATCTCCCCGTGAGGTCACCTAAAACAGGAATATCCAATTTCTGGTCCATGCTCTTTGGGTCTAACTGCCGCAATAGGGTTTTGTAGTTTTCGTAAAACAAGTCATTAGCCGCCTTCCAGCGACCGTCAGGGGATTCTGCTGTCCTAGGTTGAATATAGTCCAGAAGTGAACTGCGTGTCATCGGTCCACGGATATAATTAAGTGTCTGTGCATGGTTAATTGTATCCGCCTTCTCCATCAACTCTTCTGCAGTTGCAGATGAGTGCCCCGCAGTTTGGAGGTCGATTTCATACCGCAGCCACTTGGAAAAGGCAATAAACTCGGTAAGCTCGCGCCCACTGTTTACCATAACCTTATGGCCTAATAGTGTAAGACAATCGACAGTGGCAAGACAAGCTTTAAGGCTTTTGGTATTGAGCCCAAGTACAGGACCAAGTTTATAAAACCTGGATAACCCTATGAGCCGGCCAAGTAGAACACTACATCTCTCTAGAGCTGGAAGGAGACATCCATGAGTTAGGCGCCTTATGGTCTCATAGCCATTCATGACGGCCTTTTCCCAGCGTTTATGACCCTAACTATTCGTCAGTCCGGACCTATTATAGGGATTAATAAGTAGTATTTACCCGTTCACCAACTTGGTCCACTAAAAACTCCTTGAGTGGCGCGTAGCAATCACCAGTAACAACAAGATGATATGCAGCAGTAACAAAATTGCACGACATTTTTTCTTGAAGGTCTTCATTGATATTTCGAAGATAGCGGCCGGGTAAGTCTTGCGTATTTTTCCACTCAAGAAGAACCTGTGTCTGTACTTGTTTGATATATCGCATCAAATTTTGCAACTGGGTGACCTTTGATGCAAGAACGGAAAGATATATTCCGGATTTCGTGATGAAAAGAAGATCGAGGGAGAAAATCCAGAGCTTTTCCTCTTCTTCAAGCTTGGTGGCAAACAAAAAGGAGTGGGTTGAGCTCATGGGATGAGAAGCATGAGCTAGAACGCGGGCTTCTGTAAAACCATCCAGATGCTTGGTTGCTTGGATGGTGCCTATTTCAAAGGAATCGAATATCCGTAAGTGAATGGATCCGTCATTAAATCCGGCCAGCACCACATCAACGGAGTCGGAATTCTTGCTGTTGGAGTGAAATATGGAATCAATCGAAGCACGAGTACTGAATATATCGTCGCTAGTGAACAGTTAAACCACATCATGACATAAGGTGGACTAGCCCATTCCGCGGATGCAAGCCGTTTGGAGGAGTACTCACTCATCTCCAGTAGAGGGTAAAGTGCTCAATTTTGGTAAGGAACGGTCAATATCCAATAAAGCAAGCTCACGAGGCAAGTCCGCCTTGATATACGGGAGTTTGGACAAAGGTGTCTCGGGCGCGAGCAAGTCGTCAAGGCTCAATCTTCCCTGAGATTCCTTCACAGTTTTTGATGCAGCTTGCTCGTCTGTTAAATTCACCCCCCAACCTAGACAGCAAATCGTACCCGAAGGAGGTATGGAGGCCTCCTGTGGGGTATCATCTGAATTATACCCTGTTTTCTGATTGCAGTCCAGGATATGCACTGTTTTCCCGCTATAGGCGCTCAGCATGCGGATATTATTATCCGAAGTAGCCACAGCTAGAAGCTGCCCTACCGGAAACATCAGTAAAAAGACCATACTACCAGAATCACATAGTTATGTAGCACACGAAGTTCAATATTGAAATACTTGCTCACCGTTTCCTTTCCATCTCAAAGCGTTCACCTTTAGTCCGTCACTCGCGGCATTGGGGCCTCGCGAAAATCCTCCGAATACCTTTTGACCATTTAGCCGAAAAACGTGAACCAACTCATCATCCGTAGCGAGTGCAATTAGGTCCATGGTGGGACAATACGTTAGGGTATTTCGATTGCATCTCGCTGAGAGCTGCTTTTCCGAGAGAGTGGCGAGATGGACAGACCTAGCGAGCGACGCATCTTCCTCTCGTAGTAAAGTTTCATTGTTGTTTGTGTTCCCTGGCATGAGAAATATGTTCCTAGAGCTCTATCTAGAATCAATTGCACTTCCTCAGCTGCACAGAGGAAGTATAGATAGATGCACGGGAGCTTGGTGGAAGTCAAAAAGTGATGGTTTGAGTTCTGTGTTCCTGCGCTGTCAAAAAATGGACCATGAAAAACAAAACCGGCAGCACCCAGTAGTTATAAATAGAGTACAATAATTAATATGAATTAAAGAGTACATCTCATTAAATGTCATAGTGTAACTAGATCGAGGGCAAGCCCTGCCTTTGAATAGTATAGTATGTATGAATGTATGTGCATGTTAGATGTTCTAGAAGCCCGCCCGAGAAAAATGCCCGTACACAAAGATAAACGCCCTAAAAATTACCCTGCTCCCATATATTTACATAATTTTCTAGAATGATTTGTTATCTGGCCCGGTAATATTAATCATACTCCCTAGATAACTCAACTCATCCATTATTTCTTGCATCATAGTCTGTACATCAAGTGGGGGTAACTGTATGTTCTGTTCGTCCGTGCCTTGTTTATATTCATTGGTTAATGGTGGTGGAAATGAAGTGCCTATGATATGTACATCATGTGGGGCGTTTTCCGATTCTATTGGAGGACCGTTTGCAGTCCGTGGTTTCTTTATTATATGCAGTCCTGAAATTCGTATATCTAGAGGTGAGCCCGAAGTAACAGGCGTAGAAGGGTGAGAGTCAACGCATTCGTCAGCCCGAGGAACCGCCTGAGCATCAGCAATTCGAGGACCGACAGCTTTAGTATAAGGGGAGTCGCTGGATGAGCAAGTGGCATGTTCGCTGGTAGCGCTGGAGGAGGTATCATTATTAAAGGTTGAGTTAGATATCATTGAAGCTGGGGATAACGCATCGGTATCAGTGCTGCAATCCGAAAAGCGACTTGCGCTCGGTTGTAGAAAAGGGCCTGAGGACGGATGTGAAGATGCGGCAGTAGATACAGAGAAATGACTCCGTAAAACATCGACATCAAGGGGAGAGCGCGAAACACCCATCCTCTCTAGTTCTTCATCAAGAACAGAAGAAGGGCTATTGGGAAGCGTAGGTAGTCGTTTCTCGTTTAAATCAATTACGCTCCCAGCTTCTAACCTGTTTGGCACAGTCCACGATGGAATATCGTGGCCATCAGCTTGTTCGCTGGACGCAGCTTCTGAATCAGCCTGCATGGCAGGCTCAGGATGGATGTCTATCTTCACTGGGCTCCTAAAGGGGGATCTGCTTCGATTTTGGCGATCGGATCGATATCTGCTTTCAGACGGTGATCTAAGTCGTCGTTCCACAGCGTATATTTCGACGGGTACTTGTAAATTTTTAGTGGTAGGCCCTGCTTCACGAACGACATTGCTTCGAGGACTTCTCCCTCTAATGCCATCGAGGTTAGCTTCCCTATCTTTCAGTCGCCAATTCGGATCGGATTCAACGTCTTTTCCACCAGAGCGAGGCGTTGTGAAGTTGAATATCGCGGTTCGGAGAGCATTGCCTTTGGACGAAGACGCGCTTGGAGGATTAACATCTACCGTTAATTTTACAGGTGCGCGAAATCTTCGCGCTGGTGGCACGTCACGAGGATGTGATAAGCTTCGACCCGGAACTTGATGTGTGGGTGACGTAGATACAGGTGAGGTCATTGCCTCTCGACCACGGCTCGCGTCCGCAGAGGTAAGAAGACGAGGCAGCTTTGGTCTAGGGGGAGGCCGGGGGTTTAAAAATTTGTCATCTGGGTTCATAGTCTGGTGTATCGAGACTTGCGAAGCCACGCTGCTTTCACGGTTATGGCGTGCGTTGACCGAAGGGAGATGAATAGGAACGTTGAGAATATTTATCGGTTGTCCAGGAAGAAAGGGGCAGGATGTTGTCCACGGCTCAGCTTCATTGTAATGGTCAACATCCCCGTCCAGACGATACTATATCGATTGACGAACCCAGTTAGCCCGTGTTTACTTTGGAATAGGACGAAAGCCGAAGTCGGTATGCATACGTAATACCAATATGTGCCACCCATTTTCAATCCGCCATCCCGACCGGGCTGCGAGGTGTTCAGATTGCCGTCGCATATTATATTCGTAAATACATGGCAGCCCCTCCAGTGATCGGCTCCGGTTCGAGCATCCCGTTCCATAATATATTCTTTTGTAAAATTGTCCCATGATCCAAGTAATTTGACAGAATGAGTGTTTGACGGGGTGCGACTGTTGTTTGTCAATACAGAGGGCCAACGAGAGAACAAAGAAGAGAGACGTACAGCATAAAAGTAATGAGGGTGGTTGCGGACGAAACCATGTTGCCCGCAATGCAAGTATCCGCAGAACCCGTCTGGTAGAATCAAGCAAGCACAATGCTGTACGCCGAACAATGCTATATATCAAAGGAGTGTATGGATAAAAAAGAAAGTGAAAGGAGTGTGTAAATGCAAAACAAAAAAGCAATCGAAAGCCGCAATTAATTAGAGCAAGCGCGGAGCTCTCGGAATACAATGGGGACTCATGATGAGGGCTGGAGCGGCCAGCGGTACGAATTATTGTATAAGTATGGGGGAGGGAGCGCCAGTGCGCGCTTCTGCGAAGGTCAGCCTGGTATTTTTGTCGTCAGCACGCGCGCAGAGCGTTTCAAGATCGATGAAAAGTGCTTCAAATTGTCGAGGTGGTCCAATAATGGAAGGGATGGGAGGTGGGAGGGGCGGGCTAAGGGAGTGCCAGGTCCCAAGGCTAATAATAACAGGTAGGGGTGGCCCTGGAGGCCGGCGAAGGTTCCAAAGCGACAGGAAATTGCCGATCGCTGATTTCTGATTCGGTGGTGGAGGGCTAGCGCAGGTACTTGATTTCCGTAGGAGGATGAAGCAGGCCGTGAGACGGCTACGGCGGCTGTTCAAACCAGCGCTGGGCAGGGCGAGCAGCAGAGGGAGGAAGACGAGGAGGAGCAGGAGGAGCAGTACTCCGTAGGGCGAGGGGTTCGTTCTGGGCCCGTCGACCACCCAGGCTGAGGCGCCGAGAGCGGCAGGGCCAGTCGAAAATAACGCTCGCGCTGCGGCGGCTGAGCACGTGCCGGGCGGGCCGGGCGCGGTGCGGCGCGTGGCGATTGGCTGTGACACCACGGAAGCGACGGCCGTCGGACCCGGCGTAGCCAATGGGAACTCGCGCTGGCCAGTATTCCGACAAACCAAGGCTGCTGGCGGCATCCAAGCCAGCCAATCACGGGGCGAGCGGCGAGCAGAAGGCCCCGTACTCCGTATAGTTACGGAGTGCTCCGTATATGTAGGCATGTGCTAATTAATATGTACAGTACGCCGTACGCAGGATGTGCAATCACACCATAATAGGGCCCCTACTCCGTACTGCGATTGAACACCGCTTTCTCCTTCTCCGGCACAAGCTCGGCCAGGATGCGCTCGGTATGGTGCGCAAGAGCGTAGTGGTTGTCCCCCTCAAACTCGCAAAGGTCGCCGTGGGGCAGACGCTCAACCATATACCGGATCGCCCGCACCGGCGAATTCTTGTCCTTCGTCCCGTGCCACACCTGGATCCTATCGTAAGTGACATCCTCGAACTCGAACCCCCAATCATTCGTCAACAAACGAGCGTCCTGCACAACGCCCGCAGACCCTTGTGCAAATGCTTCAAACACCGCGCTGAAGATCAGCTTGCGTTGCGCTTCAACCAACGCACAAGAACCGTCGTCACGGCCGCTCGAACCCTCCATGCCGTTGGCTCTCCGGATCATGTTGTCTATCAACCGAGTGACTTGGCGTGTAGCAATGATCTTTTTTGAGACTGCCACGAACAAGTCGGACAGGCGGACCAGCGCGCTGGGTCTGTTGGTCGCTAGCCAACTCGTGATTCGTCGCGACACGGCCAGGTCGTGTGTGCCCGCTTTCCATGGCCCAGCGCTCGCCATCAGTCCAACGGCGGACATCATCTCATGTGGCAGACAAAGCGCGCATGCCAAGGCATAGGGCCCGCCGCCGGAGCCGCCCAGTATCGCGAAACGGGAGAGGCCTAGATGCTGGGCGAGAGCTTGGACGTCGGCCGGCCAATCGACAATACGGCGACCGGGCTGGAAGGTCGAGAGCCCAAATCCAGGGCGGTCGGGAGAGATGAGACGAAGCTGGTGAGCGCGAGCAAGCTGGTCAATAGCTTGAGCTTCGAAGCGCGACGCGGGAAATCCGTGAAAGAAGAAGACTGGGTAACCGCTTGGACTGCCGAATTCTGCGAACCCCAGGAGGCGGCTATCGGGAAGAGTGAGAGTTTGCCCATCTGGTACCCTTGTTATGCTAGCTGTTCGTCGACATGGAGCAATCCAAGGGTTGGAGTATCGGCTTATCCGAAGTTGTGCCTTTGGCCAAAGAATTCCTTTCATAGCGCTGGAAAGACAGTGAGTATCGGTATATGTGCGTATATGTAGAGTGTGAGAGCGCAACATCACTTCGAAGGGCCCAATAGGAATGGCAAGAAAGTCGGATGTCGTGCTGGTCCGTATTGTTATTGCGTGGGGGGTTTTGTATGTCCGTCATGGCTCTGACGCATTCCCGAACGCTAAGCCTTGGAAGTTGGATAACTATGACAAGAACAACAAACAACATCATCATCCAGGGATTACTCCGTATACGGGGTAATTCGGTTAAATAACCCATGCTAACGGCAACTGGTGTTTTCCATAAACACCTCCCAAGACTGGGTAACATGACTATTCGGCAATTATCGGGGAGAGAATCTGGTACATAGTTAAAGAGATGAGAGGAGATCGATTTCGCTAAGCAAAAATACAACAGACCAAGCCCCATGCCAAACTCGCCCGACTCTCTCGTATGTAAGAGCGCAAAGTCGACTTCTTATGGAGGCTCAATTAAACACCCAGGAAAGAATGGGTCATTCTGGCTCCTTAAATCGCCAATCCAAGATCATCGTGCCCAGCTAGTTGGTGGATTCAAAACTGCGAGCGGCACTTAGTCCAAGCATTTGCTCTCGTCTTTGGGAGGGGAGAAGTAGCGCATGGCAGCTTTGACATAGAATATGGTCTCCATGGTGCTGAATATGGATAGGGCAACGATGATTGCGATTTTGACGTTGCGCGTCGCGCCCAGCTGGTCTAGCGACGACCAGATGCGACTGGCCAGCGACTCAGCCTTGTTTGTTGCGGCTGAGGGCTCGTTGTGGTCGGTGTTCCGCCGGTTGCTGAGCTGGCGAAAAAGCGGTCTGGCGAAGGGATGCAGTGAAGATCGTCGGAGCGGCGAAGCAACATTGCGCACGCCGTTCGCATAGCTGATGACTCGAGACATGTGCGCAGAAGGGATCAATGTTGTCTTGAGTGACAGTGAAAGTGGAGGCATGGCTGATTAAACCGCTTTGTAGAGTGTGGAGCCTGTTTTAGGACAGCGGAAGCAAGGAGAATGCAAGAATCGAATTGGAAACTATTTGAATTCTAGAAACTGGTTAAATCCCTGAAGTGAATCTGATTCATTGTCTTATCAGATATGTACCGGAGATATTTTATTTCATTTGGACAGAGGTTGTTTGTTCGTGAATAACTACTTATGTTGCGGATCCTGATGGCCCACACGGGTGAGATTTCTGCTTGTGCAAGCTGAATCACATTACGAAGCGTTGCCGGCGAGTATTTTTCTAGCTTCAAAATAGTTCCGTGTCTAGTTATCCCTGTCCTGAAGGGGCTAACTACCTAGCCAGTTGTCCCTCGCGGGAGTTTGAAAAGGGGTATCTAAGTCCAAACGCCAAATCTATCCCAAATACCCCCATCTTCAACCACATGCAGAAATTCGTGTAATACATAAATACATATTTGAGCCCCCCAGGCACTGGGGTTTGCACCGTACTCCATCTCAAACAAAAGAACTCCTCAAATAACTATGCCTCAAGGCAAAGAAATGGGGCATCATCTTCGTCTGGACACATTTTTGCGATCATATTTCCTGTGTACAGCTCCAAGAACAACTTTCAAAATGCTATCCCCACTTAACACCCCACCGTTCTGCGTGCTCCACGGCACTGTGTCAACCATATCGCGAATACCTCGCTGACCGGCGAGAGCATCGTCAAGTTGGCGGAGATCTTCAGCGGCTTCCGGCTCGTTTCCAACTTGGAAGAACTGGATCCCCACCTGCCACGCTTGAGCGTTAAGATAATCGAGTTTCCGTGCAGCACCAACGATCACGCTCTCCAGATCATCAGTCGGGACACCATCAGTAATGACGATGATGTTCAACGGCTTGAGAAGAGTATCTGAACTAGCTCCCGGTTGTTGCCTCATTCGAGCTTCTAACTCATCAAGATATGGCTTCAAAATCTGGTTTAGCCTCCGTCCAGTGGGAGTACCGCCTCGTGGGCTGACGCTCGTGAAAATTTCGTGGATCTCAACTGGCATGGTTACATTGTGATATGCGCCGGTTCCCGGGGAAGTAGTAGCATTGACATGGTTCAGGAAAACGATATCGACGCCGTTTGCATCATACTGCGTGCACACCGGTGTGATTGCGGTCAATGCGGCCTCGGTCTCTCTCCAACCCCGCCCAGCCATGCTGCCACTGTCATCGATGAGAAAAATCGTATCAAATTGTGAAAGGAACGAGTAGGGTGAATCGCTTCCAGCGGGAGGCTGCGGTGTATTTGCTGGGGGATGTCCTGGATAGTAATTTGAGGGCGGATTTGGTCCAACACCGTGCCTATTGTTATTGCTTGAGGGGCGATGGGAATGAGTAGCTTGTTCAGGACGCATAGAGGTCCGCTTAGACTTAGAAAATCCAAACAAGCCCATTTTCAGTCTGTGGAATAGCTCACGGATAAGGTATGATCGGGGGGCTGATTGAATCGAATATCACCGTGGAAGGCGCTTGGACTGTAACTTTGGTTAACTGACTATAGGCGTCGGCTGGAGGGAGAATAGCAGAGTGTACTCCGTAGTCATTTAGCTGATCCCTAGTTTCTTTAAGTATTTCATTATTGCCGCCTGCTGGGCACCCTTCGTCATCCTCGTTCCGGAGTGGCTGGTTTGCTCACATGGGCGGTTGCCATGGATGTTTGCACGTAGCCACTAGTTACATTCTGGCCGTAGCGCGATATCTGTTTCGTCAATCAGAAGCGACTGCGGCCAAATTTGCCTCTGTGGGTGGCGTGTAGCGTAGTGTACTTTGTACGGAGTACTCTGCACAGGTTAAGAAGCTGCGAGCACCGCCACAGAGGCGAGGAGCGAAGATTGCCAGTTTATTTCTTGGCACATATTAGCCGGTCGCGCGGGGTTGACTGCGCCTTGGCCTGATCGGTGGGGCTCGGTCAGCGATGATGTAATATGATGTACTCCGCTTCGCCTAACTACGTACATGATGCACCAACACTGCTTAAAGGGCTTTGATAGAAAATCCAATATATATAGCTATAATACACTACATACGAGTTGAGAGTTCTCCAAGAACAAGCTCACAATTCTGAGGAGACGATGGCTCCAGAGCTATTTCCTTGTCGAGTGAGGCTTTTTCTTTGATCAGCTGGGCCATCCACAACGCCTGATTGATTCCAAGCACATGTCCAATGTACTCAAAACGTTTCACAATCCATTCTTGGAGTCCTGGCGTAGTTGGAGAAGCCTCTGCCGCCAGGTACAAGGGCCACAATAACAGAAACCCACCCAGAGCAGAGGCACCAGCGGGGTTCAGGGAAACAGTGTCTGATTCCCAGCATACCATCCCCAAAGCAAATGGAAGACTAGAACAAATTTCTCGTGCAATTGGGTCAATGTCGAGTTGATCCCGCTCATACTGTTCACGTATGTCGTCCGGAATTGAGGCACCTGACTTCTCCAATTCTCGAAACGCCTTGGAAATCGTGGCACTCAGAGTGATGCGACCAGCACGGTAACCGTTCCACAGGCCTACACACAAGAAATTGGAGAAGACGTGGAAGTGGTCTCCATACACGAAATCGGCAGGAAGAAATGCGGATTCCCCGTCTTTGTTTTTCACCTTTTGGAAGACATAGCGGCTTTCTACCGACTCCTGGAAGGAAATAAGATCATCCCTTAAACTTAAGGTCATTTGAAGGACCTTTGAAGGGCAGGATATTACCCCTTCTTTGATTGAGGCACGTAAATTGGCGAGTTTTGTCAGAAGAGCAGTTAAACTTTCGATGCCGATTTCAGAGGGCGTGACGCTTGAGCGATCTAGGGTCAATGGGGCAGCGACGGAAGGAGGGGCGTATGTTTCTGCTGCAAGGCAGCCGGAAATCTAGAATCAAACCAATCAAACTTTTGTTAGTAAAAATATGTTTCTGTTAGCCATCTTCAGTAGCTTACAATCTGGCCGCGGACTTGAACAAAGGTTCGGAGCGAACCAGGCTCCCTAGACGTATCTTTATCGCTAAGCTTAAGCAGTGCTGTGGCACCTTGCATATGGCTTCTCCAAGACTGTAGGGATTGAGGGCCACGGCATGTTATCACCTGCAGCAGTGTTAATACATATACATGGAAGGTGGAACTTCATGGGCAGGTACTCGTACTTCGAATAGCCCAAGAAGCATCACAGAATCCAAAGTTGCTAGCGATTTCGCATAAACAGGATTTTGCAACCTTCTACTCAGCAGAGCTAGTGCATGGCTATACTGTTCACCAGCTGCAAGCCGCATGGCTTTCGTTTTAGTAATATTAGAAAGCGACGCCAAGCCCACAGCGGTCATGCAAACGAGCAGGGTTTCATTATTATCAGTAGTGCTCTTCGCGAGTGGGGGGTAGCTTGAAGAGGAGTGCCGTATAAGTTTCGAAGGGGGTGCATATCTAGCCACAAAGAAGCATAGTGCTTGGTGTTTAAGCTCCAGTGAAAGTGGCCGTGAAAAGAACGGGCTACTGTTATATAAAAGCGGATCTTTCTTGGATTTCAGTGGCGGCTTGCGGCATGTCAACTCTTCTTCTTTCACAGCAGAAGATGCCTGTGCTTTACTTCGGATAGGGTACTGAAATCGACTGGGGTTGGCATGCTGAGGAGCTTCACGGGCTTTTCTTGCTACTTTTGAAGTTTCGTCGCGAAATAGAAGATCCAGCTGGTCCCGATAGCCCGGGCATTTGTGATTGGCACGAGTGCACTGGCCGCAGGAGGGCTCGCCTTGGTCGCACTGCTTGCCCAATTAGTCAGGTGCTGCGAAAGCGAAATTCTACCTAGAGAAAATAGGGGTATGTAGCGCAGATATCACTTATCCATATCCCAGTAGTAGCACTCATGCCACGCACCTTGATCTTCCTGCGCCTACATTGATAGCAGCCTTTACTTGGCTTCCCACAGTATACCATGTCTGAAGCAAACGAAGGTTGCGGCGGTTAGTCAACACGCTGGAAATGAGTCTAGACAGTCAAGAAGGTGGATGGCATGGACAAACGCCAGCATAGCTTCTCTGGGAGCAGCGGCGGGCTTGCTTTCTTGTAGCATCTCAACTATGTAATTTTTCTGCCTGTGCTGAGCGGCTTCGTGATCCATCGAAGCGCGTTCGGGTCGAAACCAGGTGGCCCGGGGCTGAAGAGCCGCGGGGGAGGCGCTAGTCCGAATTTAGGATGCAGTGCGATGGAAGCTAGTCCCAAAGAAAACTAGACAAGTGGCTCGCTACCTAAGTCGGTTAGGTGCCTACCCTAATAGTTTGGTGAGAGGAGTCGGAAGATGTTCATTTGGCGATGCAAATTCACACGGTATTTGCCATCCCACCGAGACAACTCTAAACGAAGATCAAACACCAGATAGTTACATACCCCAAAACTCCGTACATTACATGCCTTAGGGTAGCTTAAGAAGCCATATTCACCCCAGGTCTTATTTCACAGAACGTTTTGCGCAATAAAATACATCAATTCAACCGCACTTGGGCAGGGGGGCCATTTAGATGGTGACATAGCGCTTTTGGGCTGGTTGCAGTGTCATGACATCTGTGGGAGCAATATCGCTCTCGGTAGTGATATCACCATATGACACAGCATCGAAATCGTTGACGGAGAACGTCTGACCAGAGGGGATGAACTCTGGTGCTTCAGCGCGAAGGCGAAATCCCTCTGTTGTCATGCCAGGGACGCGTTCGAAGTGGCCAGTCGTTTGGACATAAAATTCATATTGATAATCATCGTATGAGTGGTCCTACAAAGTGCAACGTCATTATAATAATCAATCTATAGGTGTGCTCCATTCATATCACTCACAATAATTGGATATGTGTAGAGCCCGTCAGGTGCTGTGTACCAGCCTGCGTCTGACCATATGTACGCATTGCTGTTCGCACCACAAATATTATCGGTTTGATTGTGTTCGGGGTTCTGACAACATCCATACGTTTGGTCAGGATATTCGATTTCAGTGGCCGCATAAAACAACCCATGCCCTTTGCCGTTTGACCCGGATCTATCATTACTACGATTTAGCATTCGCGTGGGATGATAAGTGTCATCGGGCTCCTTGGTGACTTGGCCGCATGGTTTTCTTTCCTGTTAACTATCAATTTGACTGTCCTATGTGATGTGCAAATGGGGTCATGCCTTGTTTCTATTGCGCAGCTTTGTTTTCTTTTTGGAAGCGGCTGTCGGCTTGCTCTTTTTGTGATAAGAGGGTTCAGTCATTATGTTGACAGCAAAGAGATGGCAGCAACAAGCTTTATTAAGACAGGCTAATTTCTGCAATTGGTTTTGGCAGCCAGGGGTCGAGCTATAGAATCCCCTAATAAGAGCCAAAGTATTTCTATGTGGGGGTCCGTCAATGTAAACAACAGCGCCTAGTATGTATCAAAATACCTCAAAGGGGCTAGTAAAAATTGAGTGTGTTTATTATGTTAGCAAACATGTAAGCCAGGCAACAAGGCTAGCAATGATGTAATGGAAATTATTCATGCTGCCATAACGACATATAGGCAGCACCTTAGACCACAGTGTTCTAAGTGTGGGAATTCTTTTGGCTAGGTGGCCAGGACTCCTGAAATCCAGCTAAATTGCCAACAGGACATACAAACAGAAGGCCATCTTCGTTTCAATCAATGAAACCAGACACAGTGATTAAAGTATTAAAAATAGATGGCAAAAATGTTGATACCTCCTACCCCATGGCGCTAAAGAGGAGTGACATATGCACTTCCCACATAAGAATTAAAACGGGCGTGGCGTGGGTAATGCATAATCATAGCAGTGGAAAAAAAAACAAAAAGAAGGTATTTGCCTTTTCCAGTTGTCACCATTACTGAAAGGAATAATATCACATAGCATACCCAGGCTTGATAATATCAGCTTCCATGGGCGGAACTTAAACACCCTTCCAGTGCAGAAGATGGAGGATTTGGAGTAGATGTTATCAGACAGACTAACTAGTCGAATAGGAAGGTGGTCATTGTCAATTATCACAAAGCTTAGTTGGCCATGTTATCTGGTTCCACAGATGTTAGCTGTACAGATGGTTTTCTAATAAAAGGAGAAAGACCATGCAAGACAGAACTGACAGAAAAAATATGTGTTAGGATGAAGAATGATCAACAGTGAATAAGATAATCAGCCAAAACGATATTCTTTGGGCTACAGCATCTGCTCCATATAGTTATGGAGGAAAACACCACCTCTATCAGTGATGGCTCAAGTTTGGATACGCAGAATAAACCCCACCAGGTTGGCTGTATCAAAGCACTGCCTTGACTTTGCTCCTATAGTTGACACAAATGTTACTCATCACAATCACGTCACATAGAGCCGACAACGACAATAATGGATAACGTACAAGAAGGCAGTGCATTCGATTTCAACGTCAGTACCGAAGGGCAGCTCCTTGACGGCCACGCAAGTGCGGCACTGCCAAGCAAACCAGGGTTAGTACCACGCCGAAATCTGGGTTGGGATGGACTCAGACTGGCTTCACTCCATCACTAAAGAATGACTCGTAGGCTTGGTTCATGCCTGCAAAATCAGTCATGGATGTTAAAAACACATTAACTTTGACCACATTCTTGAGGTCACTGCCACCGGCTTGGAGGACTGCGGCGAGATTGCGTAAGGCTTGGGCCTAGGGCGCAGATGAGTGCCCAATTGCTGTTGTTGGTGGGTGCGAGACAGGCATTTCTTCTTACTGTTCGCTGGCCAACAGGGCCTGGCACAATCTCCCTAGTGCTTGGGTCAATGCCAATGCTCCCGGAACAGTATATCATCCCGCCATGCACGACAGCCTGGGAGAAGACCGGCAATGGCGCCATAGCCTTATCTGTGAGTATGGCTTGTTTGTCGGGCATGATGGTGTGAGGTGGTAGTGTAACCACTTAACTAATAACTATGTGTTTAATGATGCAAAACAGAGCTGGTGGGATTCTAGAAAGCACCAGTGAACCTGGAGTCAGAAGATGGTGGCGGAGGAGACGCACGTGATTTAGTTAACTAACTAACTACCTAAGTTAATTGGAATAAAAGGAACTTAGGTAATTAACTAGTTACATAGTGGCGATGCTTGTGGGTAGCTAAGAGCAAGATGATGACGACAACCTCTCAACAATTCTTAAGCACCAAGTTAACCTAATAATTCCTACTCTGCTCATGCAGAGAACATTAAGTCTAAGGGCAGATCAGGTAGATCTCATTTGTTTGCCACCATGCAGACCATTCTGATGTTCAGTGGGTCAAGTCTATGTACGGAGTCCCTACCCTGCTGTTCCACACTGTCTAGATCTTGATCCTACTACAATGCAGAGGACTTCTACAATAATACAGAGTACTGGGCACATCGCATAAAATCCTTCCCCGATCGCGCCCACCCGCGGGGGCACAGGCCACCTCCGGTATAGTCAAACCACGCGGGATCTTGGTGCGAGTTGCATTATTGGATAATTGTTTTGCCTTGGTTGTATCGATCTGATTAGTTATTTCCTGAGTTAGAGATAACCACCGGAAACCAAGTCCCAAGAAGCATATCAACATTGGCCATGTCAACTACGGAATTTTGGCGACCTATTGCTGACTTGTTACCTTTATAGTAACCGCCCGTCTTTCAGAGACTCGAGTGGGAGGCTGCGACCTCTTATTCCTTTCTCCCTTGTTTCTTGTTATTTTTATAAGCATCTTTCTTTCCCGTTGCCCCCCTTGATTCTGTTAGTACTGTTTTGGGTCGCCCCTTTCACACTCGGTTAGCTGAGAAACGCTGATACATATAGCATAGCAGCAACGGCTATTTCTTTGGTACGCACCTGACTCTCGGGCGGATCACCGCCAGGGTTACATGGCATGGGTCTAGTTCCGCTTGCGATGTTCATACTACCCTGCCTTAAAGTTCTCTCTTGTCTGGGCTTCGGGGAATTGTGAGGTATCAACGCCAGGGATAGGGAACCCAGCCCAGCCACATTATCACTTAACACCGCCACGAGTTTGGTTCAACTGGTACCCTATGGAGCAGTTATTAACCCTTGCTAAACGTCAATTATGCCTGCAGCTCTGCTGCGCAATTCCTTACGCAATGGAACTCTGCATCGGTGCCGCGTCACCCTTCACGCTTTGCTGGAATAATGAGGCAGAAAAGGAACATGCTCTATAGTGCATGGCATCGCAAGTTAAATAAAGTCTCTCTTCAAACCCCCATCCTTGGGGGATCTTATCAGTTTATAAATAAAAAGAAATTAGTGAACAAATTCATTTATACAATTCTGGCTGTTCATTATTTGCCCCCTATTTCTGGCCTCAAACTTTTGATGCAGTGATAATTGTTGTAGTCGTGCAGAATGAGAGCACCTCTCGCGTTGATTGGGATACTGGGTAAGTTAGCCACCATAGTCTCATAGACCGCCTTCTGATGCATGCTCTAGCCTTTAGCCACCCTTCCATCGCGTTCAAGGCGGTGATTCTAGCGGACACCAACCGCGATGGCCAAGCTGCAATAGATGATATTGGAGACTCTGAGGCTCTATTTCTTCCCAATATTGGCGATACAGACAGAAGGTGTTCAAAGATGATATCGGCTCTACCGAATATATCAAATGAGATACTTGAGTCTTGCCACGATGCATCCGACAATATTCAGCGCTCTCCGCAGTATATGGCGCCGCTTATTACCCTCCCAATTCCAAGGATAAGGGCATCTTCATATGGTTCCATTCGAGTTTCGGGAGATGTAGCCCGTAAAAATGTGCGCATCTTTCTCAAAAAGGGGTCAAAATGGGAATACATTGATGAAAACACAAAACTCTCTTCCGAAGACATTAGGTATGGGATGGACCTCGGGATTGATGCTAGAGATACGCGACGACCACAAAAGTGGGATGGGCGTGCTACGGTTACTTTTGAAGTGGAACAGAGGGGGGTAAAATCGACAAGCAGTGTTAAGTTGCGTGTCGCCCCGGTCATCACTCAACATCATCTCAATAAGGCCCAGCAAGTACTGGCCTCCCCCATGAAGCACAATCCCTGGTTTGAAACATTTACCAATGGCCTATCTGCAAGTGCAAAGAAGGCCGGCATACAAACTCCATTATGGCAGATTGACGCTAATGATATATGGGCACAAGACTTCTTTGAGCCTGGCTATGCGAGTATACCAGGTCCAAACGGAAAACCAGTGTCTATACGGATCATGTTTCGTTCTTCTCAACCTGAACGTCCTGGAGGTCCATCAGTGTTTCTACAACTTCGTAGTGCCGGAGTTGGGGCTGTCCAATATTTCAGGAATGAAACCTCTGAAACGACAGACTCTACAGGAAATGTCGAAACGATTCCGCCATATGAACATGCAGGGAATAAGTTTCCTGTCGGACGGATTATCATAGGCGAACAACTGGACTATGTACCCGCGGCTGTCGATTACTTCCGTGCTCAGGAAATCCAAAAGCCCCTAATACTAAAGACAGACTGGCTTCACGTGAAGCATGTGGACGAGTTTTTATCATTCATCCCAACCAAGAGCTCCCGCGGCTGGGTTCTAATGTATGGAGACGTAGAAACCGCGCTGGAGCTCCTAAGAAAGGCTGAAGGCGAAGGGCACGGAAACGTCCTCATATCTTCTCGTCAGAAACACAACGCCACTGCTGCGACAAACTTGACTATTTCAGACGTTTTGAAGTCTCAGGAGTTTCTTGACTACAATGCAAACTGCTCTCAGCACACTCGGGAAAATCTCGATATTCTCAAAGCCGAGACCGGTCTCCAAGATAGCGAGATGATAGCCGTTCCTGCTCTCTACTGGAAGCATCGGGGTAGTATTGGCCCAAGAACAATCTTCAACATTCTTAGCGAAGAGAGAGCTGCCCAGCGGAATCTTTCTATGCTTTCTCAGCTTGACGTTATATCAAATAAAGCTGGTTCAGGCTCTCAAATCAAAAAACGCGACAAGGAGGGGAATAGCGCCATTGCATTATTTCCCACTGCAGTCAACGGTGTATCTCTCAGCAATAGCTTGTATCTCTGTCCCAAGCCATTTGGTCCTGTTATTAATGGCAGAGACATTTTCGAAGAGAGTCTACAAAGGATTTATGGCTCCGTTGGATCTGAAGTTGACTTTTTGGATGATTATATGTATCATATACTTGGAGGGGAGATTCATTGTGGAACCAACACTTTCCGTGACCACATGGATACATGGTGGAAACAGTAGCCTAGAGAAAGCAGATTTACATGATGTTTAATTATACATGGATATAGGTATCCAATTCGACTTGTCGTCTATCTATATGAGTGAGATAAATACATACAGCTAGCGGCGGAGAAACCACTGTCAGTTTAAAACTCTGCAAAGGATTTGTTCTACTAAAGGCCTTGTTGAAATCATAGGCGAAGAGAAAAAAGCCTGATAGAGCTCTGATGACAAAAATGATCGAATCATAGTATTTATACAGTACAAGCCTAAGATAAAATAATATAAGGCATACTAGATTCGAGCAGTTCATTCCTATGTAAGTTAAAAGGGTGTACAATTCGAACGAGGTGGCATATTTGCTTGATACTCGGACAATTCATTGAACAGAGCGCCCAACATGAAGATGTACAGGAACACAGTATTAAAATAATACCGGTTCCGGGTGAGGTATTTTTTACATGGACAGAATCATGGGCAATATTAACAAGAGAAGTAAACAGAAAAGGTGGTACGTATGGGTGGGAAAAAGTAGAGGGTACCAGAAAACCAAGTACTAGCATCATTTAACAAGCAAAACAACACGCCGTCATACATAGAAGAAAAAGAGATGAAAAATGGCAAGAAAAAGAAATAAGGCAATGTGAATTAGGCAGTTACGGCATTTTGACTTCCCTCTAACCATTCGCGCGCAATATTGCCAATTCGCAAAGCATTCTCTTTTGCCAAAGCACATGAGATTTCTGCCTGTTTGGCAGCTTGAATAGCTGTAATCATAGCTTTCTCGGCATCGTTCGAGTGATTAACAGCCTCGATAAGAAATTTTCCAAGCTGAGGGACTGCCTTTAGCACACCGTTACAAAAGAAATAAGAGTCGAGTCTACTTACCCTAACAAGCTCCTCTTTTTTCCCACTGTTTGACTCGACACGAGCAGTATCAAGAACTTCCATTGCAAGGCCACTAACATTCCTAGTGTCAGCAAATGCAGGCACAACATGTGTGGTAGATGAATTTATAGATAAAGTGGTGTTGTTATTCTGCAACTCGTTAGAGGCTTGGACTTCACGGTCAGTGCCAAAAATTGCCTGGTAGCAACGCACAGGGCTTCTGGTAACCGATCGTCCTTTATTAAGAGACGTTTTGGATTTTCGTGAAAGCCTTTCCTTCGGACGAGGCGGCATAGCCGCAGTAGTCTCCTTCGTTACTTCTGTTTTATGTTTGGTGAAGAGGCCACGGAAGTTGGACAACACTCCTTTGGTACTGGAGGTCTTCGGCTTAACTGATTCCTGAGAAGTAGTGGTATGCGTGGGAATGTGGGAACGATGGCCATGGGCCGTCCTTTCTTTCAAAGGCGCACCCGGAATACGATGGCTTTCATGCACTGTAGACATTGCCATTCCATGGGGTATTTTCGTTCTTGACGAACGAGCATGGTCATGTGAATTTCGACGTGTCGCTCTGTCGGATGAGCGGTAGGAAGGAATTTGTTGAGAGCGGGTAATTTTGGGTGACTCCTGCTTGGTAGTCGAATTCTTTCGGGCTTCCCCCCTCTCTGGCGTCCGCTTTGTTTTCGAAGAGTAAATATCATTCGCTCCGAGACGCCCGGGACTATGTTTACTTCCACTTATGTTTTTAGCTATTTCATTATATCGAGTAGCTTCTTTAGGAACTGATTCTCCAACTTGCGCAACGCCAGAGGTTATATCCTTTGATATTTTCTTCCCGTGGTTCGCTATAAACGAAGATGATTTCGAAAGCACCTTATTGAAAAATGGGTTATTTGATGTTTTGCCAGTCGGCGATACACTGGATTCTGTTCGTCGTAGAGCCCTATGCCCATTGTGGCTACCCGGGGGGCAGGGAGAGTGGATAGTAAGATCCGCGCTCTTGACTTTAGGTATCCTGCTTAGGGGTTCCATTTTGGGAGAAGGTTCAGGAACCGAAACCGCGCCCATAGAAGATCGGGCGCGTGGGTTTCGATCACGTTTAACTCCCAGACTACCGAACAAGCTATCGGTAGATATCCTAAATTCACGGCGATTTTCTGCTTTCCAGCGCCCCTGAATCGAATTCCTCTTTGATGTGTTTTCTTGCAGGTCTCCCTCACCCATAATGATCTTCTCAGCTTCCGGGGAGATTCTCAATTGCGGGCCTCCCCCGGACGGAGACATGTGTGCTAATTGTTTGACTCTAACGCCCCCTTGCTCAACGTATTCGCCGCACAATGCCTCCTCAAAATGGAAATCAGATTCGTCATTGTCACTCACAAGGCCAAGATCAAGAGGCGGTTCACGCTTGGGAGAATCGGCCTCCTTTAAGAGACCAGAATTATCAGCAATGGAGGTAATACTCGACTCAGGGTTTCTGGTGGCTATCGCAGATTTTTGGTTGATGGGCGTCACTGGCAGCTGCTCGCTTCGATAGCTACGAAGAAAGCGGCTTGGGACTGGAATCGAACTTCGATGGGTTGGAGAAAATGCAGGAGACATCGGTCTCTTGGCTAGGCCGGAAGCAAATGCCGGGCTTATAGGTGAGGCACCAGGGGATATTTTAGGAATTTTAGAAGCTGATGCTTTCTTGCCGATTGGCGCTATATACTCCACTGAATTTTCTGGGACCGAAGCACCGTTCACATTTTGGTCTTTTGGCGATCTGTGGGACGTATCTCGCCGTTGTGAGTCGAAAGTGTAAGAAAAATTGCGATTCGCAGGCGTTTCTGGAGCGCTTCCTGGTACAGCAATTGCGCGGGATTTATTTCTAAAGGGATTAGAGCTTTGTATGTTTGACGCGTTCGCTGACCCTGTCTCAGCAATATCAACCACAGACTCGCCTAAAACATTTATATCAGTAGTAACTTTTGGGTTGCATGGGCTACAGGGCGTGTTGTTGAATGTTCCTGCTAGCCTATTCGCTGCATCACCAAACAATCTAATGCCGCATGTATCGTCGACAAGTATTTTGGGAGCCATGGTTGTCAGCTGGGTTGCTTCAGGACCATTTTGTTGAGTTTCTGGAGCTGCTGATGGTGCGAGGATTGGCCAATCCTCCTTGACTCCAGGCATACCGGCAGGAGATCGACGAAGGGGGCGTTCCTCAGCGTCAATAAGGCTACGTGAAGGAGGAGAAAGTCCAGGTTCGCGTTTCGCTTCTGGAGTCTGCGGCAAGGGCTTCTCAGACGGCAGAGCTTTGTCGACTTGAGGACTAAGAAGCGAAAATGCCCCCTTCTTTCTTGTTAGCATAAAGGACCAGGGATAATTCAAAGTAAGGTAGGTAAAAAAAAGCCTACCACGCGTTGTCCAAAGCCGTATGCAGGCCCAGAAGATGTTGAACGAAGGTTGGAACGAGGAGATGAAATATGATGATATTTATTCTGCACATTGGGTTAGAAGGAAAGTTGCGTCATGTTGGGAGTCTCGGATTCGCGTACCCCTATTTCATGTGTCGAATCGCGTCGTTTGCGACCAGACTTCCTAAGAGCCCCAAATGACTTTTTGGGGCGTAAGGCTTCGACACTCTTTACTGCCTTAACTGCAACAGTGGTAGTCCAACTTCTGGTGCGAGGGCGGCTGGCTGAAGCTGCAGGTGTTGGTGTTTCTGGATAGGGTGATGGTGGGAGTCTCCTTGGAAACGCATGTGTGTGGGCAGTAAATGTGGGAGTCACAGGACGGTACCCTGGCACAAATGACAAAAGTGCTGCACCATCTACCTGATTAGTCGTGTTGTGGCTAGTATTCGGTATGCTGGGTGGGTTGGTATTTATCACTAAGTCAGTAGCCATAGTTGCAGGAGGTTGAGGAGCTGTCACAGAAGCAGAAGAAAATGGGGTTGATGATTGCCCGGCCTTGTGTAAATTTATACAAAAAGCAACTTTGTGTTCCTTTGTAGAAAGGTCACAGAGCTAGACATTGGCAGAGGCAAGCCCACGTGAGGGGCAGCAGCAAATATCAAGTTTATCCGGAACTGCACACTGGAACATTTGCTAGTTTCCTTTTTACAATGAATATGGGCTGGGAATATCTGGTACAGTGTAGAAATTATTACAGTAGAAGCGCCATGTTCATTGTAAGTAGGGTTACAATGAGCTTTGGCAAGTGATAAGGTGCATGTCTACAAAACACATGCACCTCTGCTGTTGAAGTAGTCGTCCTTGAACCAGGGGGAGAGCGCCATTAGGTTCACGTAAAAACCAATTGGGCGAGGCAAAACAAACAGAATAGCATGGATCCAAATTTATATTTGCATGATATCAAATCTGAAGATTAGCATCCCCAAAAAGATATCAAATAGGTCAAAGTATATCCCAGATAAAAGCAGTAGGACAGTATATCTGAAGACATGCCAATGTTAAAGCAAGGGAGCTAAACAATGTGGCCAACGATGGATATACGAAAGAAGCAGGAAAAAGAAATCACTTGAAATACAACAGCAAGTTCAAGTTGAAACTGTCAATGCGGACTCCGGAATGTATGCACAACAGAACATATGAGAGGGTCTGATATTATATTTCGCCCAAGCGTCAAGAGCAGAGTGTAAAACAAGTCGAGAAGCGGAGGAAGATGTACCGAGCCAAACTCCGTGAGAAATACCTTGAGTGGAAAGACAAACGAGATTCCCATTTTAGGCTAAATTTGCTGATTAAATGCATTGAGCTGCAAGAGGGCCTCCGGTTTATGCCTAGATAAACAGCAAATTAGTTTCAGTTCATACGCGGCAGCGAGAAACAATTCTTATTCAGGCAGGCAGCTAGGACATGGTCTTAAAAGGCTGTTTCAACGTTTGGGTTGTTCTCTAACCGACCTCGGGATTTTTTCTTTTGGAAGAGGTTCTTACAACTTCTGAACCATGGCCAGGCCTTTCGGCAACCAAATCTCCAGATGCCTCATGCCATTCAGTGACCTCCCACTCTACTTGGACAGATCTATCTGCAGACGACCCAAAGCCTCGGCGATGTTTTCCAACTCGGCCTAGCCGGCTTCCCTGGATCATTTCCTCGAACCATGGGATACCATAGACGGTTCCAGTGTGATGACTGACAGATACCTGAGTTTCCTCGAGATTGCGCGGTGGTGAAGCAGGAGGACGAGGGGTGAGGTTTGAAGGGACAATAGCTCCCAAATCAGCATCCCTGGGGATAAGATCTAAATCCTCAAGTGTGTTTTGATCGTCACTTGAAAGACTCCCAACTGCTACGGACATATACTCGGCTTCCTCAGGGGGGTTCTCGGTCCAGAACGTCAGTGGGGTGCCGCAAAAACCGCAGAAAGCGTGTTTGCTTTGCGGGGAGGTTTCAGGGGTAAAAATTCGCTTGATCGAGGCATGTGTTTCATCAGGGAAAAAGGACCTCGTGAAGGATTGGTACCAAGGTAAGGGAACGCGCAGCCAAGCGGTGAGGGGAGTTCCTTGGTTTCTCCCTGCGCATACCGAATAGCATAACATTAGCAAGGAGAATGCGTCGTGGAGAAGTTCAAAGGCATACTCTGTTGGCTGCTCGTGTCGAAATATACTTCCGCTTGCTCTGTGGAATCTGCAGGGGCGACGATCGAGTATTGATTGCGGCCGCAAGAACAGCCGCCTCTGAGGGGTCTTTCGCGGCTCATCACGGGTCAAGAATGGGAAAGTAGGATAGCTAGAAGAGCTATGATAGACGGCTGTGGTGTCAAGGAGGGATAAAGCGTATGTAGCACGGGGTTCTTCCGAGGCGAATGGCGGTTGCATGAAAATGCGCATTTCGAACGATGGATTGGTAGGCGTTTGACGTCAACAAGCTGCGGGTCTTGGCACAAGGCAGTCCGAAACAACCTGAGAATCCGGGGGAGGTTATTAACCACCTAGTCCGCCGCTCAACCGCTCGCTGGCTGTTAGTTGGCCACCTATATTATTGCCCTCGCTTTCGCCGCATCGAACGGGGCAGTTTGCGCGGTGAATATCCATGACATTCCTCCTTCGTGACGTCGTCCTGGTTCTATGCCTCCCTTGAACTCGCCCCATTTACCATCCATGCAACCTGCAGACCCTGCACAGCAAACCAACGCCGGCGACTCCGCGACCCATGATGGATCTATTACGGAGAAATCTTCCACCTCGCCCAAGCCACAGTCAGGACTGGCACTGGAACGAGAAAAGCCACGGCTGACCGAGCAAGAAAAGAAAAATAACCACATCGCGTCCGAACAAAAGCGTCGCGCCGCGATCCGCGAAGGTTTTGATAGACTAACTGAACTTGTACCCGGCCTAGCTGGCCAGGGTCGGAGCGAGGGAATGGTTTTGCGGAAGACAGTTGACTTCATTCACGTCAAACTCCAAGAGAGACAGGAGCTGATAGACGAGATAGAGAGAAGAGGCGGGAAGGTCGATGATCGGATACGAAACATGGTTGAAGATTCCTAACCCCCGTCGCGCGACAATAGAGATGATGGCTTCTTGCGTTTACGATTTTATCCTTTATCCTTTAGAATGGATTAGATGATATCTCCTTCGGACTGCGAGCCAGCGACAAGTAGTCAAATTCGTCGTCGAGGAGCGTAGAAGCTCTTCGGCATTAATACACCCTTGGCTCAAACGCCCTACACCATCGCAGCCTCTATTACATATGACGATACTTTCAGATTGGTTATCTTAATGATGAACAGCCAATGATATTTCATTGTTGATGGCGCAACTGGTTTTTTATGTCCGACTCTTTACAGATAACTACCTTGGCGACCTGTGTATGCATGTATGTATGAATGTTTACAGACCTATCATGGAAGGATTTGTATTTACCTTTGTTTTGTGGAATTCTGTATGTATATAGCTATGTACCAACGGTGTTTTCTGGATGGATGGGTGTATATGCTTCCACATTCTCGCCATACCTCTCCATGTGTGAAGCACTAGTCTGGATTACCTGAGTACATGTAGGATGCAATTAATTATACCAAGTGCCAAAGGATATTTATTTGCTATGAAGGGGCTGATTTCTATGTACGTGGAAAAAGGTGCATTTATGTAATACCTCTACAAAGCACAGCTCTAAATGGTGAAATAGTTATGTACATACATATGTATGTGACTACAATCTGTTGTGTACCCCAACTTCCAACTTCGTACAAAAGATAGGGTCTCAGCCACAGACTCGACCCCACAACAGAATACATTCTAATAGTAGGGTGTTAGTCCTTTTATATCTCTCCTTGCCAAATCCTGTGAGAAGATACACGGACGATTTATACCTCACTGCATCCCCTGTGCCTTGTCCTGACATATCACCATGAACGAGAAGAAATCAGATTTGAATATCCCCGCCCCACCCCCTTCTGACCCTCCTCCATCCTATGAAACTGCATCTGGTACCGCTGCTGGCGGGGCTGGTTCGAATTCAATTCCACTCCCACGGCCACCGCCTCTAACACTCCCTGTTCTCAATCAACTCCGCTCAAAACGCGTTATTCTTGCCTCCGCATCTCTCCGCCGCAAACAGATTATCTCGACCCTTGGCTTCCGGAACCTGGAAATTATACCTTCAAACACTCCAGAGGACTTCCCAAAAACACTCTCGCCTTTTGAATATGTCCTAAAAACTGCGACGCATAAAGCCATCACAGTCTATCAGCGAGAGATTGACAACACCGAAAAAGGTGATCCGGCCCTGATCATCGCTGCGGATACAATTGTGGTGGACTTATCTAACGGAGACATCCTCGAAAAACCTCGCTCGGAGGCCCATCATATCAGCATGCTCAAGGCCCTAAGAGATGCAACAAATCATACCGTATACACCGCTGTTGTTGCGATGGTGCCACTGGAGAGTGCTCGGGATCCCGGATATGCCCTAGAGACTTTGGTGGAGGAGACGAATGTTAGATTTGATCCCGACATCACGGATGAATTGATCGTGGCTTATGTGAGGACCAGAGAAGGTGCAGACAAAGCAGGAGGCTACGGAATGCAGGGGTTAGGATCCATTCTGGTCCAAAAGATTGAAGGCAGTTATGATAATGTCATCGGATTGCCCTTGCGAGCTACGTTGAGGCTCATCGAGAAAGTGATGGCAAGAGCTGATGACGATGATATGTTAGGCGACGAATTGATAGAAGAATGAGCAACTAGCAATTCTGCAATCTTCCTGCTATTATTGTTCATGCTAGATAGACAGCAAAGTTGGCAAGCATATTAATGTAATCGTTTGGAGCCATTCACCTACCTGGATTGATGCTATGTTTTTTTTCCCTGATTGTCTCTAGTTATCACGTTACGCGCAAAATTTAGGCTCAATTCCAAAATGGCATAATATAGACAGAAAAAAAAACCAGATATATACAAATTCTACAATCATGCCTTCCAGATTCTCTTGATGGCTTCAGTCACACCAACATCATTTGTTTCAAATTCATACAAGCCGACGGCCACGGTCAACGTGGCGAGGCGAAGAGTCCAAATGCAAAATGCTCTTGTCTTAGGTACGCGGCGTTGGGGAAGGTAATCGACAATGAGAGCCCTACGAGTAAACCGTCAGGCATGTATCATACCGGCCTAACATTGGCCAGAAAACTAAAGGAACAATTGCTCTGCAAACATACTGAAAACCAATGTGGGAATGAAGGACTAGGGCACCACAGAGAATAGCATCAGTGACCGGGTTTAGGGATCCAGCGGCAAAGGGAGCTAGAGTCAATGGGACAAGAGAAGCTGCAACAATTCTATCATATGTCGAGTTAGTTCTGTGCTGAAAAAGAGGGGTTTTGTCGCGCTCTAGATACCGTTCGAAATCCCAGTGATAGCTGCCGTGAGTTGGGGAGGTATGGGGAACTTCAACAGCATCGTTTACTAGACATTGCGTCAACGATTGACCACCGGATCCAACTATTTCCTTCAAAGTCTCATTCAATCTCGAAGGGTGAAATTAGGCGTACCGGTTCCTTTAACGACCTCTACATATCAACGGAACGCTATTAGCGGGACAGTTCCTGTGCAAGTAGAATGATTGCGGCCGAAGACACGCAGAAAGACTCACGTGGTTCCGGAGGTAGAATCTCCCGTCTGCTTGTCGCATGGAAATGAGCAACCTTCATCGAGCCGTATTTCTTCTGTAACTGCATCGGCTTCACTATCGTAAGGGCGGCGAGCGGCGACTTCGTGGAGTAAAATGCCGTCCGTCGTGCCGAACTCGAAAGCGTAGAGCATGACTGTCTCAGCGCTGGCGCCGAAGGACGAAGGAAGGAGGCCATCTTGAGGGCGCCGCTGCGTTGACCGAGTAGAGACTGTTGTCGATAGAATAGTTGGCGTTGCCTTCAATGATGGATTGGAGCGTTTTGGCTGGTTTGTCCGCCAGGACGAAATCGGAACAGCTTCCTCGGAACTGGGGGTAAGCAGAATCCGCGCTACATGATTGGCCAGCTAATAACCTTCAGCCGACCCATCCCGTGAATGGAAGCCCAGCCCAGACGGGAAAATATTGGAGCTTTTACAACTGCATCATGAAAAGGCAAATTACATTCAATCGGGCCCTTCGCTTCTCTAATAACTAGTTATCCTTTCCGCACTTCTTACAGTTTCAGCACGGCTTTACCAAAGTTCTCTCCCTTGAACAGACCGACCAAACCCTTGGCTGCGTTATCAATGCCCACGGTCTCATGGATCATAGGCTTAAAGGTTCCATCTTTAATCCATTGAGAAACACGTTCCCTGTGTTCCTTCGCCCACTTATCCCCCATACCTGGATCAGAGACAATAAAGCCACGGATCGTGAGCCTCTTGCTAACCGTCATGAATAGATTCGTGATTGGATATCGGTTCTCTGGCTTGACATTGTACTGTGAGATCATGCCACAGGCGACGATGCGGCCAAAGTCGTTCATCGCCTCGATCGCCGCCTGAAGCTGTTCGCCTCCCACGTTTTCATAGTAAATGTCAATTCCATTTGGTGCGAGCCTCTTCAAAGCATCGCTCGCTTTTTCCTTCTTATAGTTGAAGCCGCCATCGAACCCTAGATCCTTGATAATATAGTCCAACTTCTCGTCAGAACCAACACTGCCGATTACGCGGAGGCCTTCGTGCTTCGCAATTTGGCCAACGACTTGACCGACGGCCCCGGCAGCGGAGGAAATGAAGATCGTTTCCCCCTTTTTTGGTTTTCCAATCTCCAGCAACGACGAATATGCCGTAAGCCCTGGCATTCCCAATGCACCCAGGAAAAGGCGCAAGTCGCTTATTCCCAATGGATTCTCTAGCAATGTGAGGCCCTTTGCTGCCTGGGCGGATATAGTTATGTACTGCTGAATTGGGGTAAACCCCGTAACAATGTCTCCGACTTTGAAATTGTCGTTTTTAGATTTGAGAACCTTGAGGATTGAAAGGCTGGGGATTGGCTGTCCTATGTCGTACGGTGGGCGGTAGGACTTGATATGGGGAGGCCGCATGGCCCCTCGCATGTATGGATCGAAGCTCGTATAGAGCGACTGGGCGATGAGTCCCCCATCGGGAGCTGGTGCCTCGGTGTCGAATGGAACGTCTTCGATGACCAAATCGGTTCCGGGAACGGGAAACTCTTCTGGAGCGCTTCGATAAATCAGTCCTTTATTTGCCGCTGCCATTGTCACGTATTACTGCCGTATTTTCTGATTATAGAGAAATATATTGCAAGTTGAAAGCCTCGATTCACATTCCCGGAGAACATACTGTGTCTACTGCAGTGTATATATAGTCCATGGATCTCTGTATGTGCCTAGGTACAGTGAGGGGTGGGCCGGAAAACCTGCGAGGCTTAGAAATCAGCTTGGTAGCCAACGTCATCAGCCAAGATCAGAGTTGGGGGCGCCTAGGCAGAATTGAGATGTCTGGCCTCGGTGTACGGAGTACGGAGGAAATGCTTAAGTAGCATGGAGCCCTTATTATACCGGTAATTTGTCCGGATGCCGGTGTTGTCCCGTACTCCACGTCTACCATGGAAATTTTGTTGGTTAAGCTGCTATCTATTATGGGTGGCGTACAAGCACAATACTCTTAAATACATGGTGACAACAGTCTATTTAGAGGTAGAATGGTTGAAAAGACAGGTTGTGATACGAATTTGAGCCACGAAGCCTGAATAAGAAGCGGCAAAGGCATTTATACAGATACGACCCTATCCTTTAGAAGTCGCAAACAATGAACGGATGGCTATCAACCAAATTTCAACTAGTCGGTTCCGATATTGGTGCTCCTAGCCTACGAATGTTTCGTAGACCAATACACGCGACAACAATTGTAGATGCTGTCATGGCGAAGCACGTCCAAAACGCCGCTCGGTATCCAGTCATCAAGGCATTCGGAGAGTCTTCCGGGTAACCCGAAGAACGTTTTGCTGCTGACGATATGACGGCGATCGCACACAAACCAATGGAAGTACCTAGTTGCGCAATTGTATTGAATACAGCTCCCGCTAATGCATGAGTGGATTCTGGAAATATATCAGTGATAATAAGATGGGCCACAGTAAAAACCACTAAACGTTGGCAAGTTAGTAAAAGCAAGCTTCGATTCCTGGCTAGGGTACTACATACCATCGACACCGACAGGCCCGAGAAGAACAGCCCAGAAAGCACATGCCCAATAATTCCACTTAGGGTCAATTATCGCCATCAGCAAAGGCGATATTGCAGCAGCCACCGCTGTCAATAATATCAGGTAGTCAATTCGAACGGCGTGAACAATCAATCCTGTGGTCACATTCAATAGTATGCCAAGGAGTATATTTGGTAGTAGCCTGGCCGAAGTTTCAAGGGGTGACAAATGTTGAATCTTCTGGAAGCTATCAAGATAGGTTAAATAGAACGATTTGCGCATGGGTCGTTGTTGAACATACAATAAACTGAGGAAAAGTTCCGACCCCTGAAGGACTCCCCACGTCAGCAGAACGACAAGGGAAATTGAAACAAATGTATTGTTCTTCCACATTGAGTTTGGAATCAATACTGGCTTTCCACGCCTTTCTTGAAAATCCATCCAGAATACAAATACCGGCATAAGTGTCAGCGAGATAACTATCAAGATAATCTGCGGGATAGCATATATGTTTGATATGTTTTCTGTGAGAACTCTGCGTTGCAGATTGTTTTTAGTAATGACTGCCATTCCTAAGGGAGATAGTGACATACGCGCAAATGTAGCATATTATGCCCAGGCAAGTGCTCGCAATCAATGCACCAATCCAATCGATTTCATAGAGAACACTGCGCCAGTGAAAGTTGGGGCGCTCCAAATCTGCAGGTAAAAATATAATACCACATAGTGAAAAAGCGAGACCAATTCCGGCGCAAGCGTGGAATCCAAAGCGCCACCCACCCGGAGCAGTTGCAAATAGCCCTTCCAAAACCATACCCAGAGAAAACCCTAGGGGCTGGGACAGACCTAGGCATGCGAAGCCAATGTTGCGCCGCTTTCCAGGTGGAAATGACCTAGTAATGATGCTAACCCCGGTAGGAAGGCACATAGACACGCTAAGTCCTTCAACAAGGCGGAACATTATCAAGGATAGACCTGACGTTGCGATGGCGGATCCGAGGGCAGAAATAGTCAAAAGTATAGTACCGGTGATATTGATAAGGCGATCACCAACCAAGTCCGCGAGAGCACCAGCTATAAGCAAGCAGCAGCCACTTGCCAACCTATTTGATGTCACATTAGCATATTCGCCGATAACTGCAATGAGTGCGTGGATTCATCAAACAGATACGTACGCAGCAACCGACGAAGGCCTAGAAGGTTTTTAGTTATATGTTAGCGAGTTTCTTTTTATATCAAGATTAAGAAGTCAACACCATAGTAATAAATGATCTGGTATTTTCAGGTCCGTGGCGATATATGGTAGGCCAACCGCCAATAGGCCATGGGACATACTACTTGAGAATGTTATTCCAGATAAGCTCCCAATAATGAAGACTGCGACTGTTCTCGAAATTCGGGGTTGTTTAACCGCTGTTCTCGGGTCATCATTTTTAAGCAGCGGCTCTGAAGAAGCTGAAAACGACGAGTGAGAGGAGGAATTTGGCGACCTCGCTGTCTCCATGGTAGAAGTAGTATCAATAGTCGTGGTGCCTTGCGCCAAAAACGGAAAATGTAATAACAAGTATTATTTGCGCATGAAGTCAGGGAAAATACTCCGTATACGCAAATAATCAGGGTAGAAAAAAAGGAAAGTCGTTTCCACTTCAATGGAGTTGAAATGCCCGGAAAATTAACATTCAAAAACATGTTGTACGGAGTACAAAAAAGCCATGGCGACCGATTGGAAAGGCGAGCTGCCCGTTTTTGCAGCTTGACTTGGTCGATCTTTACGAAAGACTTCGTATAATCAGTCGCAATAGCAATCTTCGCACAGGTACAGAGTACGGCGCTTGATAGGGGTAGAGTCCTCGTAAAGAGTACTACCTGGTGACATAACTAACCTAATTTTGGAATTAACTAATCCGGAATAATATTATTCCGATATCTACCCATGCCCCTCTGAGTCATCCCGCTTTTCAACCATTCATATAGAGATTTGCCGATATTTGATACTGGCGCTAGAAAGAGCCTCTGCAATGTCCGCCCCTCCGAAAAAGCGATGTGGTAAGCTCTGCCGGGTCTTGCTCTTGAATTATCTGACTTTTTCTAGCTGTTTTAGGAGCAACCGGAGCGGTTGGAACGCGGTTCATCCTTCTGCTTGAGCAACACCCACTGCTTGAACTAGTAGCACTGGGCGCTTCAGACAGATCGGCGGGTAAGACGTACCGCGATGCCGTGCGCTGGAAGCAATCGTCCCCCATGCCAGCTATAGCTGCAGACTTGATTGTTCGCCGTTGCATTCCCACTGAATTCTCAGACTGCGAGATTATTTTTTCCGGGCTAGACCCAGATGCCGCTGGAGAGATTGAATTATCTTTTCTCAAGGCAAATTTCGCGGTCTTCTCTAACGCAAAAAATTACCGATTGGACCCCGTAGTGCCGTTAGTTGTTCCTCTAGTGAATGCGGGTCATCTCGAGGTAATTCCATGGCAGAGAAAACATTATGGTCTCGACAAGGGAATGATTGTGTGCAATTCAAATTGTGCAGTGGTTGGCTTGGTTATTCCAGCCAAGGCCCTTATTCAGAAGTTTGGGCCTATCGATGCTGTGAGCATGGTGACTATGCAAGCTGTTTCGGGGGCAGGCTATCCCGGGGTTAGTAGTAAGCATTGCCTCTCCGCTCATGTTGTCCTGCGCCTTACGTATAACTAAACCTTGCAGGCATGGACATTTTCGACAACATTGTCCCCTACATTCCTGGGGAAGAAGGCAAGATATCCACTGAAGCACGCAAAATTCTAGGTGACTTGACCTCAGACCTGGCTGGCTTTAGTGATCAAACACCTCTTAAAGTATCGGTTGCATGCAACCGTGTCCCTGTTTTAGATGGCCACACTGTGTGCGTGTCCTTGCGTTTCATGAACCGGCCGGCACCAACAGCAGACCAGGTTCGGGATGCGTTGAGAAACTACACATCAGAAGTTCAAGTATTAGGATGTCCATCCGCCCCAAAACATGCTATTCATGTTCTAGATGAAGTAGATAGGCCACAACCTCGACTTGATAGAGGTAATGAAGGCGGCTACGCTTGTACTGTGGGGAGAATCAGGGAGGATGACAGTGGAGTCTTTGATATCCAATTTGTTGCTCTCAGCCACAATACAATCTTGGGAGCATCAGGTAGTAGTATTTTGAATGTAGGTTGTGTTATCATTTTTGACTGTATTATACTTGACTGACCAAATTTTAGGCTGAGAGTGCTATCCTGAAAGGCTATATTTAATCTCAACTTCGGGCGAGTACTTCTATACTTAGCATCTGAGTATGGTGCATGCTATCGGAATTGAAAATAAAAAGTTTTGCAGGTACTCTTTCATTCACTTTGCGATCATATAGTTTCGATTTTCTATTAGAACCTTACCACATTATTTTAAACAGCTAGGTCTTTGTCGGGTTCTAGTTAGAATTATCATCCATAGTGCGTACTTTAGACTACAACACAACCGTGATATGATTCATAAGAAATATGGGGTTTGATAACTATGTTTGAAATGAGCTGTCCATCTCGGCCAACCCTCTCTCTTGTTCGATACTGAGTTACAGTATGCAACTCCTACTTTTGCTGCTTGCATAGTTATCCCTGTGACTAAAATTTTGCTAAAGGGTATGTACATACATACCCTGTACATTCAACCCAAAAGAGCATACAAGCTATAAAATCTTGATCAGTACTTGGTATCTTTTAGAGTTTAGAGTAGTTGAAGGTGTAGCCACTGCGGAGGTTGAGATACTCTGTACTACTGAGCTGGTATCCAATAGCAGATAAAATGCACTAGATAGCATACCATATATGCATCAATCATAATAAAGGATACAATGACGGAAGTCTGCAACGGAATGTATGTAAGTGCTGCATACATTCATAATTCATGGTAAATTTGATTATGTGCGAGTTCTTTCGAGGACACTCTCTGTCTTATTCTGAATACTTGGTACCCATTCAGACAATAAACAATTTTAAACGTGCTCCCGAAAAAGACCGCAGGATTTTGTTTGTTAGCCCACGTTAAAGGGTCTTGAATTGGAGTAGTTATATCTTTTTTACGGAGAGGCCGGTGGATCGTCGTCACCGGCCACTATGATTTCATCAAGAGTACCTTCGTAACTACCCAGCTGGAATCAAGAAGTATGCACGTACGCTGAACGGAGTAGTTGTATTATCATTAGATTCCCGCGGTTGTTGTGTTAGGAACTTAGTTGGATTGAACAACAAACCGACCAATAGGAAGGGCCCGAGATCAACTCGCTCTGCAGGTCACATGATTGGCCGGGAAGACGATAATTTGACTTCTCAATACCTCCAACAAGTCAAGCCAGCTACTTCAGGCCTTCCGCCCTCGACAAAACCTCAATCCCCAATTTGTCTGCCAGATATCCCTCGCCATGGCGTCCCGGCGACTAGCTTACAGTCTGAACGGTGCTCTCCGGAGTCGTGCTGCGTTACAAGCTGTGAAATCAACCCAACGAGGTTTTGCAACTCCAATTTCTACACCAGCCACAACGCAATCGACAACGCTTTCCAATGGGTTGACAGTAAGGGATTGAGCCTTTTGTGGAATTCTATGCTCACTGATGACTTAGATTGCTACCGAGTATTCGCCATGGGCGCAAACCTCGACCGTTGGTGTTTGGATTGATGCCGGCAGCAGGGCCGAAACAGACAAAACCAACGGCACAGCGCATTTCCTGGAGCATCTCGCCTTTAAGGTATATTTCAAATAATTTCTGCGCCAGGAATGATGCGATCCTGATACTTACGGGACGTAGGGTACTAATCGTAGAACGCAACAACAATTGGAACTGGAAATTGAGAATATGGGAGGTCACCTCAATGCTTATACTTCGGTATTCTCTTCACCGTTTAATTCATGAAGAAATTCCCTAACGAATTCTTTTTAGCGTGAAAATACTGTTTACTACGCCAAGTCATTCAATGCTGACGTTCCGAAAACCGTCGACATCCTGTCTGATATTCTTCAAAACTCGAAGCTGGAGCCTGTGGCCATTGAACGGGAGCGCGATGTGATCTTGAGGGAACAGGAAGAGGTAGATAAACAACTAGAAGAAGTGGTATTCGATCATCTTCATGCGACTGCATTCCAGAATCAGCCCCTTGGCCGAACCATTCTTGGCCCCAAGGAGAATATTCGGAGTATCCAGCGCCAGGATCTAGTTGATTATATTAAAACAAACTATACAGCGGATCGTATGGTTCTTGTTGGTGCCGGCGGCGTTCCCCATGATCAGCTTGTAAAGCTTGCCGAGCAGCACTTCGGGTCTGTTGCTAGCCAACCTCCAACGTCAGCTGCTTCCGCCCTTGCTGCTGAGCAGAAACGCGTTCCAGACTTCATTGGCTCTGACGTTCGAATCCGTGACGACACTGTTCCTACTGCTCACATTGCCCTTGCGGTTGAGGGTGTTAGCTGGAAAGATGACGACTATTTCGCTGCGGTAGTCACGCAGGCCATCGTCGGCAACTGGGATAGGGCAATGGGTAACTCCCCTTACCTTGGTAGCAAGTTGAGCAGTTTCATTAGCCATCACAACCTTGCCAATAGCTTTATGAGCTTTTCCACCAGCTACAGCGATACTGGGTAAGACGCACTCCCTCCCGTATCATTATACGGTCACTAATATCTCCTTGTAGTCTTTGGGGCATCTATCTTGTGAGCGAAAACAAGACAGCTCTCGATGATCTCGTGCACTTCACCCTCCGTGAATGGTCCCGCCTTTCTTTCAACGTTACCCCCGCTGAAGTCGAACGGGCCAAAGCTCAACTGAAGGCTTCCATCCTTCTTTCTCTTGATGGTACTACTGCTGTTGCTGAGGATATTGGCCGCCAGATCGTCACTACTGGACGTCGTATGTCTCCCCAAGACATTGAACGTGCCATCGACAAAATCACAGAGAAAGATGTCATGGACTTCGCACAGCGAAAATTGTGGGACCAGGACGTCGCCGTTAGTGCATACGGTAGCGTTGAAGGCATGCTCGACTACCAGAGAATCCGCAATGATATGAGCCGGAATGCAGCTTAAATTGCCTTCCTCCACAAAATCCCCCACTCACGTTGGCCTCCACTGGCAAAATATCTGTGAGGCCATTTTTTGATAGACCGGCAGTTTGATCCATAGCCATATTGTACAGTACTGGAGACCTTATATCTACTGACACTCGCAATATTTTCCTTTATTCTATTTAGAATCATCTCTTTTTGTTGTGCTATTTTCATATTAGTTACAAAAAGAATACAGGACCTTCCCCGGAAAAGATGCCCCCCTGTATACCCAAGGAAAATCGTTGCTTGTGTGAATTATGGAGTATTAAGGCTCTAATTGATGAATTTAAGCAAGGTTAAATCACACAGGTGTTTCTCTGGCTTTTAAACAAATCTTAAAACTATTCCCCAAAGTCGCACGGATTCAGAATGCGATTACGCTTGAATAATACTAAAGCGGCTATATAACGCTTCGAGTTACGTAAAAGGAAGCCACCCAGCACACTTAGGCATAACATGCACTGAGATTGGAGTGTTTCAACGCGAGGTGCAAGACATAAATGGCCAATGTGCAGTTTTTGATATAGCCTCTTATTAAAAAATGGACAACATGTAGGAAGTGCAGAGCAACCAAAGAATCCACACAAAAACGCCTGTAGACTAGAATCAAAACACCATATAAACATTCAAACATTAAACTATTCAAGAAGGTCGGTAGGCACCAACAACTATACAGTGATCACGCTCAAATGGTTCTAGAATGGCAGATTAGTGACCTGCAAGATTCTTAAAGATAAATGAAAAGTAACTCACCAAGTGTCAGCTGTTCTTTTGGTTTTATTCTTTCTTCTCTCATCTTCTGTACTTCTCTTGCAAACACAACCTCAGGTTTTGCTGTGCTGTCAATGCAGTTTGCTTTTATACTAACAAGGACACCACCACCAGCTTTTAAGAATAAATGGGCATTCAGACCAACAATACGGGCTTGATCGGGTTGAGCAACATCAGCAAATATGGCATCAACCATCCCGACAAGCATTCTATAGCGAAGAGGGTGCCGAGCATCCTCAACTATTGGTATGACATTCGTCCTGTGGGTCGCCATGCCAACCAAATCTCGTCCAGAACGATGAGAGAACTCGACCGCAAAAACAGTTCCTGTTGGGCCAACAATATCGGCAACATGACTGACGGACGTGCCGCTTGCAGCACCGAGATAAAGGACCTTTGCGCCAGGTCTGATGTATATTTCGTCGAGACCGCCGAGAATACCGGCAGCTAACTTGCTACGGAAAGGATTCCACACACGGTATTCGATTTTGGTCGAAGTGTCTTGGCCATCGATTGTAGCTGGAGATTCGACGGAGATACGTTTTTCGCCGTACACAGCCTCTCCGGGAGTCAAATTCTTGGTAACCAACAGGTCTTCTTTACCGCCCCTCGCAACAAAAACGCCCGCGTGACGATGTGGTTCCTTCGGGGAGTAAAAATCATATGAGCCTTCCCATCATAATATAACACCCTCGCGCAAATAACAGGGTAGCGATATAGGAGTTTTGAACGGGGACCTACAATGATAACTTTGGCGCCGCCCCTCGCACCAGGCTTCCCACCACGGCCAGCTCCACGACCACCCCTTGCCGGGCCACCTCGACCACCTCTTCCACCGCCACCACGGCCACCTCCACGACCTCCCCGAGCACCTAGTCCGCCTTTTAACCAAAGAGAAATCGTTAGCCACAGAGCAAATGTCAGTCATCTCTGTAAGCTAGAGATATCGAAGAAGAGGAATAGTTCTTTATTCAAAGCCAAGTCAAATCGACCAGACTAAGTATATATCACGCACCTCTACCACCGCCCCGTCCTCCGCCACGGACACCTCCGCGAGGAGGGCCACCACGTGCACCCCCACGTCCACCACGTGCGAATGCCATTGTACTATTTGATCGCAGAGTGTAATGGATGAAAAATCACGGTTGAGTGTATCGCCCAGGTCGTTCTGGACGAGGTTGTAGCCGTGAATTTCTTAGCGGTCGATTTAGAAGTAGGGAATATCGGAGCTGCGCGAGGCCCGCCGGAAGGGGTTCAGGGTTGGCGAAATGGCCAAACAGAAGATACCTCAACACCGTGAGATGAGAATAACAGTATTCAGTGTGTTGGGTGGAATATTTTGTTTGGAGTTAATCTCGACCTTCAAGCAAAAATTTGAAATTTTGGAGCTTTCAAGCAAAAAATGGTCGAAGCCAGTGCTAACGCAATTTAGTTAGTCGTATTAGTCCTGTGGGCAAAACAGCTATTTCACGTGACCATTCCCAATACATCACGTGGTGTGTCCTGCCCTAAGTAGGAGTACGGAGTACAGTTTGCACCAAGAACCATGTATGTACTCCGTATATGCAAGCGATCCGTCACTATAATAAAGAAAATACAAGAAAGACTATAGATGCAACATCTGCATATATTTGTCGCGAAAATGTCGACCTTTTGAAGGAAAATGTGGCTACTCCAGTGTTCCTTTCAACCATAAAACCAATACTGGCAAGAATATTGCACCTCTATATCACTTGGTTGGTTCTCGCAAGTTGCTGGTGGCATACCTCCAGCCGTTTCTACCCGATAAACGGTTCGGGCCTCTCCGTCGCTCTCCGGAATGGACTCAAGAAACAGCCATTGGACTGCACCGTTTGCCTGACCCTGAGGTCCTGGCATGGCATTTTTCGGGGCGTCGACTCCTCCAATTTTCCTCACAGATGATGCGCCTTTATTGGAAAGGTCGAAAACTGCGGTAGTGCCATTACTGAAATAGTGGTGCCCCATTACCATCATTCTAGCGATGCCAGGTGTCAATGAAAATAGCGCTGGCTGCCTGAGATGAACAGCTGCCCGTGTAAGGGACGATAAGAGATGAGGATAGGTAGATGCTATACAGCTAGCATCGAATAAGGTGGCTATGGCTCCCTTCGGGGTTGGCTTTCCGGAGCTGGATGATGAACAGGTGTAATTCTATACTCAACCGCGGGCTTGTCAACTCTGATCCGTATGCATCCACATATGTGATACAGTAAATATATGTACCTTGGGGATAAGAGAACTGATTGAGAGCTTACCTGAGTTCCTCGACCAACCGCTACGCCCAGCAATCTTTGTCCTTTAGGGATATTAGGAAGGGGCTCCAAGGTGTGCGGAAGCTTTGCCTTTGAAAGATCGCAGCCCATGAGTTGAAGGGGAACACGAAGTTTTTCGATTTCTTTCCCAACAGAAGAGTAGAATTGGGCTTCATCTTCAGACCAGCCGGTTGGCATTGACAGCGTCGCCAGGACGAAGAACAATAAGATAAGTATAAAACGCATCGTCGCGAAGACAGGGAGAAAGGGGCTGCAAGATAAATTGGGAAGCACAGCTTCTAGAAGAATAGAATGTGGGCAAACAAAAACCAGGCAAGACGATGTGACTCGCTGAGTATCAACAAAGAAATCGCATGGCAACAAACCGAGCGCGCGAACATGACTGGATTGGGTACTCTATGGACGCCTTATATATGATCGCCGTGCAACTATCCCTCTTCTTGGGGTCGTACATATCGTCGCGTGGGCCCTGGCATCTTTCACGACTTCGAGGCGCCGCAAAGAATAGAAACAAATCCGTGGACCAATAGGGCGCCGAAAGACCGTGACGATCGAAATGCAGGAACCTGTTCTATCTTTAGTGACGACATATGATTGGCATAACTGGTATTAGTGGCGGCAACGAGCAAGCTTGGCATGCGGGTGATGACTCAGCGCGGTTGAGCTGGTTTTATCAGACGAACCTGCCACGACTAAAATGGTGAACACCTGTTCAACAGGTTTGCATCCCGGCAGGAGATGTAAATATATCTGGCTGGGCAGTGACCAAGAGCCGGTCCTGGCTCTAGTATCTCACCCCCGTGGGGAAACGGGGATGGTATCCTGAAAATAGGCATTGCCGGCTATATCTCTTGGTATTGGACAATAAACGCCCAAGTCCCGAACTCTTGATGAAACTGTAGGATTCCTCTATTCCGGGATACCTCCAGCGGCTTCATAATTATTGTTGAGCAGTAATTATTAACGTAGTTTCAAGTCCGCAATTTATCTCCCTGGCTTCTGTTACCTGTAATGCCACATGACTGTTTTTTCCAACTATCCAACAAATATTTTCGTCCTTGAGTAAAATATGTAATTTTATAAATAATTAAAATGTAATTCTACATACCCCATGACCCTTATAGGACTAAAAATATGTATGTCGTTTGCATCATCCCTCTATGAGTTTCCGGAAGATGTACTGACACCAACAATATGAAATAATATAATACCAGAATGATGCCTCCTTGGGTAAGTAGACGACTGAAGTTTGTATTGTATATGTTTTCTCAATTTTTTTCTGACATTCAAACATTTAAGACACAGCAAGATCCCGAATTTCGCACATTCCAAAAGGTCAGTCTCCTATAAAATTACCCCTGGTGGCATACACGCTGGTGCACAATACGAAAAGGGCAAATGGGGTGTGATGGCCCAGCACAAGATGAGGAATGTGGGAGTAGAGGGTCTCCAGTGTAACTACCCAGCCCCCATAACAGTATGTAAAATTGTTTCAAGAAACGGCAAGGGGATACCGTCGAGAGGATAGAGTAAAATGAAAACTCAACTTAAATTCTCCGTGCCGGTTTCAGCAAAGCCTGAAATGACGTTTCCACAGCCTTTTTTAGTTCTTTATAGCTCACAATGAAGCATGATTGTTCGTCACGACTGATCAAAGTAATCTTCTCGTCGACTCCAGCGTCCAGCTTATTTAAACAAGTTAGAGCATGACATAAATCAACAACGGGCGAGTTCTGCGCGTCGACTTGGTGGAAAACGAAGTCCCGGAACAATTTGAGGAAATATCGTTCCCCATTTTCAGACCACTGGCGGTCATGTTCATACTCTGGTCGTTCGTTAATGAAGTTAAGTTTGGTGACTAGCCGAACAAGTCGAGCATTCTCTAATTCACGGCTAAGATCTGAGATAAGCTGGTCGTCGAGGTGTAGAGAGGAGTCGAAAGTGGATATTAGCTGTGATGAGATGCCAGAAATGAAGACATCGATCGTCCGCTCTTGATCTTTTTGCATACAGTTTAGTAGCCAGAAGACCGAGTTGTTCAATTGCCCGCTGTAGATGCGACTGAGGCGTTCCATGGCCTTTGTTGGATTGTGAGCAACAGAGGATGAATTAACACCAAGCGCTAATATAAGTTGACCGAAGTTAACTAAATCTTGTTGCTGAAGATCAGCGAGAGGCCTTTGCGAATCAAACTGTACGACATCTAGGATAGCGCAGGCGTTCAACCGAACTCGGTTCTTGCTAGTGAGAAGAATCTTGCTGGGCTCAATAACACGAGCCGCTAAGCCAGCGGTATGAATTGCTTTCAAGGCATTTGCGATTTGCGTCACATAGCTCCACAGTATCTGCTCCGGAATATGGCCAGAATTATGGCGATTCTGATAGCGACCATGGCCATCAACAAGGTGTTGTTCGGCGAGTGTTTTGGATAACGGGTGATAATCCGTGACGAAAACAAGCGAGCTATCTTGAAAACTGCGATTGGTGAAGGCGTCGTGAACAGTGACTACACTTCCACAGCTCACCCGTTTCCAGTTTTGCACTGATCGAATCGCTTTTTCATTCGTCAATCGAAATCCTACGAGGAAACATTAATGTTCATCTCAAAAACGTCGAGGTGTGCCGCGTACCCTCTAGCCGCCTGAGAACATAAAAATTTCCATCCTTGCTGGATTGTGCTTTATATACCCAACTAGGATACCCAAAAATTGCAGCATTTTTTTGATGCGAAAGGTCAAGCGGTACAAGTGAGTGAAAATAGTCTATCTGGGCGGGAAGCTGAGAGTCTTGAACCAAAGTTAATATATATAAATGACCAAGTCAAAAAAGCCTTACTGGGTAGTGTCTGAAGTGTAGCCGCTGCTTTCTTTTGTAGTTCTTCTCGAAAGGAATTTGGTAGGAATAGATCGTGTACATTTCGTTGGTAGCCTAGAATGTTCTGGTTATGTGGTCCAACGGGGGCATATAGATGGTATTGGACCTGATAAATCAATATTTAGAAAAGATAGCAGAGGGTAAAATACAACATACTGGTTGTTGGAAAGCACTCTGGGCCCCAAAAAAGGCGGGCCCACCCATCGCTGACGGGTCGTGTGAGTACGGATTGGGTTGTACCTGGTGGCCAACAGCGCTAGAGCCCCCCGATGACGCAGTAGATGAAACGAACGGATCATAGCATGGAGCTGAAAGCGTTCCGTTGCCGTGTCCATGAATTGTATCCTATACCATTTCAGTAAGAATGTGTTTAAACCAATGAGACGTTCGCTAATGGTGGTAAATTGAACAATGCTAAATGAAGTCACCTGCCTGACAGCCGACTTACCACTTGTGAACTGTCAAAACCCTGAGGAACGAAATCTTGGATTTCGCCGATTGACCAATCAGGTGTAGAGCTATCCGCTACATTTTGAGGCGTTGCAGCATTGGATCCTGAACAATGCCATTAGCGTTTTGCCAGTTGTTCTAGTATAAGATAGATAAGGGTGTATACGTGATAGTACGCTCTTAGGGAGGAAGGGGGCAGCGCTGGCAGCTTTGGGAGAGATTGTTGCAGACTTCTTCAGACCAGATGACCCATTGAGAGGTGTAGCGGCCGGTGTGAAGCTCGGCGAGTCAACATTTAAACGCTTTTTGGCACTGAATTATTTATGCCGTTAGAGATTGGGTGGCTACCGTGGTGGGGAAGGATAACTTACAATTCAGCACTTTGCGTTACATTGCCTCTTTGCGGGTCATGATTAAATGCGCAGCCTTGAAATTTTAAAAGTCAACTCGACTCCTCGACACATAGGTACAGCAAGCAGGAGGCTCCCAAGACCTTTATCCTCATATCGACAGCGGCCATATATTGTCACATTGCGGCAAAGTGTGTCTTTGGTGTGTTCTATACAACATGAGTATTTAGAATAGGTTGAAATGAGAACTTTAGCACCGATAACCCGCGGTTGGTATTCAATATAGTGTAGGGCAACTGCTCACCGCGTCCTTTGAGCTTCGGAGAGCCAGTACTCCGTCTACTGTCATCAAGATTTGGTTTTCCTGCCGAAGCCATCACGGATCCAAGGGCTGATTAGCACAGCGACAGCTCCATCGACTTAAAGAAATCGAACTTCGGATGAATGAAACGATCCAAGGTGGCTGGCGGGAGCTGCATTCCTTAGAACAAACAGAGCCGGGGCAGGACAGGAGATTGGAAGGGTGCGGTTGTCGGAGGCAGCGAGAACTTGGGGATCAATATGGCATGCAGGTTGGTGGTACTTAGAGCTCAGATTGGTAAGAGAGAGATAGTTTTCTTGCGATGGCGAACGTTGCTGTAAGAAGCACTCCATATAGAGCGAGCATACTGAACGGCGACTGCTCCCTCGCTCGAGTTGGCGCGGCTGGAGTCATTGGAGGGCGCTAGCGAGCGCTAGTCCGAATTCAGCTAAAGCCTTGGCTAGTTAACGTGAAAACCGTTTGCGCTGTTTGCAACTGCCAACCTACTTTCGCCTGGACGAGGATTGTGACCAAAACCTTGGCCCAAGCAATGCTGCAATACAGAGGGCTTTTTATTGACTCTTTGCGTAATAGTTCTGCTGTGGGCGCAATATAAACTGCTTGCGCCAACCTCTCCTAGCTCTCTGTTGGTTTTCCATCACATGTTTCCTGTCAGGGTTTTTCCAGTCTCTCTGAAGCAACGAACCGGATATTGGGAAAGAGGCTGTGGCCTTACTCTTCCCCTACGGCGATGTTGCTTTTGTCTTTCCTTTCTTATTTTCTGCTCATTTTCTACTCATTTCTCCATGAAGACTTGGGCTCTAGACACTGAATCGTGAAATTTCTCAGCCTTCTTATTGATCGCCTGTGTGACTTTCTATGCTCTAGTGAACATGAATTCCCCCAGGCCGGAAGGTTGGCACACGATAAAGTCTACTACTTCCCGTAAAATACCTCGGCTACCTACTAACTATACTCTTGGTCATTACTCTGTAGCTTTCCTCACGCAGCACAAGAACCCCCTAATATTCCAAGCTTTTGAATGGAATATCCCGGCCGACTATCAGCATTGGAACCGTCTGTGCGACATTCTTCCGTTCTTGAAAAAAATTGGAGTCAGCTATATGTGGATCCCTCCGGGATGTAAAGGCATGGAACCAGGGCAGAATGGGTACGATATTTATGATCTCTATGACATTGGGGAATTTGATCAAAAAGGGGCAATTGCCACTAAATGGGGAACAAAGGCAGAGCTGCAGGGCTTTGTTCAAAAAGCTAGCGAAACTGGCATCCGGATTGTATGGGACGCTGTCCTTAATCACAAAGCTGGAGGCGATAACAAGGAAACATGCTTAGCAATGCGAACAAGCTCTAGCAGTATGTCATTAGATCATACCCTACCGTATTGAACAACCCTTTCTGATTGGTGCTGGAGATCGGCTTATTGACTGCGATGAGGAGCCCAGAGAAATCGAAGCTTGGCTTGGGTTTGAGTTTCCTGGCCGTGGAGATGTGTACAGCGCTATGAAATACCACTGGCACCACTTCAGCGGCGTAGACTATGACCTTAAAACCGGGACCAAGGCTATTTTCCGGATTACTGGGGATAATAATCGCAGTTGGGCTACCGACGTGAGCAAGGAGCGAGGGAATTACGACTACCTTATGTTTTCAGATGTGAATTTCTCCAATCCTGATGTAAAGGAAGACGTTAAGAACTGGATTCAATGGCTTTATCGTCAGATTCCCATTGGCGGCCTTAGACTGGACGCCGTGAAGCACTATTCCCGAGCGTTTTTAATGGAATTTATCCTTCATATTAAAGACAAAATTGACCCTGACTGGCTGTTTTTTGCCGAGTACTGGACCGATAACGTCTACGAGCTCATGGGATATTTAGAGCGGATGAAAAATCTTGTGATGCTTTTCGACGTCCCATTAACCCATAACATATCCCGAATTTCGCAAGAAGACGGCGGCGATCTTCGGCGACTATTCAACCAGACTTTAGTTCAACACCTCCCCGACTACGCAGTGGTACGTTGCGGGCTCTATGACCCGGTATACATACATCTAGGTACTAATTTCCCGTAGACATTTATCACCAATCACGATACAGTAAGTTTCCGATGCATCCAAACAGCCCATGAAGGGATCTAATGCCCCTTCAGCAAGCCGGACAATCTCTAGAAGTAAGAACTCCTTTATTTATTTGTTTATTTTTGTGGAGCTGCTTACTTTCTGCGTGTCGACAATTCCAAATACTCATCCTAATGACTTGATAGCTTCCTGTAGAACCGTGGTTTAAGCCACTTGCTTATGCTTTAGTTCTCCTCCGAAAAGAGGGATTACCCTGCCTCTTTTACGGTGATTTGTACGGCACTCAGGACAGCGCCTTAAATGCCCCGGAACCCCCGGTTGCCAATCTAGCATTAATGGCATTGGCGCGCCGACTCTATGCTTACGGGCCCCAAAGAGATTACTTCTCAAAACACTGCGTAGGTCGGTTTCCGCTTCCCAGCATGTCCCTCGAAAACCAATCCTAATATTAGTTAATGAAATAATGGCTAGGTTTTGTGCGGTTTGGAAACACGGATCATCCATTCGGACTTGCCTGCCTTCTAAGCAACGCGCGCCATTCTTCTAAATTCATGTATGTCGGCAGGAACCACGCTGGGGAGAACTGGACTGAGGTTTATGGAACCTATGGTGGGACTGTCAAAATAAATCGTCTGGGATACGGAAAATTCAAAGTGATGTCAAAGAGCGTTAGTATATGGACTAACAGTCAGGCTGATGGTAGAGAGGCATTTCATAGCCTATCAACTGAATATACACGACTCTAAAGGGAGAATATACTGTGTTGTCTACTCTGGGCCATGAAGCACCAAACTATTTGGGCTGATTCAAAAAGCCTAATCCTACTTTTATGGTGGAACCATTATGGCTATATCGCACCACATTTCTCGACACTAGAAAGACAACCAAATGGCTCTTCTTAAGATGATGTCCTGAAATAGTACTCTGGAACTGGTTCTACACCGCACAATGAGATAGCGGTTACCCCGTGTTACAATACGGGTTGAGATTTTCTGGATGGCTCATGCTGCAGATGTTTTCTTGTCCTTGATGTGGCAGAAAGCCACATCCGCCTTATGCAAGGGTTTCTTTATCAAACTGACATGGGTAAGACGCTGCTAGGTGTACTTACTGAGCAAAGCTTCAAGGCAAGGAACCATGTCTAACATTGTCCTTGTACTTCGTACTATGTTACAGCTGCATGCATGTACATAAATACCTATGCCTTTTCTGGATGCATGACAATAGGAGGCACTTCTGTAATCCTTCAACAGGAATACCCTTTACGGCTTAATAGGAGAATGGAATGTTGCTGCATTAGGAATAGAGAAATTAGACCAGAAGCCACCTTTTAGTTTTAAGCCATTGCAGCATGCAATTTGGCAGGTGATATTTTCTCTACATACAGCACAGATATCGTTAAATAATTACAATAAACAACTGGCTTGGTTCTAATCAACCACGCATACTATTTTACCTTTTGTTTCGTTTTTTTCTATCATCTCATGTGCAAGACAGATATCCGTCCAAGAAAAAACTTTCTCAGTGTAATGCTCAAGTGTTCCGCCTGCAAGCCCTGGAATGACCTCTTTCTCAAACAGCTCTCTGATTTTGGCTTGATACTCCAGGTCTCGCGAACGAAGAGTGCTCCCTTCTACCCTGGCTCGTTTCCTCAGCAGAGGCGCAATGTTGACCTTTTCGGGAAGAACCGAGCCACCCATCAAGCCAAGGATAACAACGCGGCCATCCTGTGCCAATAGATCAAGGTTCGATTGAAAGTACGAGGCACCTACGAAATCAATAACTAGATCTATGCCATTTCCGCCATTCTGCCTCTTCAGCTCATCGACCCATTCGGAGTTATTGGTATTTTCTGCGAAATCACAGTGCAATTGCTCAATGCAAAAGGCGCATTTGGCATCTGAACGCGATGTTGCGAATACCTTGGGAGGAGAAGGCGGGTTTCCGGTCGTTGATTCTTGACGAAATGTCGGGTTAAGATGCGCCATTTTCGACAGTTGGATTCCCGCAATCGACACAGAAGAGGCGCCTGCATGCCAAAGAATGGAGCGCGTACGGTAGGGGTCATAGCCACCAACAATATGAAGTGCTTGAAGGGCCGTAAACCACACCTGCAACGAAGATCATTCAGCGAGGGCGATCCTTTGAGGTATTATCAAGAAAGGGTTCAAAGCAGACCTCGCAGAGCCCTGCAGCGTACCCCCAGCTCCAATCTTGCGGTTTTTTGATCAGCATTCTCTTATCGACCACCACGTACTCTGCATACCCGCCACCATATAAGAGTCCAAACACCTCATCTTGGGCCGCCCACTTGGGAATATCGTCTGCTGTCTCCTTGCCGGCACCAGCCTCCTCGACAATGCCGCTGAATTCCAGGCCCAGGATGCTAGTCACGCCAGGGGGAGGAGGATAGGCACCCGCGCGCTGGAGTGTGTCAGCTCTGTTCAGGCCAAAGGCTTTCACCCGAACGAGGCACTGGTTTGCCGAGGGTTTAGGTTTGGGGATGTTGGGATTGATGAACAACGCAGATGCATTGCCTTTACCTCCCTTCACGTCTAAGGGAGAGGTCGATCAGTAAAGTCAATTTCGTTGATTGGAGGTGCTTACCGACTGCTCTCATCACATCCGCCATCCTTGCGCGGGGTTAGCAGGTAGTATACGGAGTAGCTGTGCGACGTAACGGCAGCCTATTCTGTTTTACATATGGTTGACTCGCTGGTCGCAATTTAACTGAAGATTAGGATGCGCGAATTCTGCAAGTCAAAAGGCATCGTCTGTCGATTGATTGGTAATTACTCCGTAGTTTATCTGTAATCCGTGCGGAGTTTCTCTGTCGTCATTGTCATTGAGTTAGTTAAGTAGTTACTTAATTAGCTAGATAGTTAACTAGTTAATTGGACACAACTGCAAACTATAAAACTAATCAGTGGATGGGGACTGGTTTCCATAATACATCAGATTGGTACATCTAATTAATTGGCTCTATCTCCACCATTATTCCTTCAACGAAGCTTATCTGCCGAATAAAATGTGAATTGAAAATACAGATATATGTATGTACTTAGATTGCTTTATTTAAAATTCAGCTCTCCGCCTTCCACAACAAGCCGGATGACTTCCTTGTTGAGTCCCCGCCAATGCTTTTTGGCCCGTAGGTACCAGAAGAGCAGTGCGAACAGCGTGCTGGCAGTGAATATTGGAAGAGAATAATTCATATTCTCACCAGTGACTGGCAAAAGAGATGGGAAAGGGAGCCAGATAATGACATAGAGTGTATAGATAATAGCAAAAATGTTAACTGGCAGCCCAAGCTTACCCATCTTCCATTCACCAAACTGGAGAGTATCTTTTTGAAAGAACCGGGCATGAACCATGCATCCAATAGCGATTAGGTATGAAGTGAAAAGGCCAAGTGATGAGAGTGCAATGAAAGCACCAAAGGCTGTTATGCTAGCAACATTCAGACATGCAAGAACCATGACAATTGCAATTGGAAGCCAAACTGCGCGGACAGGAACACAATGCTTGTTGTCAATCTAGAGGGAAGATGTCAATGCAATGTCTGGTACTAAACATTCAATGAGAGCTTACGTGTGAAAACCAGCTTGGGAGAGCCCCGTCTCGAGACCAAGCCCAGGTCAAGCGCGAAGTAGAAGCAATGCTAGCAAGGTTGACGGCCAGCGATATGATAAGTAATCCACACACCATTGAAGTTGCAGCTTTGACAGAACCAGTGGCTTGCCGGCAGATCTCAATTATTGGGAAACTCGACTTCAAAGCATTGTCTAGGGGGCCCATTGTAAAGAGAATCACAATAATTATGGCGTAGGCAAGGACGCTATTGGTCGCAACGGTCCAGAAGATAGATCGCGGCATGGCCTTTTTGGCACGTCGGACTTCCTCGCTCATGTGGACGGCGCCATCAAAGCCTAGGCCAGTTAATATTTAGATCGAATATCATAGAGAATCATATAGCGCATACCAACAAACCCCCATGTCGGAGTAAGCAGTCCAAGGTTCCAGGAAACAAACTTATTGTTCCAGCCCGATGAAGATGCCTCTTTGGTGAAAACAAAGCTTGGACTATGGCGTGGAGCCAACGCCACAAGGACCACAACGAAGACAACAAACAACACGATGTGAAGAATGCCGGCGATTAATTCTACCCATGGTATAAGCCAGAAAGTATACATATTCATCAGCCCTTCGACGATGAGGATTGCGAATATAATTAGAGTAAGATGCCATCGCTCTGGCACATAGTTGGGATAGTTGACAGTAATTAGGCCCTGGATCATATTGGCCGTGGTGTTTGCGACGCCAGCGAGAAGGGAAACCCAGGCAAACCATGTAATCCAGCCTACTTGGTCAGCTACTTGGGTGTTTTAGAGGAATAAAGGTTGCTGTTTTAAATTCACCTTGCATCCATGTAATGAATCTTCTATGCTTAGCAGGTGCTAAGTGGTGAGTCCAATGGTATTGTGCACCAGCAATAGGCTGCATAGCCGCCATTTCGGCGAGAGAGGCAGACTGTGCCAGTGCTCCCGCAACTACAACAAAGATACCCCATGCCAGGGCCTGCGGACCGCCATTAGTGAAAACGGCTAGCAGGTTGCTACACTGGCCATTAGTGATGTCGTAGCTATGTTGGGAGAGCTGGCTGCATACAGAGCCATGGTTTCCCAGCTGGACATAAAAGTTAAGGCGAAGAAAAAGATCTGTGTAAAATTGAACAGCCTCTATTCCGACGTAAAAAGGTTAGCGACAGCATCGAAGGCCTCCAAAGCTAATTGACTGCACGGATACCTTCACTCTAGTTTGATCTTCGGCGACCCTCATACTGTTCGCTTCAAACTCTTTGCTGTTTTCCTTTGGAGTATCCGTGCTCTGTGAATCTGTGGCAGCCTCTTGCTTCCCCGAGACTTGTAATTCATGAGCCTCCATGATGCAGTACTCTGCAAGGTGCGACCAAGTCTGTATCCGGAGTACAAGGAATCAAAACACATAAAAGGAACGCAAAAATTAGATTGATGGCAAAATTCAACAGTCCGGATCGTTGATTCTCACAGAGAAAAAAAAGAAGGGAGGATAAATTAGAAACAACTGGTCCGACGGGATTTTTGCTGAAGCCCCAAGGAAGCACGGCTTCAAACTGGCCGCCGGAGGCCATGAACTCCGGCGAGAGTGCCCGCATAACTAGTTAGCCAACTTCGACCAGGAAGCGTGGTCTGCACCCAAAATCAAGCCAGCGCCAATTTCGTATTTGAGTTACGGCACCGCATGCTTTGCCTGCATGGGCGCATCAATAGACCCTTGCCCCATCCATCCTGTGCCAGAACGTGCCACGAGTGCTTTCAGCTTATCGAGGGGGTGACTGCTCCAAAGAGGTGGGACGGCCGGAAAAATTGCAAAATAGCCCGGTTAATGACCAGCCACGCAAGGGTGCAAGGGGAAGGGGTAGCAATAATGCGCACACAAAGGCGTGGGATGACCTGCAGGCGCCAGGGATTAGCAGGAGGAGCGAATGTCGTTTGTGTCCTCGCGATGTCCGGTGTTGTGACGCTGAGTCAGCGGGCCATGCCGGCCGCTCATGTAAGCCGCCAGATACCCGCTGATTGGTCTGTAGGAGATTTCCGAACATGGCTAGCGGCACCGCTCTGTTGCGGCTCGGATGCCGGTTCCGCCAACCGAAGCCGCGGCTAGCTTGTTTGGCGCCGCCCGGCTTGGCATCTTGTCGCTTTGTTGACCTGGACCCAAGCCTCGCGATTCTTTTTCTCGTAATCGACAAGGTGCAGCAACCTCGCCTATACATTTATTGCGGCTGCGGGTGAATGCTCATCTCTCCCCGCGAGATATCTGCTTTATTCTTGGCCCAGATCCCACAGCGCTGGTTGAGCTTAGACGTTTCAGGATGCCCTTGTCTGGCTGACCAAGCCAATGGTGCGAATGCTGCCTTCTTGATAACCCCATCTTAGCCCCAATCGAGACCCATTATGCGCCGTCATGCAAATTGAGGGCTTACGAACCCCGAAACTTGAGGTCTTTGTGTGTCCAATCTTACCAGAAAATTAATACCTGTACCCATTATCAACATGGCTGCCAACCCTCAATTCCCAACGTTTTTGTTTTCTGTCTTTCCAGCTTCGGAAGAAAGCCTTCTGTGTTTCCTTTTATTTCGCGTTTCTTTTCTTTTTACATGGTACCGTTCCAATGTCAAACCATGCCCAAGATACCTTGCTTCCGCCCCTTTTGCCCATCACTCCCGACGACCACGGCGGATATGTCGTGGTGACAAGCATTCTTCTATTGATCTTGACCTTTCTTAGTGTCGGGGTAGCATTTACGGCGCGAGTCAAAATTCTTGGGAGTCTTTTGATAAGCGACTGGGTCTTGGCCACTGCTACAGTGAGTTGTCGCTGTTGATTCCAAGATATCTCTCGGAGGGCTAACTAGCAGGATTTAATAGATAATTTTTTTGGCTGAAAGTATATGCATACGGTATGCCTGCTTCTATGGCCTTGGACGTCATCGGATGTCTTTGACGGACACATTTTTTGAACAATATAGCAAAGTGCGCAGATTTCAAGCTTTCCCGGAGAAGAGACAGTAAGAAACTTACGAAGAAATGAATAGTATCTTTATGCAAGCCAGATACTCAGCCATCTCTGCGTAGCATGCACCAAGTTATCCATGGTTCTTCTCCTGATATCTATTAAACCGCTACGTCACGTTCTCATCGCTTGCTACTACACATTTGGATTGATCAGCCTTTGGTGCCTTTCTGGGATATTCGCACTGGCCTTCCAATGTGATCCCCCGCGACCATGGGATTTCACCCCAGGGAGATGTTTAAATCAAGAAGGTCTTTATACTGCGCTGGACATTGGAAGTATTATTACCGACCTAGCCATCGTTATCCTTACTTGCGCCTTGATAATGCAGGTGCAACTTTCTCCAAAGAAACGGGTAACCATTGCAGCTCTCTTTTCCACTAGGATCATGTATACATTCCCCATATTCCACGTTGTGAGACGCTGCTAACCTTTCTGACAGAGTTGTTGTTTGTACGGCGATATCTCTAGCTAGGTATTCTCCATTTTTCCACTTCAGCCCGATCGACCAACCGTGGCAGGCTGTGGATCCTTTAATTTGGACACAGGCTGTTCTTAGCGTGTCTATCATCACTGCTTGCGTTCCGGGTCTCAAGCGAGTTTTGGCGGATCTTCGGACTGGGCTTATGGCCGGTGCCGTTACCGAGTTTTATGAACTCTCTGTTTCTGGCGAGATGGGAAGATCCTGCCTCTCTGATACCCAGAATTCTAATAAGGAAACTGCTTCCAGAAAAGGGTATCCTGGTGAAAATTCATTTCTACCAACAAATAATTCCTATCAGAGAGGGCGAGCCCGGTGTGACTATAAGAATAAGGGAAATACTCCAAACCCACTCAAAGAGCAACGGGCTTCGAGTTTTGCTACTGGAGGTAGCAGGAAATTGAAAACCGACAGCGTGGAAAATTTAACGGACAATGAAATCATACAAACCATGGAATATGAAGTGAGATTTGAGGATCGCCGTTAAGAGTATGAATTGTTAGGTCATGTACCTAAGGTTCGGAGCATTTTGGATATTTCTGAAACCTTATATTGGGAGAAATAAAAGATAGTATTCTACAGGTTCATTGGATGTTAATAATGCAGGATGAAAGAAAATACAAAATTTAAAAAAGGACATCCAAGTGAAAAGCCAAAAAAAAAAGCAGAAAATAATGTATCACCAAAGAAACGCCTCATGACCCTTTCATCGTCCACAAAAGACTTCGGTATCTGAATATGGAACGGACCCTGCTACCTAGTCTTCCATATTTTCCTAACATCGCGGATACTGTTCGAAGGATCGACATAGCGGTACAGCTCACACTAACCCTCTTAAGCAGCGAAGCATTAGTATTTAAGTCAACAAGCAAGAAGCTCTGATTGAATTACCTTCGATAAAAGCAAAGTACTTTGTGCAGCTAACTTGCTATTGTGAGGCAACTCGGCCGCCGGGACCGCCGGGACCGCCTGGGGGATTACCCGGGCCACCTGGACCGCCAGGACCGCCAGGGCCGTCAGGGCCATCTGGAGGACAATCTGGACCACCTGGGCCACCTGGACCGCCTGGACCGCCTGGGCCGCCTGGGCCACCTGGTGGCTTACCGGGACCACCTGGAGGTTTACCAGGACCGCCTGGACCGCCGGGGCCACCTGGGCCACCTGGTGGCTTACCGGGACCACCTGGAGGTTTACCTGGACCGCCTGGACCGCCTGGGCCACCTGGTGGCTTACCGGGACCACCTGGAGGTTTACCAGGACCGCCTGGACCGCCGGGGCCACCTGGGCCACCTGGAGGTTTACCTGGACCGCCTGGACCGCCTGGGCCACCTGGTGGCTTACCGGGACCACCTGGAGGTTTACCAGGACCGCCGGGACCGCCAGGCCCGCCAGGCCCACCCGGGCCGTCTGGACCATCAGGGCCATCGGGCCCACCAGGACCATCAGGACCACCGGGACCATCAGGACCACCGGGGCCATCAGGACCACCGGGGCCATCAGGACCACCGGGGCCATCAGGACCACCGGGGCCATCAGGACCACCGGGGCCATCAGGACCACCGGGGCCATCAGGACCACCGGGGCCATCAGGACCACCGGGGCCATCAGGGCCATCGGGCCCACCAGGACCATCAGGACCATCAGGACCACCGGGGCCGTCGGGAGGGCCACCCGGGCCACCAGGGGGGAAAGGAGGAGGAGTAGGGCGAGGAGGGTTACCAGGGCCGCCGGGTGGGAAAGGAGGGCGAGTAGGAGTAGGGCGAGGAGGGTTGCCGGGGCCACCGGGTGGGAAAGGAGGACGAGTAGGGCCGCCAGGAGGGGGGCGAGGAGGGCTACCAGGACCTCCAGGTGGGAAGGGTGGAGGTCGTGGGGTACCGGGACCGCCAGGGCCATTCTGAGCAAGACGTGCTGCGATTTCAAGATCTCGGCGGTTCGAAGCAGGCGCGGAGATGGCCCCGATAGCCAGCAGGGCCATAACCACCAATTGGAACTGCATATTGAGGGATAGTAGTAAATGAAGTAGTGGAAAAGGGGCTTTATGTTTTTTGCCTGAGGGTATTGAAGCACTGCAGTCGACGGGAGATGGACGCCCCTTATATAGATGCGTAAAATCGAAGCTCCACACAGTGACGAATAGTGATCAGCAAAGGACTTGCATTTTTGCGGGGTTTGCAGATGAAGGCAGGGTATCAAAGGCAGAGGCGGTAGCGTCGATTGTTGAGAAACTTGGTTTACACGAGGTTTGGATGTAGCAATCCTTTGATCGTCCACATTGTTATTGCAAGAGCAACGTACCACTTCACGGATGTCCCGAGAACCAATGAGAGTACTGGGCGATCCCGCAAAGCTAGACTATTGAAACTAGAATGGTCATCTAGTCGGGTCGGCTAGCTGGAAAAAGAAGGATATTCAGACCCGGCGAGCGGTGAAACAAAAGCTGGTCAATTCAACCTCGTTCTTCCAGCGTCGGGGTGTTTCTTTACCCTCACTCAAAGCAGCCTTAAATGGCCCTAGTAATTTTTTAGCCGCCATAGCGACTTTTTAATATAATATTGCAAGGGGTGAATCCTCTCATAACGGTTTTCCTGGGTGCCAGCACCAAGTTGAGGCTCTGCAACGGTGATCGGTGGCTGGATTGTTTTGGGGGGACAAGGCATTCCCAGCAGAGTGTCGAAACATTGCGAAGCTGAAACAGTCGCGTTTTCTCTTCTCGCTCCTCCCAGCCCAACCGCGGCTACGATGGAGAAACCTGCGACAATGGACGACACAGGTTGGGTTGACGTTGCCTGGCGCCTTTCCCGATTCAGACATCACCTGACGGCGTGCCGAGGCGGGACTGCCAGCCGCATGACGATGACAAGGAAGTGTCCGTCGGCGTGAAACACGAGGTACCATCGCGGAGGGTTTCTTATCGATCTTCTAGATTTCTAGGCGATTGCCCCTAGACGGGCTAATATTCGGGAAAGCAACAGGCTAACACGCCCGCCGTCGGCTTAGCACCGAGTTCATTTCAACGCCTACCATTATCCTGCTTTCAGCACGCACGGCATATCTGCGTGGATACTTTCAAGATGGCGGCGAGATGTGAGTGAGGGGATGAATAATGTCTGAACGCGTGGCCAGCTGGCTGATCGAATAAATTCAAATTTCATCAGGCAACCCTGTGCCGTAGTGCTGGGTCTGCATGTGCACCAGGAATATCTGAAGATCAGTTGCAACCCTTCTAAACACAGGGCTGAAAGGCAAGAGAGCCTGGAAGTGCGGTGCCGTCTCCTGATGGTCTTAATTCAATTGAAACATCGATTTTCGTGCTTGATGAATATCTTGTTTCAACCTCCAAGGCAGAGGGGCTTATGATGTTGCCCCCTCTTTCCAGACTAAAACAATTCAGGGGGAGAGAGCGGAAGCTTGGTTTCGTTTACTCCGTAGTAAACGCAGCCATGCCATAGAGGTTCCTGGCTAACGGAACCACATCCCGCTCCGCTCTCCCCGCGTCGTATTTTGAGCACCCCACCCCTTTCCGTGCCAATTACTGCAGACACGGCTGACAAGTTCTAGGGGAATATTTTTCCTCTTTTAGCTATAGACACATTAGCAGCATCACTTGACCTTTGTATCTACTCGCTTGGAGGACACAAACCTATCTTCTAGCACTAGACAACAGCAGACCGTTGGCGCATCACCATCTGTTCTCTATGGCTATTTTGAAGGGTGGGCGGCGTCAAAATGATATGCTCTTCCTGTTTATCCTCAAAATTTCTGAGATGTATTTCCATTTATTGAACGCTCATTGACACGGACATTATTTCCTTGCATTTTATACCACGCCTAGAGAACACCAGCGCACGTTCTGTATAACCTACCCAGTAAAACATTCGCCCGCCGGTCTCCGTGAATTACAAGTGACACCTCGAGGTCTGGATGTCAGGATAATCTTTATGAAGCGATTACCCTCTTGAGCGCAATGATTTGCTGTCGCCCAGTGGCTGTTGTCACACAGTCATAGCTTGACTTGGAACCTGGGGTACATTCTAATTCGCTCCCCATATTTAATCAGTAGAAACGGGATCGGGGCCAATGCTAATGCGATGAATGCCAGCAAGCTTGTCCCCCATCCTATGCCTAGCTTCTCATACAGCTTCGTCCCGGCTAAGGGCAATGTGGCGGCAACAATGGATCGAAGAACAATATTGGCAGAGATTGCACTAGCGGAATAAATCGTGTACGTATCAATCAGGTATGCCATGATAGAAAAGAAATAGCACAGCGTGCCGACTCCAATCAGGCTTGTACCGAAGATCGGGACAGCCCAATGGAGTTTGTACATCGCGGTCCAGCCGTAGAACATGTACCCCAACGGCAGAATAATGGCACCGAAAGCTAGTGGAGGAAGGCGCCATTCAGGTTTGTGTGACTCACTGGCATAGGCTTTTTTCATTCTGGTAACGTATCGATCTGAAAAGATGGCGGCTATAATCTGAGTTACAACATAGCCTATGCCAATTCCTATATAGACAAGGCCGATCGACGAGGGCTTGAAACCGTATTGGCGCTCAAAAACAAACGTATACGTGGTGAAGAGGAAATAGCTGTAGCCATAGGATACAGTAATTTTTATTGCCATGAGGAAGACAATCGGAGAGAAAAGGAGTAGCTTGGTTGGGCGGAGGATTGCCATTTTGAAAAGATAGCCCGCACTCTCGCCTTTATCATACTTTGATTTCAGCTCCATGTTTCCTGTCTCCTGTTTTAGACGAATGGTCTTTCGATTTAGAATCACCGGCGCATAAGTTTCACGCAGCAAAAAAAGAGATACGACAGAGAGGGACCCGCTCTAGATAAATCAATATACTACTCAAGCTCGATGTATGGGAAAACATACTGCGATCATCATCAGCCAGAATACCCAGCGCCAGCCAGTGCCCGCCACCATGAAACCACCGACAATGGGGCCTATAGCTCAAAGTTAAGATGTAGATTCCAACCATCAGTCTCATGTGCGAGGTAGATGTATGTATGTACCTATTACAGGTCCCTGGTCATCGAGTAATTAGCTATACAATCGGCTATGGCACGAAGAAGGAACAAATGGGCATTACCAATAAAGGCCCCATACCCCATACACTCAAGGCAACACCTCTTCTTTCGAGCGGTACCAAATCAGCAATAGTACCACCACTGAGAGAAAGTGACGGACACCCAGATAAACCCATGAAAAATCGAAAGATTATGAGCGTAGGTAGATTGGTGCTGAGTGCACAAGCCATTGAAGACAAGGTAAGGGATATATTTGAAGTATGGTATAGCGGATTTCTGCCATACAGCTCACTTAGTGGAGGCAAAACAAGGGGTCCCACAGCCCAACCAATGGCAAAAACCGAAATAATAAAGCTGGATAATGCACCACTGGCTGAGTTGAATTCCTGCATCGCCTGTGGGACGCTAGGTGCAAAGACCGTCGACCCAAACGCGCTGGAGAGAGTTGGTAAAGATTTTCTGTGCAGGTAGGCAAATTCGGTACCTACTTCAGAAAAGTTATCAGGGAAACAATCGTAATCGTCATCCATTTCCGCCAAGGCGACCAGTTCATGGGATTTTCTAGATCATCGGGGCCTTCCCAGTCAATAACATTCGATTTCTCGACCGTGTTTTGTAAAAATGCAAGCGCCACAGCCTCCTGGTTAATACCGTCTCTGCTAGGTGGCTGGCAACTGGTGCCCTTTTCGCCATCTGCAGAATCTCTTGACATATTGACTGTTGGGAAAAGCAAATGCTGGCAACTATACAATAGTTGCCATCAGTAGCATATTCCAATGCATTCGAGCAATCCGTGGCGGTGTCTTGTATTTTTATATTCGGCGGGGTTTGCCGACGTCCCTTGAGGCCAAGGGAGCAAACCGATTTATTCTCCACCATGCTATATGCCGAGTTTTCACGTATGGTGCAGGTGATATTTCATGCTGGGATAACGCCTGTTCCCGGTGCGAAATCAACCGATGTCTCATAGCAGTCCTCAACACATGATTGTGGAACACCGATTTAATGTAGAAGACATGCAATCCGGCATAAACAGTTTTTGCTGTCTAACTCAGAAGTTGGGGGTATTGAAAATCGATCGGCATAATCTTCACAAGATGCGGAAATAACAGCAGGCCTTGAAAAAAGGCGCAGATAGATAACACGATGGTCTGCCACTGTGTAACCAGCTTCGGACCCTGCTATTGCGTATTATGGCGTACAGGAAAAGAAGAGATCGGGTCTTCAAAGACCCGTGGACGAGAGTGAATTATCACAGTAGAAGCCATAACTTTTGGACTAGTTAGCTGCATTAGCTGCTATCTCTAAGAGTCGGTGAGAGACACCCTTGGTTTGTCGGATACTTCGATAAGAGGGCACGAGATGGCGTCACTAGAAAATTGTGGGATTTAACATGCCGGCCAGCCGAAGGAGTTCTCGACCACAAAGACTCATACTCTGTACGCATTGTGGGCTTGTCCTTGGTAATCTGGACAAGATGTTGAAGTTCTTTGGCAAGTCGGAGCTGACGTAGAGTTCCTTGTAGTTAGTTAGTTTGTTACCAAGAGCTGACGAATTGCAGGCAGCAATTACGGAGTATGAGGCAAATACTCACCGTAACCCCAGGAAAATCCTTGGTCAGCAACTCGGCGCTGCCCACTTCTCTATTTTTATCGCCGGAGGTTTTGTCCTTCTACATCTCATTCGTAGAAGTAGAGCTATCATTAACGTATACCGTCATACGGCCCGAATCTTTGCATGGGTCGTTTGATCGCTTAGGCCAGAGACCTGACTGCGGGCTCATTGCTATCAGGCTACAGCGTACAGTAGAGCCTACTAGCCATATTCAAAGCTCGAGATGCATGACCATCCGTTGCTGCGGAAGAAAAAAAAAACTCCCCACACCCATCATCACAAGCCAATATAGCAAGACTGTGGTATCACCATTGGCAGGCCCATGATGCTGGGGAGGTGAATAGAACTACTTTTTAAGTCCGAGGTGTAGCACAAATGCCTAAGGCCTATTGCATGTCGGTGCATCGTGTTATTGAAAAGGGAAAGAAGAGAACAGCTGCTAAAGGCGGGATTAGGTTTGTGGAGAATGGAGTGAGTGGAGGAGGAAGTCTGTTATTTCTTAGTGCATCTTCCAGGCGGGCTCTAGCCAGGCTCTCCCGCCGGATCGTCTTGGAGAGCATGTCGTGGCCGCGGTTAAAGCCGAGAATTTAGCTCCCGGCTTGACTGGCGAGATTCTCCGGGCTTTGAAACTAACTAGTTAATTACATAGTCAGTTAGCTTGCCGGTGCATGGCTGTTAAAACCAGAGGCTTCGCCCTCAATCGTCACCTTTTCAAGTTATTCCTCCGAGCAGAGCCTCAGTAGCTGGCGGCCTATGAGAATGGACGGCTAACCGCCAGCCTTAAACAGCTGCCCAACATGTCTGACCGCCAACACACCTGTCCATTGTCGTCCGCGTTGGGTGGCGGCTCGCCCGCCACAGTGTCCCGAATACCCCAGCCTGCAGTCTCTGAAGCGCCGGGCAGCTCATCAGCAGCAAAGAACCCTGTCGAAGGGCGCATCCCAGTCCGAGCCGCCGTGTAGAACCAGGCATCGGCCAATGATCGCCGTGCTCGCGACGATAAATAGCCCTGTCCACTCGCATTTGTCTCGTTTTCGCGGGTCATGATGGTAGCATTTCCCTCTCCAGGCCGCGCATCGCCCTCCGCCAACGTCGTTGCAGAGGGCCGTTTGTCTTTCTGCCTCCCTTCTTTTTTCTGTTTCACTTGGGAGATGGATTCGATGGAATTTGCTTGCAAGTGCCGTTTGTAATCGTCGCCAGTTACTCATTCGCTCGTTACCCCCGCCCGCTTCGCGATTTTGTGTACCGCCATAACTCCCAGCACTGGACATTCTTCCTCCTCGTTTTCGTGCTCTCTCGTTCTCAATGTCACTGCAGTGATATCCGATCAAGATGGGTTCCCATCGCTATTCAGAGCTCGGCCGGAGCCTGGGGCTGTTCAATGAACAGCTGCCCTGGTACTGGAAGCTGTTCGTCAGCGGTTCTGCCTGGCTTCTTCTCGCTGGGTATGTGTGCAATCGACTCGTGAGCTAGTTGATACACTTACTGATTATCCTGCGAACTTCTTAGTTTCTTGATTTTTCCCCTTGCCATGGAGTCTGAGGCTTCGAACCTTCGAGGGAATAGACAGGCGTTGATTGCGGTCTCTCTCGCCCTAGTCGTCGTTGCGTCTGTTAACTGTGTCGTATACTGCGTACGATGGCGGAAGACTTATGAATTTATAGACTTTATTTTCTTGTATGCTCGTCTCTCATCTAGTCCTTTGTGTTTACTCCTCAGACCGGTGACTGTGGATTAACCTTCCTACACCAGGTCCTACTTTGGATCCAGCATCATCGGCCTCTTTAATCTTCTGCTGAACATCATGCTTCGACGCCTCCCTATCGACACGCTGGCCATAGCCGCCATCGTCATATGTTCTATCTTCGCGCTGGGGTGTGGAATAGCCGTTCTGTATCACTGGCGCGACGAGTTTTTGGCCCCAGGGGCCCTTGGGCGCAAGAAGCGGCGTGGGAGAGACACCCGCGTTGACGACACGGAGCTCCAACGACGACAACTTCTCAAACTTCTTTCCAAGAACTCTGATCGTGCGCCCAGCCCGGACGTCACCCAGAATACCTTTCGGATTGACTTGCCAGACCCTAGCAACGTCGAACCCGATGAGGAGGCGAACAGACCGTCACAACGCGCGTATGAGTTTGGCCTTGCGCCGCCTTCTGCACCCACCACCAGCTACAACCCCAAGGGGCCCGCGAAGCCCTCTTCCCGATCTTCTACCCCTGATACTGCAAATTCATCCACGCCCCTAAAGCCGGACCAGCCCCGCCCCCCAAGACGTGGGCTAGTTGAGCTAGGCGATCTATAGACTGGCTGTATCCCCCCGCAATGTAATATCACGGCTGACGATGGGTCCAATCAATCGGAGTTGCCCGGCATTCCACATGGATTTGGAGTTTTGTTTTTTTGTTTTCATATTGACGGTTGGAGAGTCTTCCCTTGTTGTATTTGTCCTAAAATGGTCTATTGAACTACGACTGCAAGTTTTGACGATTTAAGAAACCCTGATGACCAGGTTAGCTTGCAGTATCATAGTATATGGGGTTCTTCACTAGATCAAGCAACTCTATCCTTTTGGCTGCACGCAGGGTATAGAAGCACAGTGCATCCTGCGCCATTTAGTTACTTCCCTGTCACAGACGGAGTACTAAAAGAAACCTTCTCGGCACAGTTGGCCATTGCGCAAAGCTACTAATATTGCGTTGTTACATTCGAACAGCACCAGGCAGAATCAGGCAATTTTTAGGCAATAAACGAAGAAAACAAGATAGAAACCACCTGCCTCAAAGTCCCTTCGTAGCCTTGGAATACCAGCAACAAGAAACTAGTTAGTTATAGGCACCCGAGTGATCACCAACTGTCTTAGTGCATAATTGCAGTTGCGCCCAATAACTACACACCGTGTTGCAGCTTTGCACTTCAGGCTCGATGGACAACCAGACAGGCGACATCTTCCTAGCCAGCATTCTCGGGGCAGTCGCGATTCCCAGGGTTCACGCAGAGACTCTCACGGCTCACCTCAGCACCAGTGCCAATGGCCGCAGCTCATGAATCAGAATACGCGCATCCTTCCGGGCTGACGAGCCCAAACAGGTCTAGGAAGACTTCTAAAATCGGGCGCACTGCATTTCCTGAATCGCGCAATAATGGCATTTCAACCTCACGTCCCTGCCAAGTCTGCCCGCAGTGATTCATCGCAAATACGGTCGCATTCAGCGCGTGCGTGCACACGGCGCTCGGGCGCGATGGGCTCGGGGTGGAAAGCAGCGCATATTCCTGGACCGTTGAGCAGCAGCTTTACGGAGAGGAGGCCCAAACAAGCTTGGAGATGAACAGCACGACTCGATAGCTGTGGAAAATCAGGACGGGTAGGTGGTTAGTTCGACAAGGGGGCACAGACAATGATCTTCTTCTTGTTGTTGCGCGCTGACTCGTTAGCTGGCTTGTTAGGGGACAGACTCGCTTGTGAGAGCCTCGGTAACCCAGCAGGTTCTTCCAACCATCCTGCGACAACGAGCCGAACCTCAACCATAACCTTAGAGAGCCGAACAGAACAAGGGAGACAACTGTTCAGCCGTGCCTTATCCCAGTACGCTATCTGTGCTTGTCGTGAGAGTTCGGATGAGTAGCAGGGGGATGCGGCAATCCTGTACCAAACACCCGAAGTACAACGAACAGCCAAGGTCATCTCGGACCGTGACATAGGAGATGCAGTCCGTTCCGAGCAACCCCGCAAGGCAATGGCCTCGACTTTTCCGGGGGGCGGCCACGCCGAGCTTCAAGCCAAACCCTATTCTTAATTCAATATAGATACCCAGCTCCGTCTGAACCAGACTACAGACCTGAGACTCATTTTTCCTAACCAGAAGGACCGACGCCACCTATTGTCTTCTCTTTTCCACCATGGCAACAGCAGAGCAAGAAGTCAAACTCCGAAGTTTCGGCAATATATTCTCTCTTGAGGGAAAAGTTGCTGTTGTCACTGGCGGATCTCGAGGCTTGGGATTACATTCTGCTAGTGGGTGTGTTGATTTCCCTTGTTTCTTTCCATTTTGGCCATAATGGGAATACTAACTACGTCTGTCTTCCAGCCTTCTCCAGGCCGGCTGCTCCAAAGTATACATTACCTCCCGTAAAGCTAAAGCTTGCGAGGAAGCAGTTGCTGCCCTGAACGCCCTGCCCAACAAACGCCCCGGTGCGCGGGCTATCTCCGTCCCCGCAGACAGCTCCAAGCTCTCCGAAATCGAGCGTCTTGTTGAGGAAGTCAAGAAAACTACCGATCATGTCGATATCCTATTTGCCAACGCTGGAGCTACTTGGGGAGAGAAGTTCGAAACACATCCAGAACCTGCATTCCAGAAGGTAATGGACTTGAATGTCAAGAGTGTTTTCTATTGTGTGCAAAAGTATGTGGTTTGTCGTTTTGGCTTGTTACAGTATTAGGTTGTTGATTACGGTCCCCATTTTAGGTTCGCTCCTCTACTCGAAGCTCGTGGTACAATTGAAGACCCCTCGCGCGTCATTATCACCGCCTCCGTCGCCGGTCTCATGGTCGGAACTATGGGTGACAATGCTACATTCAGCTATTCTGTCTCCAAGGCCGCCGCGATTCATCTTGCCAAAAACTTGGCTGTGGCGTTGGGCCCACGACATATTGTTTCGAACGCCATTGCGCCCGGATTTTACCCATCCAAGATGGCCAACGAGCTTATGAGAATGCAGGGCGGGAAAGAAAAATTGGCAGAGGGCTCACCAAATCTGAAGCTTGGCGAACCAGAGGATATTGCTGGTTTAGTCGTGTTTTTATCCAGTCGTGCTGCTAGCCACATTAATGGTGCCTGCATTACGACGGATGGTGGCGCACACTTGAAAGGGCGTATGTAGGAAGGAGAAATTTTGACGTCTACCAGGTTCTGTACAGAGAGTTATTAGATTTGGAATTTATACCACGCGGAACTATTTGTATATTGATGTATATATATAGTGTTAAAGACATTCCTTGCTAGTAATATCAGGATCAGACACGCGCCTTCAAAAAGAACATCATGTATGCACATTTCATAAATTTTTCGCCGGACAAAATATTCTCAATCTGGGGAGACTAAAGTCACAACTTGGCTGAAGCTTTGGGGGCATGCACTGCTTGGTCAATGAAAGTCATGGCACGGTATAAGTCGTAGTCGTGCAACTTAGGCGTTAAAACCTGGATGCTAAGTGGTGAGTCGATATAGACGCGGCGATCCACAGTGTTCGAGTTCCCTACATGACAGATACATTAGTCAAAGGGAAAGAAAAGGAACAAATCAGCATACATAATTCCCGGTTCCTCTTGTCCCAGCTTGAAAGCACCTTAGAATCCATCTCTTTGCCGTTTTCAAGGTCTGCTTCTGTGAAGTTTCGAACTGGGATGGTACCTGCTGGGTAATCTAGAAGCACAAATGAGGATGTATAGCCAACAGCATTGTACCGATCAAGCTCTGGTACTGGATGGGGAGCCACTGGGTGAATGATTGCATCGATCTTTTTGACATTGGATCCAAGCGTCCACATCTTAAGCATGACACTTTCAAGTTCGGCTCTTTTTGCCTGGAGCTCAAACAGCTTTGCCGAAGTTGCCGGTTTTCCGCGCTTCATTCTAGTCTGGAGCCAAGGAATGAGAGTCTCGTCTGTGCTCTCGAGGATATCCATCATTACATTGCCGCCGTCAACAGCCATTAGAGCATTTGCTACTGATTGACAATCGCCCAGCTCTTTTGGGGCCGCTATCTCGACAACCTCTACTCCTTTCAACGCACGGAGCTTCTGGGTAACCTCATCAAGGACTTTGGCAACGGGAGGAAGAGGTTCGATTTTACCATCGGAGCGTAGAACTCCAATGGTAAATTTCCGGGGGGCATCCGTGTCTAGGATAGGCGTCTCGCTTGCCCATCTTCCAGGAATACAATCTTCACCCCAAAGCTCTGACCGTGGCAAAATCTCTTTCATTAGCATATTGATGTCAGACATAGATCGAGCAATTGGGCCTGCTACAGCCTGAATGGACGATCTTCCTCTGCCAGGAACACCGCCGCTGTCCTGTCCACCATATGGAACACGTCCAGTGCTGGGCTTGAATCCGTATAGTCCATTGCACATTGCTGGAATTCGGATACTTCCACCGATATCCGTGCCGAATCCAATCATGGAGCCACGCATGGCTACAAGCACACCCTCACCGCCAGAACTGCCTCCGGCAGTAAGTTTCCTGTTCATGGGGTTAAGGGTGCGGCCAAAGACATTGTTCACACTATCTAAAGCAGCAAGAGTTTGTGGAACATTGGTTTTGGCAATGATGACAGCGCCCAACGAGTGTAAAAGCTCAATTAAGGGCGCATTTCTTTTAGCGGGTTTGAATGCAAGACGGGCCAAACCTGTACTCGAGTCAACACCTTCAACATCAAAGGTGTCTTTAACTGATATGGGAAGACCATGTAGGGGACCATAGGGTTTTCCAGTCCGCGCAAGATGGGTATCAAGATAAGATGCGCGCTTCTGCGCTGTATCAAACAGCGGCTCTGTGAGACAGCGGGTGAGTTGATGTGCTATGGCAGCACGCTGGGATCACTGGTCAACTTGAGAATTGAGAGGAATAGCGCTAAGACATGCAAGCCAAATCAACTCACTTTACAAAATGCCTCGCATACCTCCGCCGCAGTTAGCCTTCCTGTGGCCATCTCAGCTAACAAACCCTTGACATCCCACTTCTCGGTGATGTCCAGCTGCTTGCTGCTCAAAAGCCCACACTGTTTTGGGACATGCATCACATTTACAGCTTCATATTTCGTGTTTGTAACGGATTCTTCGACCGAATATATTCCAGTCGGGGCCCATTGTGCTGGAAGACGCCAGGACTGGGGTATTTTGGAGTCAAGCTGGGCAAGCTTCCGGCGTGAGATCGCTTTAAAAGCAGGTTCTGCAGACATTCTCAAGATAGAAGAAACGGAACGGCTCAACGTTTGTCGAGACTTGCTAATGAACAGCGAATATGTGGGTGGCGTGCAAAGGCCAAGAAAGCGACTTGAGAAGACAGTTGTGGAGTACGCTGCACTGCAGACTAGACCCTAAGTAGTTTGATGATTGTTGACAAGAAGTTGAAACGCAATATTCATGAACATGAGCTAAGGCCTTATCTGCTCGAAAAGAAGAGGCAACCCCGCATCAATAATGTCGGGTATGTTGTTGAGATATTCGATGGTGGAACCTAGGTGCAAATCTCAACCTCGGGTGACGTGCTTACTGTAACTCCATCCTTAGTATTATTCTATCGTGTTCGTGACTCTCCTATTATCAGACAACTCCATGCCATTTCAAACGGGTTTTTGATTGTTCTTCAGATATCTTTTTCTCCTGGGCCGTGTTTTGGCCACAGGGTTTATCCGTACAGGCATAAGAATGGCGGGCGGCATAGATTTCTTGTTGGAAAACAAGATTCTGCTGTCCAGAGGGGGAATTATCACTAAGAGGAGCAGGGACCAATACCAAAGGTATTGCAAAAAGTGGTCTACTCCGTATCTCACTCTTGCCTGACTTCTGAGTTGGTGTAAAAGTGTTTGGCAACGGAGATTTCGGAGCTACATCTGCGGGGAAAACTTGAGGCTGAGCTGTAGACTGGGCATTGTTGCTTCAAAGGATCTTAGAAGGCTATCTTATACTTCATGTTCGCCAAAGGTCGACCCAAAACACGATGTTTAAGGATCCTGGGTATGGAGCAATTCATTCATATTCTACCTTTCTAGCACTCTCAAAATGTTCAGTGTATGTTAAATGGATGTCAGGGGCCAACACGTGATTGATAACGGTTGAAGTCGCTCGCGTAGTTGAGCGGAGATTAATATCCGATATCCGGCTCAACCGTTGTAAGCAGATAAGAACGGAACACCGTATATTATCATAGAGGAGAAGAGAATCTGCTTTTCTATTAACTATAGTAATCACCTCATAGCCAATAGCCGGACACAATCGGTCAAACAAATATCTCGGTCGGCAAAAAAGGCTTATCACACCCGCTTCCATAACGGGAAAAGAGTATCTATATTAAAACAACAGGTAGACACCGATGTCTTGAGCCTTCTATTTGCACCCAAACGCCCCGCAGCCCCATCATTAGTATCTCGAGATATCCCGGCCAAACACCCAATTTGAAAGCCAAGAATACAAAATCCTCAAGCGATTCCGCCAGCTCAAGCTCATCGTCAAGTACGCGCCTTTCCATATCAGCCACGCTGTACGACCCTTGATGCCTGTTGGTAAGCTGTCCCCCATAGGGACCTGCATCAGAGCCTTCGAGCTCCCGAGGTAGGCTATCATGCCGAGGTTCTTGAACATGAAACCGGGGTTTTTATCAAGATCGCCCTTGTTGAGCCGTTTCGCCAGCCAGCCGGCCTCTTGGCTTGTAGCCTGCGCGGTGGCAGGGGGAGAGCCGCCTTCTATCATGCAATTGTCGCCCAGGGCAAAGACATCCTTCATAACAGCGGCGCTGCCATCGTCGGATTCTAGTTGAACTCGCAAGTGCCTATCGACCAGCAGGGCGCCGGTCTTGGGTTCTTTTCTTATTTTCCAGGACCTTGGCGAATCACCCCTTTGATCGGAAGGCAGTCCAGTAGTCGACGCCGCAGGAAATTGCCCAAGTTCGCCCAGCGCTTCGTTGACAAATTTATTCATTTCGTTGCCTGTAGCCCAGACGCACATCCCCAGACCCTCCTCGCCGTCTTCCTTGGTCTTGATCGTCAGGCATCCTTTCGGATCCATCTCGGACGGAGGCTCCCTGTGCGGCTCGCCCCAGCGAAGTTCTTGGATGTGGTGGTTGGTCTTGATCGAGACGCCCTCTCGGCGCATCACGCCCATCGCGTAATCCGACAACGATTTATCGAACATGTTCAGCACGCTCGGGGCCACGTCGTACAGCGTCACGCGGGTGTCGGCTTTGAGCTGCGGGTATATCTGAAACATATCCTCGTGGAGAAAATCGCAGAGCGCTGCAGCCAGCTCTGTGCCAGTCGGGCCACCGCCGACAATGGCAAAATGTAGTAGGTTCTTTCGCATCTCGGCACTGGTCGTGGGCATGACTGCTAGCTCGAAACATTCGCGCATGCGCCTTTTCACCCTCCTGGCGTCCCCGATGTCCTTGAAGAACATTGCATTCTCTCTCACCCCGGGAGTATTAAACGTGCGACTGACACAGCCCACGGCGATGACCAACTTGTCGTACGGCACCTCAAACAGCTGCCCGGCCTCCCATTGCCGAAGGCTCTCGTCCCCCCGGGGACTGCCTATCTGTGAGCCTTGCCCATGCTGTATCTTAGCCTGCTCGACCCTCGGCGACTCAGTAACACCGCTCTTCACAACGCTCGCCTCGACGACGACAACCTTCCTGTTGAAATCGACACTTCTCGCCGCCGCTTGAACATAGTTGATCTGGTTTTTGCGGTCCCGAACCGGCTCCACAATCTCGGAGAAGTTCAGAGAGCCCACGGCAGCATCGGTCAGGAGCGGCGTGAACACGAAGTACGAGCGAGGGGAGATGACGGTCGCCTGGAACTTCGAGGGCGACAAGCGGCGGGAGAACGTGAATCCGCCCCAGCCAGAACCGAGTATTACAACTCGTTGAAGGTCGGGAGGCGGTTCGGGGTCGGCACGGGACCCCGACGAGGAAACTGGGTGCTGCGGATTGGAATGGTGAAGATCCTGTCTTGTGTGGTCAGTAGTGAATAACCGTCTGGTGTTGACTACAGCGGTTATTCTGATGCATTTTGCAGCTCGAGGTAAGCTAGATCGAGCGATCTCCATGCTCAACCAACGGCCCAATCTTTGCAAATATAAATATAATAATAGTCCAGTCCACAAGTCCAGGAATAAATTTTCATTCTTGAGGCCAAAAGTCCGTAATTAATAAACATTCAATTACGCGCTATATGGCGGCTTGCTGAGCGGGAATACCCGGGTCCTAGGGGCGCCAGTTGAGCTGCAGAGCGAATCAATTGCACCCGAAAAAAGAGCGATGACTCCCGCAAGCCGCGATGACAGAGGCCGAACTCGGGTGTCGGCATGACGTCATGGACACACAGCGCAAACAGCGCAAACATATCCATATCGGGGGAGGGAAAAAGTGCAGCGCAAAAACACCGTCGACGTTAGTACGAAGTGTGAGCAGTCAACAGCACGGTATTATAACCAAGCTATTCTCTGGCTCGTTGAGTTCCAGGAGCACGTGGGTTACATTCTCCCTCAGGCACAAAGAAAATAGCAGGCCCATTTCCGGAACCAATTTTGCGGTAGTACTAGCAAGCATTTCCCTTTCTCCCCTGGCCCCTGGTAGAAGTATGTAACTTGCCTCCCGGCCCCCCTAGCTTGCTGTGCTGTTATTTTGTTCTTGCGTTCCCTATCTCTGGCAGCTTGCTGCGGGTGCTTTCCGAGGTTTGGAGATCTTCAGCAGGCTAGTCTAACGGGCAGGGGTGGTGATGGCCCCCTAACCATGCTGTGATGCCATTATTAGTTACTACTGTACCTGACAACAATGTGCGCAAAAATGATAGTCATAGTCATCATGAGGGAAAGAAGAAGATCCTCATCTCAAACAAGTTTGAGCCCATCTGCGTCTCGGTCTGGGGTTTGCTAGTGCTCGTTTCGTAGAAGTGTACAGTGTTACTGTAGTAGTAGTTAGTTAGTAGTCAAAACAAACTCCCCTTCAAAGAGACAGGGCTCTGAGTCTCAGTATGACAACAGACGCTAGCGTCCGAACTTCGATATCAAGAGAAATACTTCAAGAACAACGATAAACACAAGATGTTGGAAGCTGTCCAACGCTCAGGAGAGGCAACGCGTGGACGACGAGGCCAGCTGGCAACAACAACAACAACAGCAGAAGCAACAGGGCAGGTGGTTCGTAGAACGAAGCAGATTGATTTTCCCCCAAGGTATGTATCAGACCCACGACCTGCTGAGCCGGCTACCAAGTTTTTATGGACAGCAAGTTCTTAGGATGCAGAGGCTGGGACAAATGGCCAGAGCTCCGTTGGCGTGTACGTGTCTGGTGGAGAGAGGCAACACGGGCTAGCATGCAGGTTTTGCGATGCGTCTGAGATCCAGGCCGCCCATGGGGGCACAGGATCTGCACCTATCACGTCTTTCATAGGAAGGTCCCATACTCCATCAAGCGTCGAGCTGAAGGGTATTCTTGTGCTGTCGGCCACTTGGCAGGAACCAGAGATATTCGTCAGCTCCCGCCCCTCCCCCCACCCGTCGAACTGGGTCCGTGTTTGGAAACCGGTCGCGTGGATTCGACGATGGGGGAAGAGAGATCCAGGCTGTACGGGGTATGCGCCGGGGCGACCCGCAGGGCGGTCTCAAAAGACGGACCGGCCTGTGATTGAAAGAAGAAGAAGGAAAAAAAAAAAAGGTTCGATGTCTCGGTTGTTGGAAAGGAAATAATATGTAGATAAAACAGGAAAGTCGCAGGACCGAACAGGTCACGATGGGGCAGACAGACAGACAGCAAGCAGAGAGTCTCTTCCTCGGCTGGTCGCCACGGGAAGGGCGCTGTTATTAGTCGGACTGGATCGCCGTCAGGTCACGGCGGCTTTTGGGCGGTGCGGTCAAGCATGGCGGCATGCAGGGCGTACGTATACCGCCGAGCGCAAAAAGGCTTGGATGCGGTCCGGTCTGCGGGCCCTCTATGTCGGGTAATTAATTCGCACGGCGGCCTCAGGGCAGGGCTTCTCTGTGCGTGTAATTCGGATCAGCACACCGGCGAATCACCTTTGGGTCTGAACGAGTTAGCTAACGAGGTAGATAGCAGTGCATCATCGATCACCCACGATGACGGGCACGCAAGAGCCCAGGCGGATGGAGGCCGCCTTACGTATGCGGTCGGTCGGTCGCGAGGCCGCACTTACGCGTTCGCCCGCCAAGTTTCAGGCAAGCCCGCGCGGGCGTTCCTTCGTGCGAGAGAGGCGACCACCAGCGAAAAAAACACCCGCACGTCGAAACGGCGGGCAGCGCCTGGCAAGGGAACGGAGCTGGGCGGTGGGTGACAGCACAGCGGCAGCAGTAGCGCGCGCGAGGAGGAGCACGTCTCGCGCGCAGGCGTCTTCTCGCGGGAGCCGGCGGGAAGCGCCAGCCATGCCATCAGCCCTACGGCGAGCACGGGCGCAGCAGTGCTGGATCGGGCATGCGGTGCCGAGCACGGCGGGTCGCTGGCATGCAGGCACACGATCCGCGGGCGACGACTACAACTCCTACTACTAAGCCGTTGTGGGTGCAGGCAGCGCGGCGCCAAGCGCAGTGCACGGCGAGAGAAGCCCCTGACTCGGGCGGAGCGGCGGCCAAGAAAGGCTTGAATGGGCTTGGGAGGAACAGCCGCGCAAACCAAACACGCAACGCAACGCAACGCTAAACAAGATGCATTATATGTAGTAGTAGGTAGTATGGTGTATGGATGGAACCAGAACGCCGCCACAGATGATGCCCAAAGCCCACGCGCGCCGTGCTAGCATAGTCGTCGAGCGGTAATAGTAGGATAGTAGTCAGAAAAAAAAAGAGTCGTCGCATGAAATGCACGGTCCGGCAGTAATAGTTAGTGCCTCCAATAGTCCCACCCCAGTGATAATAATAGTGTGAATCCCAGCGCGCGCCCCGCCCCAGTAGTTAGTGAAAACATTAAAAAAAAAAAAAAAAAGATTATTCCCATCCTCGCAAATCCTACGCCCCCCGGTGTTTTAGTCGTCTCGCCTCACGGCACCAGGCGCTCGTCGCCGTCGCTGTAGCAATACGGGTCGTCGACGAACAGCCCGGCCTTGGCACTGCTGTCCGAGGGCAGCGAGATCGCCTGCTGTTGCTGCTGCTGACGCCGCCGCCGCAGTCGCCGCACCCAGTCGGCCAGGTCGACCAGCGCCACGGCGACCAGAAACAGCACCACCATCAGCACCACCACGACGCCCGGCGTCAGCAGGATGCGGTCGTCGGCCACGGCCTCGAAGCAGCCGGCGCGGGCCAGCGCCGAGGTTGGCGATGAGGAGGAGGACGACGACGATGACATGGAGAAGAGCGCCGGGGGCGCGTCGTAGCACGGCCGGCAGATGCGCATGACGCCGCGCTGGCCGACGGGCGCGCACATGCCGCAGTTGCGCCGCGACGGCGTCACGAGTATCGACGGCACGGCCGCGGGCACGCGCGCCGCCAGCGACAGCGCCAGGAGCTCCGGGTCGATCATTGCGAGGTCTTCGTGAATGGGCGTGGGCACCGAGGGCGGCGCGGGCCGGTGCTGCTGCTGCGTGTGGTCGACGCTGGGGGGATCTTGCTGTTCAAGGGACTGCGCAGTCAATCGGGCCTGGTTAGTCTGTGCATGCTTGGGTGTCCGGGAGATTCAGCTTGTAGACGTACAACCTGCACTTCGTGCTTGACTCGAAGCACCATGGTATCGGCGCCGGACAGTTTCGTGACCTCGGTGGTCCGCTGTAGACTGCGCATCGTAGGTCTCCTTGTCGGCGACGGGATGTGGGCAACCAGCGTGGCTTTTATCGGGTGCGAGGATTTGGTGTGCAAGCTCCTGCAGCTGTAGCTGCTTCTCGCGCGGACAAAGAAGGCTGCACGTCCACTGTCGTCGCAGCGATGCGAATGCACAGTCTCACAAAATCAAAAACAAAAAGCCAGCGGGCTCGCAACGATGCAGGTTCTAAATGATCTGAGGCACTTCTCTTTTGCCGGAACTTTTTTTTTTTTGCACACACGAAGAAGATGGTTGGATGGGGGCGCGGGGTTAGTGTATATATTGGGTGGCTCTCGCCGAGAAGCAGGATTTCGGGCTTTTGGGGGCTGCCCGCTCGTCTCTCCTCTTCCAGGTCTGACTTCGGGGCCAGGCGAAAAAAGCACAAGACCAGCGAAGGGGAGGGGGGCGCTGCTGTTGCGAGAGGGGGCGCAGCAGAAACACTTTTGACGGGCTCTTGCACGTTTCACAGCGTCAACAGCGATCCCGTCTCACAAGAACGATTCGAACGAGGGGTGCGTGTTGCGTGCGGAGGGCCGAGGAGGGAACAAATGCGAGACGCCGGATGATTCGGCGGGCCAGGCACACGTTATATGCGCGCAGCAGTCCTTTTTATTATTTTTATTTTTTCTGCTGCTGCTGTCAGCCTGTCGATCGCAGGGGAGCAAAAAAAAAAAAAGAGTGTGAATTAATGCTAAGAAAAAGCCAAAATGTAGCCCAAAAAATTAAAAAAAACAAAAAAGTGAAGAGGATCGGGAGAGACACGCGAAATTTAAAAGGCAACGGAGGCCAGCGCGCGCGCGCGCACACGGCGTCCGTCCGCCCACCCACACCAGCGGCGGCGGCGGCGGTCGTGCCGGGGGGAAGTCTCGCGTGACGGGGTCAGGGCGAAGCTGGCTGGCGCGGGAGGGAAGCGTTGGCTGAGGGCCGAGAAAGCCTACGAGGGCGGGCAGCGGGGAGGCGTACGTGGCCTGCCGCCCGCGACGTGCTACGCTTCCCACAGCGTAGTAGTAGTAAGCAGTAGTTAGTAGTAGTCAAGGCCAGTGCTGATACTAGCTGGCTGGCAGGCTAGGGGTGAGTAATAAGAATAATAATAATAATAATAATCATACCCCCCTTTTCCCGCGAAATTACAGGGCGCATAAAAAAAGACTAACATGGCCCAGCGCTAGCGAGCTCTGTAGTTAGAGCTGAGAAACAGCCTCAGCCCATCAAACCACCCGACAAATTAAAACCACCAACCGGGAAAAACACTGTTGGGCGACGAAAGGAACGAAGTAGTAGTCTCTTTCTACCCCCGAAGAAACGTGCGCGCGACAAAGAAAGCCAGTGGCACGGACGGCCGACCCAGAAAAACCGCCTCGAGGGCCGCCTGCCCCCGTATCGCCGGTCGTTTCTCCGCACGCCAGCTCGCTTCTGCCTCCCGGTAAGGCCGTCGGCGTGATTGGCAGGGCACTCAATTCCCACCGGCCGGCCTGGCCCAGCCCGTCCCAATATTGGGGCGTGAGGTGCATGATATTGGTGATAGAATAATAATCTGCTCGCTGCCACAGAATAACAATAATAATAATGTAAACCTGCTCCGTTGCTCCGTCTACCTATATATGATTACACTCCGAGTCCACGTCGCCACCCCGTATACATACACATCCATACATACATACATGCTCACTCGCTCGCCCGCGCCAGCCGCTGGGGGCGCGACTTGGCCGCCGGCGGTCTAGACGGGGGCGTGCAAACCACGCAAACAAGCGCGCCAAGCTCCGACCAAGCTTTTGTAGCGGCAACCCTAACCGCAGCACGTCCTGCCCGATGCGGCCGTCCGGGCCTTGGCGCGCTGACTAATATCTCCCGCGCTCCGGGCTTGGCAACTTCGCAGAGCGCGAGCGTGGTGCCTTGGCTCGCGGACAGAAACGGAAAAACGCCATTTGTATTTCTTCTCTCAAAACAAGCCAACTTCCACGTCCCAACCACGCGCCACCTGGTCAGCGCTGCGTCCGTTGGCATTGGTCCAGAGCTCGCGCAGAATACGCAGCGGCAGCGCCAGGTGCGGGCTGCCCGTGCCGTCCTCGCTGAAAAAGTCGGCCCAGAACGCCTCCAGGAAGGCGCGCTGCGACGCCGACACCACCGCGTGCTGCGAGCCCGCCACGAACGCCGGGAACAGCAGCAGGTTGATGGTCGATGGGCTGAGCCCGTCGTCGCCGCCGCCGCGCGACATGCTGCCCAGCTGCGCCAGCACCCGGTCCACCAGCGTCTCCGTCGACGGCGACGAGAACTCGCCGCTGCTGTTGGTGGTGCGCCGGCTGCACGGGTGCTTCTCGCGCGCCAGGATCACGCCCGCCAGCTGCGTGATGGTCCACAGCATCGACCTCGCGCTCGTGGCCGTCAGCCCGATCGGGTTCCACGACCAGAACCGCCACTCCGCGTCCGGCTCGCCCACCACCGCGAAGATGTCCAGCAGGCTGTACGGCATGCCGCTCGTCGGCTCGATGCCCGTCTTGCCGCGGCAGTAGTCGCGCCAGATGTTGAGCGGCGCCGTCTGCCGCCCCACGATGTGCGACGGCAGGTCCAGGAACCCGATCGTGCACACCAGCTCCGACGCGATCGGCGTTTGGTTCTGGATCGCGTGCCGGTGCGCGAGGATGGAGTGCAGCCCGCCGAGGTGCATCGTCCAGGACTTGCAGTTTTGCATCTGCGAGAAAGAAGAGAGAGAGCGAGCTCGTCGTTAGCCAAACTCCAAGCAAGAGAAGCGTCAGAAGTAGTTAACCAAAAAAAAAAAAAAAAAAAAACAACACGGACAGAGGGAGTGTGGGCGCATACCCCCACAGAGCAGAGCAGGATGCCGGCGATGATCGTCGCATCCTTCGACATACTCGCACTGTCACAGACATCACGGCGGAAGAGCCGCAGAGCCTCCGCGTAGTATGCCTCTTGCCGGTCCTGGTACTGCGGGCTCAGCGACAGCTGGAACATCAGGCAGTTGGCCATCAGCGACTCCGACTCGTCGCAGTAGGCCACGACCTCCTCGAACGGCGAATACCCGCTCTCTGATCCCATCGCCAGACACTGCGCTCCCCACCGTTTGACTATTTATTATTGGTATCGCACGGTTAGTCGCAGGAAAACAAGCGTTTTTTGGCGGCTTGGGGGGGCAGGCAGGCATACATTCAAGAAACAGTTCCCGATCAAAGGGGCTCAGCCCTATCGAGCGAAGCGAATCGACCTCGGACGGCGCCGATTCGGTCTGTGGCTCCTCGCTGGATTTTCCCGCCTCCTTCGTCACGTCCCGCTCCGCAGCAGGCGGGCTGGCTTTCTTCGGCGGGCGTTGCTTGCAGGCCTTCCGCGCAGCACTCTCATCGCCGCTGTCCGTAGACTTGGCAGAACTCATCATCATTGTCGTCGTCGTCATCATCATCGTTGTAGTCGTCGTCGTCGTTGTCGTTGTCGCGGGCGCCTGCGGCGCCACCATCATCGTAGGGCAATTCATCCCCTTCAGGTAGCCCCGCGAGGCGATGCCATTCCCCCATTTCAGCCGCGCCTCGTAGCCCTCGCACTTGAGGCCCTTGTTGCGGCACTGCAGGCACTCGGGATGCGTCTCGTCGCATTTCTTCTTGCGCGCGCGACACGTCCAGCAGCCGTTGCGCGAGCGTGTCACCTTGGGCTTGCGGGCGGCAGGCTTGGAAGGGTCTACTTGCTCGGACGTCGCCATATAAAGGTCATGGCATCCGAAGACCGGGGGGAAGGGGAAGAAGGGGGAGGAGAGGGGGGGCGGAGTGTGGCCAGACAGGTGTGCAGGGCAAGGGCGCGGGGAACGGGGGCCTTTTTAAGTCCTGTGGCTGGAGCAGGCCGGCGGGTGAAGCTGAGGCATAGTGAACTAACTAACTAGTCCGTGGGAACGCAGAAACGAGCGCTGGGGGGGAGGGGAGTAATGGTAGTGGTAGTGGTCTTTGGGCCAGCAGCAGCAGCAGCAACAGCAGTGTAGCTGCTCTGAATTAGGTAGAAGAGCAGCAAACAATCCCTTGCAGCGATGCTAATTGCGCGGAGTATTTCACTAGCGAAGGCTGAGCTTGGCTGGCCGTTGATGATCCTGCTGACAGGATCACCCAGCCCGACCGACAGAACAGTCGCGGCGAAGCGGGGCTTTAGCGCGACGGCGCCGCTGCCCCTGGCCGGCGCTATCACTACTTTCTGATCTCAGCCACACTTTGGGCGTGTATCGTGCGCGCCGCCGCCGTCCTTCGCGGGGGCCCCGGAAACGGTGTGCCCCGACGACGTTCGTCTGGGGGCCAGCCGCGGCGAGACCTCGGACTCCCAGCCGTGGACTGAGGTGCGCCGAGGCAGACCGCGATCTTCGGCGATGCCAGCGGACCTGCCTGCCTGCCTGCCCCCCCTCGTATTGGCTGGTCTAGCGAGCCCGCCAGGCATGACGTCCTCCATCCTCCGGATGCATACAGCCGCTCCCGAGGACCAGTCTTTTTGTCTCCGGCTGCAGGCGCCCGAGGAGATAGATCAGTGGCGTGGCTGAGCCACAGTTCCTGGTGGGGTCTCTCCATGATCATTATTATTATTATTGCTCGCCCTCTGCAGCATCACGCGGTGGGCACGCTCCTCAACTCGCCCCCAGGATGCCCCGTCCGTTCGTTGTCTTTCCGATCGCGGCGCGTGGTGATCGTGATGTGCGCCACAGCCGTCGGCCCTGCTTACGTAACTAGCTTTAGGCAGCGAGCCAACGGCCGCGCCGGGCCTTACGTCACCAGCGCTCGCCTCCTGAAGCGGCCGACGCAACTCATCCAATCAGTCTGACACACTAACGGCTGGCCATGCATATTCATTCATATGTCACCCTGCTGCCGCCAAAAATATCGAGTGTTCCTGAGCCCGCACGCTTCCAACTCTATCATACGGGAGACACCATGGCGGCGGCGAATGCCCGAGGATCCTAGAGGAGCTCCCAAGAACACATCCCAAGATGTCATTTGCCGATCTGGAGCTGCTGGGGCAGATCAGTAACGCTTCAATTTCGCAAACATGTTGTTATCATGGTTTTGAACCGCGTCCTTTTGTTGCTTGTCTCCCTTGGACCTCCTGGATACAAGATGTCCTTTTGTTAAAACACCACATTCGCCGATCATGGAGCCCGTGGACTGTGGGGGTTTCCTACTTTGCCCTATTATTTCTCAATTTTAAATTGCGGCCTAGTTAGTATCGGCAGCCTTACCAAATGCCGGCGACGGCCATTACGCAAAACAATTTGGCACCCACCGATACATTATTATTATTCACCGTTCACCGCCAATCACGGCCCTTCCTCCCCCACAATCCTCACTAAATTGTTCTCGAACTTGGCAGACGTCGGATATTAAACAGCTCGCACTGCACTCCAAAAACGGTTAGACCCGCCCCGCCCCGCTCCCTTCCGGGCCAATAAAATGCATACATATATCGTGATCATCATATAGTTAGCGTAGGAGGAGCCTGCGTCCCGCAATTCTGCTTTGCATCCGAGATGTGGGACTGATACCGCGCGCCGGCGCCCAGCCGGGGCTAACGTGGTGTGGGCCTGTCTGCCTGCCTGGCTGCCTGCCTGTCTGCCTGGCTAACAGCCGCAGGGTCGTGCCCCTGTCTGTCATCTAACATTATTATTATTAATATTATTATTCCACGGACGGAACGCCGTTTCCCGGCGACGTTGGAACTTGCGGTAAAGGGGTTTCCGTTCGGCGACCTAGAATTCTTAGTGAACCCGTCTGGATGAAACGTGAGTTTGACATACCGCAAGAAAAGCTGTTATCTTTCGGCGAAACCGGGCTTGGGCCGTCATTGGGCAATGACGGGGGAAAAAATAGGCCGTTTTGAAGGAGCAAACATTTACAGAGCACAGTAGTTAATACCAGGCAAATGAGTCTACATATGTCTTGATTTGCTAGGGCTAGACTGGGTTCTATTAATGTACAAATCATTTGCATTATCTGAAAATCTTTTTTTCGTGTCACAAAAAAATAAAGAACAAAACAAAAGGGATATCATCTGGGAATAGTGGGCCAATCTGTGGATTCAGGCATGCAAGCCGAGGCATCTAAAAAACAAAATTGTCAAGAATGGTTCCAAAAAGAAGGCCAAGAAGGTATCAAAAGGCAATTTTTTGTTAAAACAATCGTTAGAACGTAGAAGTAAAAAAAGAAATCTTGTCCAAAAATCTCTTAAAGGCCTTGGTGGAAGAATGCAAAGGTCGAACAGAAGTTGTTTCTATTATCCTTCTGCAAGATCAAAGCTTGGCCATTCGAGGTGATCATGTTCGTGCTGGCCTTGGTGCTCAGTGCATACAAGTACACGTCGGAGCAGTCGACCTCGATCATGTTGAGCTGGCAGGACTCGGTCTGCAGGCAATCTTGGTTGTAGTTCTCGAAGAAGCTGTACAGACCACCACCGTATAAGTAGACGTCACTCGACTGCAAGATACGGAGGCCCCATGCTTTCTTGCACGCGGCGGTGGTGCAGTCGCCGAATGTTGGATCGTCGAATTTTGCCATGGGCTGGAAGGGCACCAGCGCATCAGGATTAGATTGGAAGTACCTGGATTTGATGTTAGAGAAAAAGCATGTAAGAGAAAAAAGGGGAAAAAAAAGGAGCGCTTACGGAGTTTCGGTCTGGATCAAGGCCATATAAACGTTCTTAGCTTTGTTGATCTGGTAGTTGTACAGGGTGTTGTGCTCCGACGCCGTGCCATACATCCAAACCGGACCCTGGCTCTCAATAAGGACGCCTCTTCCATTGTAGATGTTAATTTGTCCAAAATCAGTCAAATCTAGCTCGTGATCGGCAACCCAAAACCAGGTATTCTCGAAGTATCCCGACCCCGACGCCGTGACATGGAGCAGCATGAAAGCGCTGATGCATTGAGGATTCGGAGTGGTGGTGGAGTTTGGGGTCTTGGCGCAGCGGTTGCTCTGGAGATCGGTGCCTGCGGAACCGCCGACGCGCAAATGGACGTCCCACATTCCAACGGATCCTTGAGACTCTTCGTGAACATTCCACTCGACCAGGATGGCGCCGGGCGTGGGACCCTTGGTTTCGATCATGAGGTCTGAAATCTCGACAGTGCCTCTGTCGCCAGGTTTGCCAACTTGGAGCATGGGGATGGGGTTCTTCTCGTCAGAAAACGCGGGGCCAGTGGCCATCAGCAGCGGCCAGATTTCACCGGTGATCTTGATGTTCTTTGGAATTCTGAGCGTGGTTGTGATCAGATACGCGCCGTGGTCAAAATACACGATTTGGTTGGGCTGAGCGCTGTCCAAAACCCTTTGGATTGCGGCGGTATCGTCGGTCTTTCCATCTCCCTTGGCTCCAGCGGATTTGACACTGATAAACGACGACGCAGGAACATTTTGGTATTGGGGCTTCGAGCGCTCGAAGACTTTACCGGATTGATCCAAGAGCACAGCTGGTTTCGTAGGACCAGGGAGCGCGGTCCGGGCTCTGGTTTTAGTGACCGCAGTCCTCGCACAGGTTTCGCTCTGGCTCGCGCTAGGGCTCGTAGGGGAAGATGGGGAAGGTGTAGGAACAGGAGGCGAAGGAGCGGCAGTATTTGAAGGCGCGGGAGCAGAAGGTTGAGGTACGCCGGGAACGCTCCCGCTCTGGCTTGGGCCGGTCGGATTACCACTACTGCTAGGGACGTTGGAAGCGGGAGGTGTAGGTGTAGGTGGCACCTGCGCAGAGCTAGTGCCAGGAACAGGAACAGGGATCGACGGGAGTGGAGTCTCCGGGCAGTCAATCACGGTGGCGACTTTAACCAACGTCGATGTCCGGGTGGTGTCTCTTTTGCCCTTGGACGCACCCGAGCCAGAGCCAGGAAGATAGGCATTGCCCTGCACCCAGTGGCCAATGGTGGTGTCGCCTCCCAAGATCCGGCCCCCTTGCACGTTGGAAACGGCCTCGCTTGAACCGGCAAACTGGACGTTATCTAAGATGAGAGTGCCGCCCGCCTCGGGCACGCCGCTATCGAATGCTGTCACAATGCCGCGGGGTGTGTTGTTGATCTTGCTATCGAGGATCAAGACGGAGCCGACGGTTTGGTTAGTGATCCCGTTGGACATGTTCAGACCCACCGCGCAGTTGTTGATGGTCAGCGACTTGAAGGTCCAGGCCCAGTTCCAGTTCATAAAGATGGCGGTGTTGCAGTCATTGAAGGTCAGGTTGCGTGTGGTGAACTGCTGGTTGCCGAAGAACGCGCCGTAGTTGCCACCATTGAACACAAGATCGGTCATGAAACCGCCAGAGCCGTTCTCCATGAAGATACCAAGCTGTTTGTTTGCATCGCCGCCGCCCCGCACCATCTCAAAGCGGATGTTCTGCAGGCTGGTCGCTTGTGCAACTTGCCAATGGATGCCGGCGCCAGAGCCCATGTTCATTCCCGTGAGGTCAATGACGAAGTTGCGAACCTGGCGGAAGAAATTGTTCTGGTTGGTGTACCAATTCTGCCCCTTCTCATTGTACGGATTAGCGTCGATCACCGCGATGCCCACGAAGCTCGCGGTGGGCTTCAGGGTGGGAGGGTTGACAGCATCGCCCACAAGCTGCGTATAATAGTACTGGATGATCGGCTTCGAAACGACGTAGGTGCCGGGAGGGAAGTAGACCAGGCCGGGAGTGATGGTTGATGAGTCGCAGCCCGAACCACATCTGGAGCCCGAGGAAATTGCATTGTTGATTGCTTCGGTATCATCGGTGGATCCGTCGCCTGGTCGATATGTCAGTATACCCAGCACAAGCCAGCAGCTGCAGACAGGAAAGTGAGATGTTTTTACCCTTTGCACCAAAGTCTTTGACGTTTCTGAACACTTGATAAGCGCTGTTTGGGTTGAAGGCGGCTGCACCCTGGCGTTTGATGGAGCCCAGCCAGTATGGGGGGGTGGTCAGGCCAGGAGTCTGATCCTGGGGCATGGGGATGGCATTTGCAAAAGGCGTCGTCTGCAGCAACAGCATAAGAAGCTGCACAGCGAGCCAGGTGAAGGCAAGGCGGCGGGCCATGATGGAGTGCTCTGGGAGGGGATATCAAATAAGAGAAGGGCCTCTACTGAGGTGAGCTGCGGCCGGCGTGGCTTCCTTCAGTGAGAGTCAGTTTTGTTTGATATGTGGAACAATTGTTTAAGCGAGTGCAAGAGAGAGTCAAGAAAGATGAGAAATGAACAACGAGTCAAAACATTTAAAATGAATGCAGGAGGTGAACAATGGGGGGTATTGTCCGGAGTGAGTGTGCGCACACAAAGGGCAAAAAGAGTGACAGCCAGCCCAGTTGATCAAAACAGAGCGGCTTCTGCCGACAAAAGAAGAATTTGCTCCCAAGAACAGAGACGCTCTTCACGGCAGTTCCATGACTGTCTGGAATTCGCCGTGGCAGAGCGGGCTTATAGGCCAGGAGCGCACGGAGAGAGCCGCCCAGCACGTATAATAATAATATGCAGCCTAGACAGGGGCACCCGCTGCCACAGTGATCGCCAGTGGAGCCGTGCCGCAATCAATATTTCATATTTAGTTTTTTTTTTTTTATTTATTTCACACAGATGCGGCTAGAAGTCGACACGGAAAACGAAGCTTTTTGCACTCACTGGCTAGCGGGTTCTGATTCTGACCTGTCAAGTGCGCTCGAGAGCCCCCCGGGGAGCCAGTGCCAGACGCGCTAGGTGGGGTTCACAATGAAACAGGGCGGGCGGTCGAGCAGGGGAGCGAAACCGATTGAAACGGGCGAGACTCAAGAGATCCGGTTCCCTTTTTTCCTTTTTCCCTTTTTTTTTTTGGCGCCGGACGGGTTTCCTCACGGCATTGGACGTGCGTTGGGTTCTTATTTATGCGCTGGGCTACATACCAGCCCCCCCCCCCCCCCCCCCCCCCCCCCCCCCCCCCCCTCCCCTTCTTCTTTGCGAACAGGTTCTTTTCGCGGAGAATGAGAGAGGGGGCGTCATCTGGTCGATGTCATGGACTGCAACCGCTGACCGCATCAGACAGCCCGTTCCTGGCTGGGGAACGCCCGCGCGGCGCCGTCAGTTGATCGGTTGGGAGGAGGCACGAGCTGGTCTAGGTATGTACCCTACATGGTACCTAGCTCCGACTCGACGGGTGTACCAGGTAGTTAGCTACCTCACTAGTTAGTTGACGAGCTACGGCCTGCACGCCCGCACGAGACCCCCGTTCCCGTCCGCTCTCGTCTCGCAGCAGCACCAACCAGCTGCGCGGACGATCGCATCGCCCCGCAGCCAATGAGCGCACGACTCTCGGGGGGCTCTCTCTCTGCGGCGATCGGTGCGACCGTCGCGGCGTGCTTGTGCTTGTGCTAGGGCTCCGGGGCCCGCCAGCCCTGGCGCTGGGTTAACTATGCTGGTGGTGGTGGTCGCAGCCACGCGGAGAAAACACCAGCGTGGGAAGGGTGGCCGCACAGACGGAGACTGCATCGCCGCCAGGGTGGCTCAGGCTGGGGGTACGGAGTACTCCGTAGTATGATTCTCTCTGAAATGATATTATCGTGGTGGTGCGTGGAGGCGAGATTTGTTAATTAAAAGGGGGGGTTGAGGTTGTCCAGACTGGTTGGCTTCGGAGGGTTTTGCTATGAGAAAAAGCTATTTCACCCACCACCCCCTGATTAGCCTCGCGAATGATACATATCTCCGGGTCTCATACAACCAGTCATCCTGCAAGGCCCGCCTCTCCGTATTGTCATAGCTAGCCGCCGATCACCCACGCCCAGCCAGCCAGACCGGAACAGTCACACGCCCCCGCCGCGCGGCGATCAAGCCCGCGAACAGCCTTTTTGTGATCATGAGGCTGCGAGAGCAGGCCATATCTGATCTTGCATCGCAGACCTTCCGCGTGCATGGCGTCTGTCTGTGCTGGGCGTGGCTGGGGCTGCCTCCCTCATTTCGCGCCGTGTAGAAGAAAAATAGAGAGCCAAGAATGTGTTCATGTGAGTTCGTTCTACGGAGTACGAGTACAGGAAAACAAACACCCCTCCGCTCCGACCCTTCGCTTCTACTCCTCCATAGCACGATTCCCCTCACTCCACGCGCAATTCCCGCCGCAGCGCACGCGCCAGCCGCTGCACGCCCGCGCTCAGATGCGGCTCCTCCTCGTACGCGAAGCACAGGCGCACGTAGCGGTCGACGTCGTGGCGGCGCTCGCGGTTGCTGCGGTCGCCCGCGACGCGGAACAGCCGGCCCTCGCCGACCTCGAGCGCCTCCTCGCGGCGCGCGCGCGCCGCCAGCGCCGTCACGCTGACCGTCGCGGGGAGTTGGATCCAGATGAAGTAGCCGCCGCGGACGGCGGCCTCGTCGTTGTCGTTGTTGTTGTCGTCGGGGGCGCCGACGTGGTGCACGCCGAGCGGTGCGAGGTGTGTCGCGATGGCGGACGCGAGCAGGTGGTAGCGGCGGCGGTAGACGGGGCGCAGGGTGTGGTGCACGAAGTCGGGCACGAAGTGGGACGTCAGGAGCTCGCGCACAAAGGTCGAGGTGAGCTGCGACGGAGCGCCGCCGGAGATGGTCGAGCCGCTGGGGATTGTCACACGCATCAGCATAGTGTATACCGTGCAATACTAAGATATCGACTCACGTCTGCGAGAGCCCGTACGCCAGCCGCGGCGCGGCCTCGACCCAGCCCACGCGGAAGCCGGGCCCGATCAGCTTGCTGAAGCTGCCGTTGCTGATGGCGTTGCCGAAGTCGTCCCGGGGCCCGCCGTCCAGCACGCGGTCGATGTCCACCAGGCGCGGGGCCACGGCGCGGTCGGGGTTCTGCGTGGCCGGGTCGTCGTCATGGCCGCCTGGCCACTGGAGAAAGTCGTACACGTCGTCGGCGACGAGGAGGGCGTCGTGCGCTCGCGCCAGCCGCACCAGCTGCTCGCGGCGGCGCGTGGTCATGATGCCGCCGGACGGATTGGAGAAGGTCGGCACGGCGTAGATGATGTGCTTGTAGATCTTCCTCCACGGGAACGGCGACTTCGCTTGCTGGTCGGACAGAGAAGAGGTAAGTAAATCGTAGCAGGACAAAAGCCATATCCGAATACTATACCGATTCAACGGTACCACTTGCACTCTCCACCGCCGCAGCGTCACATTTTTTTAATTCGGCCTCGAGAAACTCGACGTCAATGCCCTCCGCATCCTCAGGCACGGCGCGCATGCGGCCCGCGAAGCCGGCATCGTCGAAAATGCGGCAGGCCAGGTAGTACGTGGGCTCGACCATCCACACGGCGCGGGTGCGGGCGGGGTCGGCGAAGACCTGCAGCAGGCAGGCCAGGGCCTGGCTGGCGCCACCGGTGATGCAGAGGCGGTCGGGCGTGACGGCGGGCGCGGCGGCGCTGGCATAGAAGCCGGACAGCCAGCGGGCGACGGCGGCGCGCAGGTCGGGATCCCCCTCGTCGGGCCCGTAGCCAAAGGCGGGCGCGGAGCGGGCGGGGTCGCGCAGCACGGCGGCGGCGGCGGCTTCGAGGGCGGCGGTGGGGTGCAGCGAGGGGTTGGGCCAGCCGCGGAAGAGGTCGATGGCAGGCGAGGGCGAGGGCGTGGGAGCGGCCATGGTGGGAGCGTGATAGAATACCGGAGCCTAGAAGGAATTCATAACTACTCCGTACTCTGTCTCCGTCCGGCTGAGCGTGGCCCAGGCGGGAAGCGGGCTTACGCCATCGGGGGTCGCCAAGCGGCGGGTGGGCGGGCGGTAGACGCGTCGGCAGGGGGCGGAGAGCGCCAAAGTCACGAGAGGGCGGGTGTGAAGCTGGGAGGGAGGGAGTACGGAGGAGAGGAGCAATTATCCAGGTAGCTGGCTAGCTCGTTAACTAGTTACTAACTAACCGATACGACAGCCAGCAGCACAGCCGTCGAGCTTCGCGGTGGAAACGGCGGCGACTTCGCTTGCGCCAGGCGTGGCTGTGAGCTCTCGCTAGCAGTGTGCCAGTGAGTGGGTTAGTTAGCGTGGGACCAGAGCGCAGAATGCCAACGCACGCGTCGGAGGCTTGGGATTGGAAACGGATTCACTGGGAGAGTAGCAGTACTCGTCGAAGGATGCTGTTAGTCAGGGAGTCCACCGGGGGCGAACTGCGCCAGTCGGGCCGCTTGGAGCTGCCTGTTGTGCTTCGTCTTTGTTGAGCGGCCCATGGTAACACGCACGAGCCAAAAATAGCAGCAGAGTAGGATAATCCGTAGTTAGAGAGAGAGAGGAGAATAGAATACGTACAGCAGAGAAAGAGTATCGCGTCAGAAGCGTTTGGGTCGCCACCCGCCTGTGTTTCACCGCGCCGCCCCTTTGCCCGCGAGCGAGCGTGTTTCCAAGGCGTTTCCCGCCTGCCGTTGGCTGCCCGTTGCTTTTGCCGCAGCCTTTCCTTTCTCTGCCGTCTCTCTCTCTCACTCTCTCTCTCTTACTCTCCTTCTACTCTCCCTCTCACACACACACACTCTCTCTCTCATACTCACTCTCCCTCCCGGCATGCTCCTCGCCCACTAGCCTCCCCGCCCGCCATGCTCGCCGCGCCTGCAAAGTCGGCCAAGCGCCTGTCCTCGCTCTTCTCCCTGGGCTCGTCGCGGCCCAAAGACGACTCCAAGCCGCCGCGCTCCCACGCCGCTTCGCACTCTCAGTCCCAGTCCCAGTCTCCGTCCCCGTCCCAGTCGCAGTCGCCGCACGCCACCGCTGCCCGCCATGGCCCCTCGGCCTCGCAGCCCGCCCTTCGCCACTCGGCCTCCGTCCAGGACCTGCACAACAAAACCACCACCACCCCGCGAAACGTCTCCGCGCCGCTGCCCAGCTGCGAGTTCCTGCCGCCGCCTGCCCTCGCCATGGTGAACCCCAGCGTCGCCGCCGCCGACCCCCTCGACGACTCCCGCCAGCGTCCGCAGAGCTGGGCCACCAACTTCAGCCGCCCCATGTCTGCCTGCGAGCCCCTGCCCACGCCCAAGCCGCCCAAGACCCGGAGCTGGGTGCCTGGCAAGCTGCGCAAGGCCTCCGATGCCATGCCCAATCCCGCCCAGAAGATGCGTGCCTGGGTCGCCGGCACGCCCCAGGAAATCCCCTACGACGTCGACCGCTTGGTCGCCGGCGACAAGGTGAGCCTCTCTCGACGACAACAGCAGCAACAATCACCGCCGTGTCAGCCTGATGGCCTAACCACACACTCCCCGCAGGTCTATGAGCTCTGGGACGACCAGGGCGACACCTACGTGTATCTCTTCCCCCCCAGCACCGGCCGCCCGCCCTCCTTCAAGGTCCACTCCGCCGCCTTCGCCGCCTCGCCCGCCCTGACCATCATGGCCCGCGGTGCCGACCCCGCCGCCCTGCCCGATCGCCCCGTCGACCGCCCGCCGCAGCTGCATCTGTCCGTGCCCATGTCGCCGCCCGTCTCGCCGCCCCACGGCTCCCTCGACGGCTCGCAGGATGGCTCCGACGGCCGCCGGTCCAGAGACTACCTGCTCGACGAGTCCGCCCAGGAGCTGCATCTGTTTCTGCCCGTGCCGTTCGTCAGCGACGTGTCCGGCCCCCAGCCCATGCTGCACGACGAGGACGTCGACATGCTCGTCTTGTTCCGCAACATCTTTGCCTTCCTCGTCGGCCAGTCGCTGATCGCCACGCCCCGGTGTCCCTCAGTGTTTGCCATCTTCATGGAGATTGCCGGCCTGCTGGAGCGATTCGGCTTCTCGAACCTGGACGGCTCGACGTTTGGAGAGACGGCAATCTCGAGCTTTGCCTGTTACTGCGATGAGTTGGGGCTGTCCGACGTGCGGCGGAGCTCGGAAAAGACCCTCCAGGCCATCGTGCTGGGAGAGAGGATGCGCTATCTTCCTTTATATCAAGAAGGATTCAGCCATGGCGTGGGGAAACTGGACGATATTAAGTTATGTGACGGATCCAAATATGCACTCGTCACAAAGTTAACTCAAAAACGAATGGAGAGAGGGTACCTGGACCTCGAAAACCGCCTGAAGGTTGCCAGGGAAAAGTTGGATGATTTTGATTTCCCGCAGCTGTTCTCGGGTTTCGCAAACTCTAATGTCATGAACGAAGCCAGGCTGATTAGCTTCAAAAACTGGAAAAATGCTTATGTTGCCTTCCGCAAGCACGTCATGTCGTACTATCGCGCCCGCTTTGGATCGTGGCCGCCGAGGGCCAATTCCAAAAAGAACCAGTTCGAGGAGAGCGGCCTGAATCGCCTGGTGCTGCGAGAGCTGTACCGCGATTTCACCGACCTCTATGACATGCTGGTCGACCGCACCTCGCTCACCACCCGATCGTCGGATATGAATCTGACGGGCCTCGAAGGCGATGGCGTAGATGCCCAGGAACCTTCCGTCCGGGCCTTGAGACAGCTCATGAGTGAGTTCGACAGAAGCACGCCTCCTGTGGCGCCCCCGATTCCGTTTGATATCCCGCTCCGACCCACCATCCGCTCCATCAAGCGACGGCTGGACCCGAAGAAAGAACCCAAGGAGAGGGCCAAGAAACTGTCCGCCGGCGAAATCAACGAGATCCTGCTGGCCGGCTACAACCACAAGAGCATGAAACCCACGCCGTTCCTCGAAAGCTTCACGCAGTTCGAACGCCGCGTCGGCAGCGGCAAGAACACCGACGAACTGGTCGACAACCGCTGCGGCCAGTGGCTGTTCATGTACGCCGTGCTGCAGTCGCTGCCCATGGTCATCGTCGACGCGCCCGACGTTAAGTTCAGCGACGGTGTCGAGTACTTCCTCTGCATCCCGCCGCGCGGCGGCTCGCCGTGGTGCAAGGACGATCCGCGCTCCGGCCGCAGCTGGTTCGGCGTGGCCGGCGGCGCCGGCGTCGTCAACCTGCCCTCCGACGTCGTCGCCAACGGCGTCGAGGGCGTCTACCGCCGCAGCCACTGCTGGCAGGTCGCCTCGCGCTGGGCCGACCAGCACCAGCTGCTCTCACCCGCCATGCAGCACCACGACTTCGCGCCCAACCACAACATCCACAGCGCTGGCACCGGCACCGGCACCGCCAGCGGCAGCGGGCCCGGCACGCCCGCCTCGCCGTACCAGCCGCCGTTCATCGCGCCGCCGCTCTCGTCCACCGAGTCGAACTCCGACCGCCAGCCCACGCCGCTCCTCACGCCGGGCACCATCACGCCGCCCATGTTCTCGCTGCCGCTGCCGCACCCGGGCTTCGCCGCGCGCGCCGGCAACCGCTCGTCCATCCACATGGGCATCGAGGCGCTGCCGCTGCCCGCCGGCGTCGCGCCCATGGAGCCGCTCCCCGCTCGCCCGCTCAGCCACAATCCCAACTTGAGCTTCGATCAGATCCTCGGCGGCATGCCGCAGCAGCAGCAGCAGCAAAGAGGGAGGAGGTAGTCGTCCGACAGACTTTTTTTTTAGATTCGTCTTTTGTTATGTCGTTTCCACCTATCTTGTCCTTGTTTTTTGGGGTTTTCATTTTTTGTTTGCCAGCGTTTGGCCTAGCATGATGATAGACACTAACCGATAGACTTGCTGGACATTGTTTTTACAACACCACACTCCTGTATCATTCTCCTTTTCTTTTTGGTCTTATCTCTCTCTCTCTCTCTCTCTCTCTTTTTCCTCTCTTTTATTTTTTGGGGGCTCGAACTTGGGAATTGGGTAATAATTTGGATCCGGATAGGAAGAAACCCACCACTGCACAGAAGAAGAAAAAACTTCCAAAAAAAAAAAAGTTACAGTCACCACGATTAACGAAGGGGTTCTTTTTTTTGTTTTGTTTCCCTTTTTTTTTTTTCCTTTTCTTGTGTGTATTTTCTCGGTCTTGACTTTATCTTCTGTTACCTTGGGCGCCGTTTCGGGGACCGTATCGTATCTCTTTCCTCTTCTAATAATGCTGGGTACTGCTGTCGGATCGTTTTTTTTTTTTTTTTTTTTTTTTTTTGGGCGGAGGGGTTTATCAAATTTGCATCCGAAACAGAAAAAAAAAATTCAAGTTGACAGAATCAAAATCGATCCTTATATATATAATCTCTCTTACTCACTTGTTTGCAGCGTGATTAGAAAACCCAACAAACCGCCCCGCCCCCAACCAGCAAAGAATATCTGATGGGTTGGACATGCGCCGCCCTCATAATATATACGAACCGTTGGCCCAAAGGATTAGTATCGACCTTTTAATGACCACGGTGGCAAAAGCCCGCGGGTGGCCGGGGGAGAGGTTCATATATATATACATAGGATCCTACTAATATTCCGGACGTGTGTACATATAGCCCCCCCATGTTCCTGCGGCGCGCCGGGAGGGGGGGGGCAAGGAAGGGAACGGCACGCCGTCCTCCGTGCCGCGGCGGGGGGATATCACCACGGCGTGCGACTCTGTAGAGCCCGAGCTGCCCATAAAGGTATTGGACACGGGAGGCGGCTCAAGATAACTATGTATGTAGTTGTTTGTGTGATGATAGTACGCTGCGGGCCTGCGCGAGCTGAGACGCTGATGTATTTTAATGGCTGTCTATGGAGTGTTCATGCTCTGCGGAAAAGCTGTGCATATTATTATTATTCTAAGATTCTACGTCGTAAAGCGGTAAAGTTGTCTCAAAATGCTTCCCCCCTCCCCCAGTCCCATTCTCCGAAAGTGGAGGGCCGTTGGCAGGAATCACATGGACTCGTTAACTAAGTACTAAACTATGCAATATTACTCCTGAGAGAAGATCGTCAGGCTGTTAAGACTCCGCTCCGGATTGCTGCTTTTCCCGGCAAAAATGGGGCTCAAGTCTCGGATCTTCGTCAGAGACATTTGTTCGGATTCAGAGTTAGTTGGTTAGCCGGCTTTACTAGCAATAATAATAATAACAAATCCCTCTGTCCCTCATTCTCTCCCACATGCACGTTGCAAATCCCCTTCACGTGCAGTTACATACTCCGGACTACTCTCCATTCCTCCGTATTCTGGCGAGACTGCCACTGGAGAACACCTTGCAGGGGCTTTTGGTGATCATGGCTGGATACGAATTTCTCCTCGTATTCCATTCCCGCAGCACGCGCGCGTATTAAGGGGGGGCCGACTTCCCCCTTTTTGCGCCCAACAGCAGAGCACTTGTGTGATTCGGTCGATTCCCCGGTCGATATTGAAAGGGCATTAAGTTTTGTTTTCAGCACAGCTAGCTAGCTAGTTAGTTAGTTGACTAGGGGAGAGAGTGCAGGTGGCCGCGTGCAGGAAATGTGCTTTGGAAATAATTTTTGTGATACGGATCAAGTGTAAAGATTCATATCTGGAATAGCTGTTTGATATTGGATTTACAAAACTGCTACTCCGTAGTTGGGTAACTAATGATATGGTCTTGTGGAAAGGTTCGAACGGTGAGCAAAGAACCTTTCCCAGGGTGAATGGCATTCAGGGGCACCCTGGTTCTGTAGTGGAAATGCCGTTACACCAAGCCTTTTTTTAGAGCAATTCAGTTCAGCAGCACTGGTGAGTCTGCGGGCTGTTCAGTAGTGGGGGCCTCTGATTTCCCGCAAACATGCCGAATCGACCCCATTCGGGGGGCTCAGAAATGCAGCGGTATGGGCATTCTACGATATGAGAATGCGAATACACTTCTTTAGCTGTAGTAGCCATATGGGGCTGTTGTGGTGGACATGCAGAAAAAGCCCGGTTGGCTCTCGGCAAAAGAAGCAGTATAAGAATGGCTGTCTCTCAGCGCAATAGGACCCGAAGTTGAACGCACAGTCTTCTTCTACATATCCTACTCAAAAATCATTTTCAGAATTCAAAAGGCCTTCAGCCATGCGCTTGTTTTCACCACTCCTCTTCGCCGCCTCCCCCGTGCTCGGCGCACTGGTAGTAGACTACCAGGCGTCCAGGGGAGACGACCCCGCAGTGATGGGGTATCTCAACCTCGAAGCTAAGCGAGGGGAGCCGGTGTTCGAAAACAGGCCGGATCTGTTCATCCAAAGGGGGACCGATCCCAGGGGAGTTCCGTGCGCGCACTTCCACCGCAAGCAAGGGAACATTCGGGCGGAATATCACTCCCTCAACAAAGCGACAAAGAAGGACAAGACGTACACGATCCAGTATGAGTTCTCGATCGGGCAGGTCCAGCAGAGCCTCTCAGTTTGGCAGATGTAAGTTCATCTTGGCCCGCGGGTATCAAATCAAAGACTAATATTGTAAATATAGGAAGGAATATCTGACTGATAACGACAAAGATGGCGGCGCAAATGTCCCTCTCGCGCTGAAAATCTCGAAAGATAAACTCCAGCTCCAGTACCAGCCCAAGTGGGATGCACCACGAGAGGTGTTATGGTCTTTCAAGATCGAGGCAAACACAACATATGCTGCTGGTATTGTGGTCAATACCAGCAATCCAGGCTGGGTGGAGCTCTCGTGGAACGGAGTGCCTCAGAAGCTTGGTAAAGGGCAGGTGACCAGATGTCCAGCGATCACTTTTCCCGGTCGTGCGGACCCGAAGTTTGGGGCGTATTTGGGCTCGGAGATTGATATTGATAGCTATGTGTACAAGGTCCTAATTGACGAGGCGTAAGAGAGAGTGAGAGAGGGTATCTGGAGGGGAAGAGACTTTGTGAGATGGAACTAGAGAAATTAATGCTTCGTGTAACGTGTGTACAACTGCCTGAGAACGGGAAAGGATAACATTTGCGGCGTTACAAGATAATATTCGAATAAATGCAAATTCAACTTGTCGAAGCATCCAGCCGAGTCGAGCCAGCTGTCAAGCATTTATTCATTGGCAAGCCAACACGAGAGCGGAGTCCAGATTCGACCCGCTGCCTGCGATGCCGTATGAAGTGACTCATGACTGTTCCTGTCAAACCGCAACCTTCGCGACAGACCACTGGCTAAAGGTTGTTTGCAATGTTTGCCTGCGCGAGACAAGGCCATTGGGCTGCGCAACATCCAGACACCAACAATCACGAAGCGCAGTAAAGATGGTTCTAATCAAGGCAGGATTGTTCCATCGAGCCTCTGGCAGCTTAAGCTATATAGCCGATACAGACCCGCCCTCTGTATTAAAAGGCAGCCCGCCTTCGGCATTCCCAGATTAATACGACCACTGCACATCCCGCCCCTTTATCCTTTTTACCCTTTCCAGTCGTTCCGCGCCTGTTTCTAACGGGCTATGGCGCTTGCTAATGTGGAATCCGCTTTCAAAAAGTTATCTTTAACGGTCTCTCAAACTGCGCTCTGCATTGTCCCGCCAGAACATCTCTGTGAAGAGATCAATTATCTGAGATCATCCTACGACCAATCATATGAGCGCTGGCCCCCTCATATCAGTCTCCTTTATCCATTTGTTGCCGTCGAGTCACTTCCACAAGCAGCTTCACTAATTGGGGCGAAGCTGAAAGCGCTGCAGGGAACTTCTCCGCCCCTGGATGTGCACGTTCGACTCGAGGGTGCCAGCTCATTTTGCCCACGGAAAGGAAATATCATTCATTTAGTACCACATGAACCCAACAAGGGGTGGTCTCTGAGGAATCTCCAAGATTTTGTTGTTGAGGCTTTGGGGCAGCAGGGAACAGTGGCTGAACAGAGCTTTCATCTGACGATTGGGCAGACCAAGGCGAACGATGACCAGTCACGGGACTCTTTGGTCTCAAAGGCAGATTTATTATCTGCCATTCAGTGGAATGTCGAGGAGCTGGTGGTTCTTGTCCGTGAGAAAGTTACCATTCAGGGCCAAAAAATAACCCGGATGCGGGTCTGGGGTACGATCGACCTCTCTGGAAACGTCACACCCAGCGAATCGGAATCGCTGGAAACAGGAGAGTTTTCAGATATTATTAGTCCACCAGATACTTGCACTTCTCTGCCGATGCCAACGTATGAATTTTGTCCAGGCACCCAGCTCTGGGAGCCTTGCCCGTCGACAAACGACCAAGGCATAGAAACGTCTTTAACACCGGATGCCCTATCGATTTCAAGCTACAATGTACTGTTAGAACGGCTTCATCCACCCCCTCGGGAGAGGTATCCTGCTTTAATTCGCAGCATACTTTCAAACTTTGCCCTGGCCGATGTTCTTGTGCTACAAGAAGTCTGCGACGACTTCTTATCACATCTTCTATCTCAGCCTCAAATTCGAACAAGTTATCCATTTGCTACACATGGTCCACCTTACCAGAATGGGTGCAGGCCATTGCTCATGCAAAGAAACAATGTGGCATTAAGTCGCTTCAAGTTCAGTTGGGAGAACTATTCCTTTGAGGAACGCTACAAAAATGCTATAATCATGAAACTAGACATTTTTAATAAGCTTGATGAAAATCCAGGCTCTTCATCACTGATAGTTTCCGGTGTCCATCTGACGTCTGGCTTGCATGCTGCGAGAGTACATGAAAAAGAATCTCAAATTCGCTCTTTGTATCGTTTTCTAGACCAGAAATACCCGAACAGCCCATGCATTATTACTGGTGATCTGAACATCCCTACATCCACTCTCACTATAAAGAGAGCTTTGGAAGAAAATGTACTCACTCCTGAAAAGGAAATGAAGCTCTTGCAGCTGGAGGAGCTGCTCTATGAATCCCGTTTCCATGACGCCTGGCTCGTTGCTCGTGCCAGTGGAAAGGATACATCGGCTACCGTGCCAAACTACCAGGTCGGTGAGGACCTGATCGAAGGGGAGCTAGGCGGCACTTTTGATCCAGGTCGAAACCCACTTGCCGCCGCATTGGGTGGCAAAGATGGGCGACCACAGAGATATGACAGGATATTAGTCGATGGTCAAAAAACACTTAAAATAATAGAGTTTAATCTCTTCGGCTTTCCTGACCATCCATATCCTAATTGTATCGAAAAAGAACATCCCGAACTTGTGTTTGGGAGCGATCACTGGGGTGTAAGGGCCAGATTCGAAGTTTCCCAAAAAAATAGCTTTGATATTTTGAGATCCACACGGAATTTTACCTTACCCTTAGCGCCCGCTCGTCTTTCAGATACGCCGTCCCTTTTATGTCTGGAAACGTGTATGACATTGCCTTCCAACGAAGATGTGACTAGGCGAGAAGCTGTTCTTGAACTTCTTCGGAATGTCGTGATAAACGCTTCCCCTCAACAAAAGCAAAGTGACGATCAAGACTATCACGAAGCAGAAATTGCAATGATCCTTGTTCCCGTTGGTTCCTATGGAATGGGAGTATGGAGCCCATCTTCAGATATTGATTGTCTTTTTATAGGGCCAATCAGTTCTAAAACTTTCTTTGCTATTGCTGAACAGCGACTCCGAAAAGCTGCCGATAAGGATATAAGGATTCTGCGAAAAGTGAAAGCAGCAACGGGAACCATGCTGGAAATTGAAGTTGATGGCATCAAATGTGACCTGCAGTATTGTCCTGCTGCGAGGGTTGTTGAAAGGTGAATTAAGACATTGGTCCCTAGAATATAGTCTGATAAACTAACGTTGTTTGTAGATGGCCGACCATATCTCAATTGCCGCAAGATGACCCGACGTTTGATTTATCATACCAAGCTTTGTCTAAGCTCCAGGCATTTCGAGACCTTGATTCCATTCAGCGCTCTATTCCAGATATGGCGTCCTTTCGAACAGCCCACCGTTATATAACAGCATGGGCAAAGCATCGTGGTATATATCTCGCCAGGTTTGGTTATCTTAGCGGGATTCATATTACCTTAATGCTGTCGCGAATATCTAAATTACTCTCTTTTACCAAGGGAAGAGTCAGATCAGCAGATATGATCTGTGCATTTTATCATCACTATGCAAATTTCGATTGGGAGGGTGAAATGGTTTTTGATCCGTCCTCCGTCTTCTATAACAAGCCATACTACCGCCGGTATCCAAACGAACCAATGGTTATTCTTACGATACATAAGCCAATTATCAATGTCGCAAGGGCAGTCACAATTTCGTCGGCTAGGACTATCGTTGACGAGTTAAGACGAATGAATCGGCACATATCCAATACTACCATTTCCTGGTCAGAGATTATTTATGGCAATGAGCCCACTCTAGATCCTTCCCAGGAGTTCTTGACAGCCTATAGCAGTTTTATCAAAATCCATATTCAATACTGGGGGTCATCGCTTGCCAAAGGGAACACGCTTGTGGCCTGGCTTGAATCCAGATGCATACGGCTTTTGAACGGTGAGATTTCAAATGATATCCCTCAGACTACTCCAGCTGACCTTTTCATAGATCTGAATAAAAATTTGCCAGGAATCCATGCGAGGATATGGCCTGCTCGATTTACGCCTACTGAAATGACGGATGGCACCGAATATGAGGGATGTTATCTAATTGGTCTCTCGAAGAAAGAGGCAAAAGGAATTGTCGGTAGAAAGGAAGAGCGCGAGCATGGTGTTGCCTCGCTACAGAGGGTTTTATACCAGTTCAAATCAAAAGCCCAAGAAGAAACGAAGTATTTTGATCCTACAGTGGCATGGTTGGATGTTACTCACACCAGGAAAGAAGAACTTGGTTCACTCAAGGTCGACGGAAGAGAATGGGGGACTTACGCACTGACAGAGGAACTGTCAGAGTCTGAAGATGAAGATGAAGAGAATGTTGATTTCGATTCGGACGCCAGCGCTAAGCGATCGGCCCGCAAGCGCTCTGCACCCAAGGTTACGTCAAACATGATAGGCGCCAAGCTCCGACCGGCGGCAGATATTCTTAGCCGTCTTCGTTGGGATCGGAATATGGACTCTAGTGATTATGTGGTTGGGTATGAAGACCGTTTTCTAGGTAGCCTAGAAATTCTGCTGGATAATTGGAAGACAGAACAAACAGACGAGGAGTTTATTCCGCAGCACAGAATCATGTATTTCAGGAGAAAGAGTGACGGGGTGGTCGTCTGGGAGAGGGAAAGCAAGAAAGATCTGATTTTTGGGAGTGGAGTGGGAAGGGTTGAGTAGTGTGTGAATAATAAGAAAGGAGAATCCAATGACACTTTTGGACGCCGTATTAGATAAACTATGTTTACTCCCTACATATGGCGACCTTACGTCTGCATTCTATTGGACCATTTCGAAATAAAATGATACAAAAACCCGGAAAAGAAATATCAATTACCCCGCGCGGAGAGATTCTGAATCAACAATTTTTTAATCATTCAAGCCGCCGATGCATTCATGCACATGTTTTACATCTGGTCGTATTGGTTCCATGGATATGAAGCGTGCTCTCATAAGTCCTTTTTCAAGAAATGCTCCGGCTTATGCGTTGTCTCAAAGTCAACATGCACATATGCTCGTTCTACGTCAGGAAGGCTTTCAAGTTTCATCTGAAGCTCCTCTGCTACATCGTGTGTCGCTCGAAGTGACGAGTCTGGGTCCATTACTATGTCAACCTCCACGACAAGCCGTGGTCCAGAGGTATAAGCGCGAACGGTGTCGATGGCATTGATTAAGGGAGAGTGGGTCATAGCTTCCATCGCACCGGCCATTAGAGTGGTGTCATACAAATGGGTTGAGGTGGGATACTTACATATATATGTGATGAGTTGTTGCATCTTGGTGTCCGCAGTAATGCCGATGAGCAGTTGGAACTCGGAGTATGCAGTTCTGAGCCACAATACAGCGATGATCAGCGAAAGGATCAACGCTCCCATGGGATCGATCCACCATCGCAATTTACTGCCCCCAACGGACGTGAGGATACCAAAGCCATTGATGGCAAGGTCGTTTCGATGGTCCTCCCATAAGATCCGGACTTGGGAGTACTGGTTCCGTATTGCCCAGCAGTATAAGAAAAGAACTAGCTTCGTGACGAAGGCGATGCTGACGGCGATCACAGACGGCAGATGGAAGCCCAAGGTCTCGTTTTCGCTCCCACTGGCCAAATCTTTCGTGGAGAATGCGATCAGAATGAACGAAACGGCTGTCATAAGAAAGCAGAAACATATATTTCCCGCAGTTTCAATCCTGGCCTTCCCCGCGGGGAATTTGCGCGCATCGACGCGTTGCACGGTCTTATGACAGAGCAGCAGTGTCAGATTGGACAATGGGTCAAACACAGAGTCAGCCATGGTGGTAAATAGCGACAAGGATCCGGACGCGATAGCGCCATAAAGCTGCAGGATAGCCAGGACGACATTGGCGGCGAAACTGCCGTAGACAGCAATTTTATACCGCAGCTGGTTTTGAGTGTTGAGTTCCCGAGCAAGGCGAATGTGTTCGTCGACGGGTTTCAATAATCGCTCGATATTTTCGTTTTGTGTGCGGTAGAAGCCCTGCAATTTTTTGGCGGAGGACCGCGTGCCATGGAGGCGCGCTAGCTTGCGTCGTCGCGATGTGTTTGCTGGGATCGAATTTATCTCGGCGTCAGTCTTGAGTTTTGAGGAAAGCTCAAATGGGTCATTTTCTCGAGTGTAGCGAGGCGGGCGACCTTCTTCTTCATCTGAGGAGTTATTGTTCGCCATGGCTGGGGGTGGATATTGGTTTGTCTCGATTCCTGTGCTGGTGCCGACCTCTTGAGGAGAAAGAGGAGGGTGGTCAGCTCCAATGCCCGGGGAGGACAAAATTGAAGCCATTATTGCGGTGTGATTGTGCAAGTGATACGGAGGAGTGGCATGGTTGCAGAACGATCTGCCGTCACCCATTGTTATTATGTAGGTAAGCGGGCCGGAGGCGTCAGAGGGGCGTTGCCGTGTCACAAAGACAGCGAACCAGTGGCGGTTTCAGCGTGAGTTCGACAATCTCGCATCTCGCAGTGGGCGGCAGGGCAAAGGCGATTGCGAGTGGTGGGAGATCGATCTGATAAGATAGGTCATTGGCTGGGCTCGCGTCAGCCCCCATGGCACTAGCCGGATGCGGCTAGATTTTCGGGGTTGATCGCTGAGCCTCGGGTACCATAGCGCGCTAGGCGGTTTCCGGCTAGGCTGTCGGCGTCGGTCCAAAACCGTTCCCGACAAGTCAACGACTTCACCGCCCAAGACCAAGAACTCGCCTCTTGATGCCTGCTGTGAAACAGCCCTTTTGTGGCTGTGTTAAGGGTAGATACCAATATCTAAGCGCAGGAGAAAGAGATATATCTTGACTGTGGGAAGCACTGCCTGTGCCCAGAAATCTCAAACCTGCGTCTAACACAAAATAATAGCCGTCTGATGACGTCGGTCTCTCGCTTACAGCGTCGCATTTTCTCCCACAGGATATCTGCAAATACTCCATACTAAGCAACATTGTGCTAAACTGGAAGGATAGATACTTTTTGCTTCAATAGACAGCATCATCACCCACAGAGCATTGATCCCGCCTCTATGCCACACAAGAGACAAAACAACTCTACCCTACAGGCCTGAAGCTGCTGTAAAGCTCTGGATCAGCGACTCATTTGCCTGGAAAAAGTTGCTTGCTGGTTAATACCCACGCTTCCATCTCAATATAGTTTTGCTTAGAATTGTGCTTCCAGTACCATAATACACACACTAAGGCTTAAGCTTAGGATGTTAAAAGTAGGCTGACCATAGGGAGCCCGGCGGGAGCCCATTGGGATGAAAGCAGGAAGCTTTCCCATTTCTTTTACTCCCTATCTCTTCACTATGGGACATGCCCATTATCCTATCCCATTACATAGTATCTAGTCACTGTCCCATTCCCAGTCCAATAAAAAATTTTTAATTCCTGTCTCATCTCTGAACATTATGTAGAGATCCCATTCTCTGCTGGAACAAAATTTATAAATGAGACATTTAGAGATGGGAAATCTCTGTCTCTATGTTCAGATTCTTAGTAAGCTCATAGAATCATTAAATGTGCACTGAGCTGTTATTAAGAATCATTATCTCTGAAATAACACACAACAAGAAAATTTTATATTATCATCTCAAAGAGCTCTTTAAAGAGCATAGAACTATCTACATGAATTTTTTTTTTTTGTTTTTTTTTTTTTTGAAAAAACCCCCCACCATCTATGATCTGCCAAAATATTGACAGTTTAGGCAGTTCAGAAGACTGTGCATTAGAGTTAAGTCAGCTTACAATAAGATAATTTACTCATAATGAACAGTCATCATATTTTCATTTAATCTTTATTAGATATTTCATCTACATTTCATGAAATTTACTTACACTCTAAAAATGTGATAATTATGTTTCTAACAGATATCTGTAGTATTATTAAGACACTTCACTATCACTGCAGCTGAGAGTTCAGCTTAAAGATGATCTTATAAATTAAATACTGAAAAAGAGTGAAGAACATCACAAAGTTAATATATTAAAAATATTAATGAATTTCATGCTCAGCATCTATTGCAATATTAGTATCAGAGTTGTTATCTTGAACTGTTATCACTTACTGCTGACAGAGATGAAGAGTGTGAGAGCAGAGTGAAGATGAGTGATGAGATATTTAGTCATTGTGTGACTCAATATTATATTGACTCAGAGCTCATTATGTCAGTTTTAATGAGTGTAAGTCTGATTCAGCTTGTCTTAACAGTCTGTTAGTGACTTCAGTTATATTAATGTGTGAAGATAGTTCTTATTCTTCTCAATTCTTCTTTCAATTGTTAGTAAAAAAAGAATTGAGTCTGTTATCTTGAATTATTACTCACAGAAGAAGTGAATCAGTAGTGCAGAGATAGAGATAGAAAATCTCTTTCTCTTTCTTCTTCTCATCATCATCATCATTGTCATTATTATTATTGTTATTGTTATTATTGTCAATGTTGCTGACAGTCACATTCTTATTCATCATCATCATCATTTTTTCTTCATTATCATCATCATTATTGTTGTTGTTCTTATTCTTCTTCTCTTCATCATCAGTAACAATGCTAATGACATTGATGATGATTAAATTACTGATCTTCAATCTCACTGACTCAGTCAGTTTTATCTGACTGAGCTCTGATGGACCACCATCTTCACCATCAACATTATTGACTGATGGTGAGGAGCCAGCTTGGGATTTGTTGCAGAAGAAGAAGTTGATAAGTGTGAAGAAAGTCATTATTTCTATACTCACACATTAGCATCTCTTCTTCATTCAATTCATCATGTATGTGATAATACTCACCACTAGAGTGATGCAAATAGTTGAAGAAAGAGAAAAAAAAAGAGTTAGCATTGCATGAATATAATTATCAATAAGTAATATATGTTATATAGCAACTTATCTCAATGACAACTGTGTAATCTGACAATGAATTGTCAACAACACTGTCAATATAATAAATTGTAGATGTAAATAATAATTTTCTGATACTCTTCTCTTCTCTTTCACATCTCTCTTACTTACATTACTACTCATCTATCTGTCTGTTCATCCACACACTGCAATTCTCAAGCTCATTATCTTGATTTATTACTTCATAATGATCAATGAGAGAGTCAAGATGCTTTCAGTGCATTTAAAAACTATTGCTGTCTGCAAAAGATGTCACACTCTGAAGAGAGCTGATGATCTCAAAAATAAAGCTGATTAGACAGATCAGAAGACTTAATATGATGCAATACATTATATGAAGAAGACTGTAAAGTGATAATGAATCTCAGTAATGAGTCTAATATCTTCATGATAAATAGCTAATGACTGATAGAGTGGAAGTGAACTCTGAGCATTAGCAGAAGATGAAGATAAAGATGATGAAGACTGTAATGCAAAAACAGTTTAATGAGAGTAAGTTCTGTGAATATCTTAAGCATTAAGAGCTTAAAGCAGTGAAGAAGAAAAAGAGAAAGAAGAAGAAGCATCAGACAGAGAAACTAAAGACAGTAATGAGTCTCTTAATAAAGAAGATAAAGAAGAGAATAGATAACAGTTTAAGATAATGATTCAGTATATTTTCTGACAGAATTACAGAAGAAGATCAATAATAATAATGTTGCTGATTGTTTTGCTGCTCACTTCAGTGAAATGATGCAGTGATTAGAGAGGAACTGAGCTCAGCATGAGTATGAATGACTGACTGCAGCAGAGATGAAGAGAGAGTCTGTCAGAGAGCAGATGTAGAAGTTTTTCACACAGATCAATTTTGAAGAATTGACACTGTCTGCTCTTTCTGAAGAAACTAGAGAGAAGAATTTCAAGATTGTTGTTTTTTCAGATGAGAAGAAGAAGAAAGATGAGAATGAGAATGATAACTGAATGATGAAGAGTTAATTTTTCTATCAATTAGTTAGAGACACTAATTATCTTTGAGTAGTTAATCTATGCTCTCAGAGCAATGAAGTCATGCCAAACAGTGCACATCTCTTTATTGAAGTCTGAAAAGCTCACATTAGAATGTATATTCCATCAAAATATTCATCATAGTTCATTTGATAAGAGTCATGAAGCACAGTGATGCAAAAATCAATGTAATTGAAGCATAATGATTGATGATGGTTGAAAATGATGCAATATGTAAGTAAGATCTAGATGTTATCAATGATATTTTGTTGATTTACATCTAGAAATATGAACTTGACAGTCCTCTGAACACATTTTGATCATTAACAAAGATCTAGAAACAAAATAAATGCATAGTAGTGTGCAGACAGTCATATACAATCATTCTATTCATTTAGAATTTTTATATTTAATTATTTGTGGTGACATTCTGACAAGATGTGGTGGACTGAATCTGGCATAGTTTGTTTACATTTAAAATTTTTGTGTGGTTGCTCCTGTTCCCATCAATAACAACCATCTGAATCACAAAAATTCATCAGAGATCATTATTAAAGTCTGTTATCTTTTTTGCTCATTGACTTCATTGTTTATCTATCATGTCTAGCTCTTCCATCTCTGAATTTCTTGTTGTCTCATCTGCTGACAATCAATGTCTGGTGAATGAGAAACTGTCAGTTTCATCAGAAGACATCTTGAGTGAACTTAAGTAGCAGCATCTTCATGAAAAGAATTATATTTTCTATGAAGTATTAAAGCATCAGACTTTCATACAGTGATGAAATTTCACATCTGACTATAAAGCAGCTTTCAGAATAGATGTTCTTATTTAAACTGAAACAGTAGTTGACAAACAACATTCTACTGACAGAATTATGATCAGACAGCAGAGAAATTCAATGAAACATCTGTTCTTATCTGCCAAAAGTGTAAGAGAATGCTTGCACATCCCATCTACATCCAACAAGACATAAATGATATCCAGCAACACTATATAAATCAGAGCTGTTATCAGATCAGAAAAGAAAAAAGAGATTGTGAGCCATCAATAGCAGAAATGATGATATCATTGATATGTCATTCTGTCAATCAAAATTGATAATGATCTGAGATAATGCTTTCTTGATAATTTAGAAAAGTGTCTCCATGAAGAAACAGAAGTTGCTGTTCAGACAATATAGCAGAGAAGCTGTTCATGACTCTGTTCTTTAAACTGTTATATCACTTAATCTTTCATTTTGTGCTGTTGACAATTTTCATTTGTGTGGACTAATGAAACTTGTTTGTGAAGAAGTTGCTCAAGACATATTTCATCACACAAAACTCTGAGATCTTCTGACTGATAAGTACAATAAGATCATTAACACTACATTTCAAACTCTGAATTCTACAGCAAAGATGTTCTTTGCTGTTGAT